CTCGCGCCGGGCTCCCTTCATCATTAGCCTTTAATTTTTCTGCAAGTTAGCTTCTGTCGATGTAAAGGCGTTGGTGAAGTTCCTTGTTTTTTATAAGTACTGTCACTTTCTGATATTCTCCATTATCCTCGATCCTTTCAATTTGAAGACTGTTCCCCATTATAAGTGCACCGCTGATTAAATTTATTCAACTCCTAACTTCGTTCCTTTAATAATTTTTTGTTTCAACGTAGTGCAGCCTGTTCTCCACACTTTCTCTTTCCATATGGCCTTGGGCGTGTCGCTAGTCACACATTTATTTGCTATCACTTTGGTTATTTTATTATAGTTGCACATGAGAGAAGGAGAAAAAATATCTCTCTCATATTCATCATTCATTGGCGGAGTCATCCTATGAACTCAGGAAATGTTTGCGTGAGAACGCGCAGCTGTCTGTAGGGAGTATTTTTGGTTGCTTCCGGGAATTGGATTGTGCAACTCGCGTTTTGCTCAGGTCATAACCCGCGCTTCCTGCAAACATGTGCATAGAGTTTGCAAAACATTAACGTTCAATAAATAAAATATATTCCTTGTAATTTAAAACAGGTTCTTGAATTCAGTTTTGATCATCAGCTAAACTCGCATTTTTCATGTTAGATAGCCAGTTCCGCCATGGTTTTCGGCATCGTTTTCTAATAATGCCTTCGTATCCCTTTTTTTGCAGTATTTTTTGCCCAATTTTTTCCTTCTCCTGTCTCGGTATTTGCAATATTTCCGGCAATCGTTGCTTATTTCTCCTGATTTAGGTGATATTGCAAAAAACAACAAACCAGAATCATTGCTACTATAACCACTGCCAACAGGTATCAGGAACTTAAAAACGGCTTAATAATTGCATATAGGCCATTTCCTAAGATGTTTCCAATCCCTTCTACTCCTTTGGTGATCACGCCTCCTATGGTTTTGGTTATTGTCCCCAGTCCGGATAATATATCACCACCGAACGTGTCATATTATCGGTACAAAGGTTATGTTCTTTTCCTCCCATCCCGTCGTATTGAGCAAAATCGTTGCATTGTTCACTGCTTGTACCCAGACTCCTTTTGCCGTTTCTTCCTTAATTGATGCATTATGCAACGACTCACGTTGTGTTTCGGCCTGCTTTAGCTCTTCTGGATCGTCTCGTTTACTTCTATCTTTTGTGCACTAATCAATTGAGCGTATTCTTTTAAGTACAATTGCCCGTTTTGTATCCGTGTCAAATAACCTTTAGTTTTATCAAACAAAGGCTTTCCCGTGGCATTCTTTAATACCTGCATTATCAATTTGTCCAACGCCAATTCTGCCAAAGACATAGCCCTTATATCTGTTACAGTATGCAGGAAAGTATCCAATTCGGCTAATTGAATTTCTTGGGTTTTTGATATTTCCTCGGCGAGCCATTCCTGATTCTCAGCACTCGTTTCTTGCTCTTTAATCATTGCCACAATAACATCATTTAATCTTTCTTCTTCAATATAACTGGTTCTAGATAGTTCGTTCAATTTTTGCGCTATTAGTTGCATCTTCCCTTCGTCTTGTGTAAATCTTTCGTTCATTTCATTTGTCATTTCTGACATTCTTTGATTCATTTCATCACGGAGATTGTTGATCGATACCCTATTTGCGGATGCGAATGACAAGGCCGCCGCTCCCAAAAACTGTCTTTTCATTCTTCGTGTTACAGTCCTTTGATACATTGATTTCGATCTGAGTTGTTCATTGTCCCATTTGCCATTCCCCGTTCCATGCAACCACATGGGTGTTCCAGGAAATCTCGATACGTTGTTCGAAGGGTCGTATTCCACCTTTGTCCAAAATCTGAGCTTCGCTTGTACCCCGCCTACTGGATATTCACAATTCCTTTTCCGGTTTATTCTTTTTTTACATTTTTCGTCTTCTTTCATCATCGACGGGTACTGGCTATAATATGGTCTCGATCTCGAACCCTGTTTAATCTTTATTGATCCATCCCTTGTTAAATTAAGCGCGTCATTTGTAGATTCTATCCATTTTATTCGAGAGCTCCATCCACTTACAGGCCCGAGTGTCTGCAGGCCTTCGAAGGCGTTTGGTCTTTGCCATACATTTGTCGCCCTAGGATACGTCATCTGTCCGTTGATCGTGTACTTTTTTACATAATCCAAATAATTTGTAGACTTCAAAACCTTTTTTCTCTCATACCATGGGTCCCATTCTTGAATTAGGAAATCACCTAATGTTGGTTCAAACGCCAGCATTCGTCCAGCGAAATTACATGTAGTATGTATCCACGTAACAATATTTTCGTCCCCATAGGTCTCTTGCGCATAGACGTAGGTCGTGTTCATCTGTTGCCGTTCGTAACTAACGTCTCTCAATCCCTCTGCGAGTATAGGTATTACAATAGTTTTTTCGTTTTCGTATCTTATGTCCGTACAATTCGCAATTACAGTAGCATAACTTGCCAAGATTTTTAATTATCATAGTTTTATACACTGTCATTCCAGTTAAATATTTGAAATTATCCGATCGTCTATAACTTGGTTCGTCTTCCCATTTCCATATGTGTCGTAAATCGGGTCCAGTGTTGCGGTGATATTCTGTGTATTCCCACATCCTCTTACTGTTCAGCAATGGCGTAATGTAACTTATAGTCCGTTCGCATAGACAACTCCTTTCCAATTCGTCCGGATCCGACCAAAATCTTCCTTTCGGGTATATTTTTTCCTGGTATGTCTTTTTTTTCCGCGACGACGTATCCAAAATTAGAGGAAAAAAACAATCCTGGTTTCTCAAACACCGGTTTTTCTTGGCTTATGTTCCAGCAGGATGTCAAACTAAGTTTTTTCCAAGTAGCGTTTGGTATTCTTTTCCAAGGGGATGACCTTAGTTCGTTTTCATTGGTTAGCCAAGCATCATTTATTGTCGCTACACCGGCTGTTACGGTTCCCACATTTCCAACTGCGGTCGTTTCTTCCGACACCAGTAGCACGTGACCAAGCAATGCCAAAACAACGCAACAACACTTAATATTAATAGGAAAAACGTTGACCAATCCGAATCCAAGATCACTGGAGCGTCGGACAACCAAGCCATTTATTTCTTCTTTCGAATGCATATATTTACAATTTCCTAATTTGTTAGTTAACATCTGTAAAAAGACATAAACATTCAGTTAGTGTCTTCTTCTCCCTTCCGATTCACATTGTATCTTGGGTTGGTGCTTATGGCTTTTAACATTCTGTCGAAATGTTCGTTTTTTGGATACTGTCTCTTCCACAAATATTCGTCGAGGTATGAAGGAATTAAATGTCGTGGTACTCCGTTCATACGCTTAAATTTTCTTTTTACATCCGCCCAAATCGATTCTATGTTTTGGGTGTGATGGCCCTCGGGGGTGACGTACATGTACGAATGGTTTATCACTCTGTGAGTATACCCTCTTCCAAGATTTTCTATATCGTTGTACGATGGAAACATATCTGACCAGATCGTCGTTCCATCCGCTATATGGTTCACTATCAGTTGTTCCATTGTTTCTTTTGTTCTTCCTATTTCCGGCGGAATTATTTCTACAAACAACTCCTTTGTTGTTAAGTCTATACCTCCAAAAAGCCACATAGCTTTCACCGGTCTACTTTGTCTGTTTGAAGCTGGTTTTCGCTTTGCTAGATGCGTTTCATCGATGGCCACGACACGATCCATACCTCCTATCTTTTTCTTTCTTCCAATCAAGTCTTCTGAACAAACTTCACGAATGAAATTGCACCAGTCCACCATAGTTCGTTTCGACAATTCGCTCTCCTTGGCCATCGTTTCTTGGGTCACATCGTCCGCCCAAAAATACATTGTCGTAACTAGTTTCGTCAGTTCCGCCTTGCTATTTTCAAAAAAAGACCCCTTCCTTATTGTGGTGGTAGTCCTGCAGTTTTTTCTCTGACACCTCCATCTACACGAGTCCTGTTTCGCCGACTTGGTATTTTCCTCTTTCATTTCCGTTTCACATTTCGCACATTTCATCCGAGTCGCTAGCAGCCCTCTATACCGCAAAAATTCTATACACGCTTTTTCGTCATACAGTACTCCTTTCTCCGCTAATCTTCTTACGTTTGACATACTGTTCACCCGACCCAAACAGCCTTCGTTCTCTGTAAAATATTTTATCATTTATTCGAGCCCTTTTTATACTAGTACATTCTACTGTCCGTGTTAATGGTTAGTTGCTTTTCGTGTTAGTCATGTTATTCATCAAGCCTGTCGTTTTAGTGAGTTTATGCTCTGCTTGCAGTACGTTTTTCCGGTTTGTCATGTCACTCTCGTTTCGTTATTTACTTTGTATCGGGCGGTTAATCGTCTAATAATTTATCCGTCCTGTATAATCCAGGCGGGTGTATACTTCACTAGACCCGAGATGTTTAACGTTTTTTCTAACAGAAATATTAGCATTTCGAATTTGCAGCAAATTAGTTGATTTTGTTTTCCGGAACATCGGCATCTGCTGATCTGTTGAAAGGATTTTCTCCATTGTTAAAAAATTTTGGTCCGAAAGCAGGTGCAGAATGCCAGAAGAAAATATAAAACCACTTCGTAACCTGCAAATTTAATGGTGATGTCTCTTGTTATCAGTTTTATGACAAAATCAAAACAAGAATTTTTGAGAAAGGTTCCATCTGCGGACAAATACTTTTGGTCTAAACTAAATGAATAATACAAACTAGTTTTTTGTGTTTTTTCTTATTCGATGATCAGTAGAGATTTACAGCCGTATATACCCGCAATGGCATGGTAGACGTTCCAATATTATCAAGACTGGCAATTGATCGAATGTTTGCCAAATCGCACCGTCCCGGTTTTTTGTTTCAGATTTATGGTAAGCCTGACTATTAATAATGCTCAAAGACTATTGTTTTAACCCGTCTGCCCTGCACAATTGAGGTAATTACATAGTATCGGAATATCGGCCTTTTCAAATATCGGCGTATCGATATCGGTATCGGCGTTTTTAGCTGGTATCGGTATCGGCGACAAAAGTGGTATCGGTACATCTCTAATCCATAGCAGTGGAGAACGCTGAGGAAGCCACGTCTGCCGTTGTTGGTGATTTTCGACTGGCCAGTGCTAAAACGAAAGCGATCGGTTTGTGCCAACGACTAACATACCGGTTTGTGCACAGTAGCCTAGCGTTAGTCTACTAGCAATTGCAGAATTAAAAAACAAAATTCGGCCGCAGAGTACTGGTACGGTACCAATACAAAGGATATGTGTTTACTGTGATCTGTGACACTCATAAGGACTGCTAAGTACCGTATACTTTTGATGGCATGCTAATTGGCTAATTGCTAGTACGTACAATGTTTGGGTCTGTGTAGTTTCTTACCTAATAGCTTCTAAGTTAACTAGTGGGCGTGGCGTAACAATTGTTGGATATATGATTCCTGACCCCCCCCCACCTGATGACGTCATCAAAAATTACGTCACAATAACGTCTTTCGAGAATCCGGTACCTTGGCCGGTGCTAACTAACTTAGAATACACCATTTTGCGTAGGTGTTAACAAATGTTAGTGACTGAGTGGGTAGCCAAATATATTTATCTTCACTATTGAATTTGTACGGTATGTAAAACAGCCACCTTTCCATCCCCCATTAAAAGAAGAGCCTTCGCACAGTTGCAGGCATACCGGTAACGTACGGTACCCGTTACCGCCGTCGCATGGCGAGTGGCCCATGGCGAGTTGGCCTCCACGGCGAGTTAGCTTCCACCCCTTTGAAATAGTAAAATTCTAATTAATAATGTGTATGCAATGTTACAATACATGTGTATACATTTTATTGTGACACCCTGTACTGGAAAAACACACAGTTTACTGCAGAAGGTAAAACAAAGTGCACGAAAAGTTCTCTGATGGTTGTTTTCTGGTGTTCCTGTCTTTGATGTTCTACTCCCAAAAAAAATTTCTAAGCATAATAGAAACAAGACATGATATGAGCGTTGCACTCTCCCAAACCTGCAAACAGAACCCAAAATAGATAAACTGGTTGAAGCCAGAAAGGCATTGCTATTCCAGTATTCTGGATCCTTTAGTGGGCCAATTTTAAAGGGACCATTATGCAAATTATATCAAAAAGTTTGAGAACCACTAGGTTACCCAGTTAATTTTTTTCAGATGCATGGTCAGATGGTGAAGGAAGCAGTAACCAACCACTGAACCAGCGGTTAAGTCAGTAAGTGAACCACCCTACAGTACTGTGGCGAGGAGGCCAGCAATCTTTTCGCCCATAATTATCCCACACAGGTCTCGGACCTGTGAACCCACCCAGGATAATAGAGGTGGGGTGGCAAGCGTATAACCTAACCTCAAATATACGTATACACCGCCAAAGACTTTGTCACAAATATCCTGGTATCAGTATATCTTCTTTCAGCCTTGTGTTATTTTTTATGAATGGGCATGAGTGCTATTTGCATCACATTCTCTTCAGCTTTAGTTTTTTCTACTTTCCAATCTTTTTTCCAATATAAACACAATTCAGAAATTACTATAGTTGTTGGTATTTATGTTCTGCGTTACAGATAAAAGATTAACTTATATATTCAAAAAATATAACGGATCGAAAGAAAACATGAATCGTTTTACTATTTCTGCAATCTTGAAATCTATCAAAGGAAAGCCTATATCCAGTATATCACTAAAAAATGTCAGATGCTTCAGTTCTTCATCAGATAAAATGATTGTTGAAATCGACTCACAATCTGGTATAGCTACAATGTATGCTAATAATGCACCAGTTAATAGTTTAGATTCGGGATTGCTTACAGCTGCTGTCAAGGCTGTGAAAGAGGCAGAAAAAAATCCAGATGTTCGAGGAATATTACTTACTTCAAAATTTGATGGACAAGTTTTTTGTGCTGGTCTGAACATTTTAGACATGTATCAGAAGTCTCATCAACATTTGGTTGATTATTGGACAATGGTTCAGGATTGGTATCTTGCTTGGTATGGGTGTAAAAAACCTACAGTTGCTGCAATAAATGGTCATGCTCCAGCTGGTGGTTGCGCTTGGTCGATGATGTGTGACTATCGCATAATGCAGTCAGGTGCTGGAAAAACAATTGGACTCAATGAAACCATGCTCGGTATAGTGGCCCCCTTCTTTTTTGTGGAATTGATACAATCTACAATTGGGCATCGTGCATCAGAAGAAGCTTTACTGAAAGGATTACTTCTTTCGGCAGAAGATGCTCTCAAATATGGCATGATTGATGATATTGAAAAGCTGGAAAACCTCAATTCCAAGGCAATAAAAGAGCTAAAAGCATTTATGGCAATTAATCTAAATGCGTATCAGGGCTCAAAAATGTTGCTTAGACAAGATGTCATGAAACGATTGATAGCAGTCAAAAAAGAAGATGCTGAATTTTTTTCAAATTTTGTCTCACAGCCACAAGTGCAAGAATCAATTGGGAATTATGTAGCCAGTTTAAAAGCAAGAAAGAAATAACTATTGTGACATTATATGATTTATAATTTGATGTCACTTCTTTGTTCGTGATCAAGGTTCTAAGATTATATTTTTCAGAATTTAATTATTTTGTTTGATTTACCATATAATATAATTATTTTGTTACATTTTTTGAAAGGTTTTCTTACAATTATTTTTTTAGTTCAAAAATCTGAAATTGATTATGTAGAACCTAATTTAAAGTGATGAATGAAAAGAGGAATCTTCAGAATATTGTCCTTGCTACTCCTATACTCTTGAGTGTTTTGTGCTGAAAATCATTTTATGCTGATAATTATTTTGCATAGAATAAGATATATATTTTCTTTGAAAACCTGGCTGACAATCGCTTTTTTCATAACTAATCTACCGTACCTCATTTTTTTTTTTTGATTTACCAATGTTCACAACAAGGTTATGAATTTATTTACAGAAATTCCGAATTATAATAAAGTTTGCTGCGAAATGAAATGGGACATTTTGTCCTTTTATTGCTATGGTCTATGTTCAGTATCATAGCAGGAAATGACTATGATCCAAATTCAATACCGCATATCAATCTACAAAAATTGAAGAATATTATTGCATCAGGGAATGAAGAGATTCTTGTTTTCTTTTGTAAGTATACCATAATTGCTTGTTAAGTTATTGTATTCGAGGAATATCTTTTATTGAACATTAAAATTAACCTCACGCTAGATATCTTAGAATATACAAGAAATCAATGTGTAAAATATTTTGATAATATTGTGGTGGTTATGGAACACAAATTGTGTTTGAGATTATTAGTCAGCCTCTCTAGTTCATACTTTTTCGAATTGTTTATGCAGCAAATTGTCTTGTGAGCCCAATCAAAACTTTAGAAAACAGCGCAAATTATGATTTAATAAATGCAGAGGGTTCACTGTCTGGACAGTGTGTATTGAAACTATTCTTGCCGAATGTTTCATTTGAGTAAACCTGGTTTGAATTTTGATCTGAATTGATTGATTTGAATATCTCTGTATCCTAATTTTAATAATTTAATAATTTTTTGCCAAGACCATAAATCATTCAGGAATAAAATAAATAAGTATCATTCTGTAAAGTGATAAAATTTACTACTATATTATTGAGAATCACTGACTGACATTTTTAAGATGGAGATTTCAATGGATGTGAAGAATGCAAGAAATTAATGCCTAAATATCATGAAGCTGTGGAATATTTGAATAAGCTTGAAGATGGCAAGGTATTTGTTTGTATTGCTCGATAATAAGAATGTTGATATTAAAAGGATTTATCACTTCACAATTCTAATTAAGAATTTTCTCCCAATCTAGAAGAAAATTGTGACATTGGTAATGTTAAATTATAATTTTTGTTCAAAAAAATCATCATCTTGTAGATTGAGCAATGCATAATTCTGAAAGTTCTCGCTTTTCGTAATGCTAAAGGATTTTTCTTGCGACTCTAAATCTCAATAGAATGATGACGAGGTATCTTACATTCTTGCTTTTGAAGCTAAAACAGATTTTCTCACATCACTGTCAATATCACATATTACATTTTGCTTAATGCTTAATCTCTTAGCTTGAATTTTTTTTTTCAGGTAGTAAGTTATAAAATGGCTATAAAATTTCCCGAATATGGTGTCAACACATTACCTCAGATGATGTTGTTTTTAAAAGATACTCCTTTTCTATATGATGGCCGAGGTACAGTTAATTTATATATTATGTCATCTAGCTGTTTTAGTTTGTGAAAAGTGAACTAGCAATTTGATAAGTTATTATTGAGCTGTTTGTAAAATAGGCAAATGTAGATTTTTTAGAAATACGGAATTTACATTAAATATTTCTTTAATATAGATGATGAATCTGTCTGGGAAGCTGACGATATACTGGATTGGGTTGAAGAAGCGAAGCAAACACCGTTGCAGGAGTTGACTGATGAAACATTTGAACATCTAACACAATCTTCCACAGGTGCAACTACAGGGGATTGGATTATTTTATTGTAAGCACATATTTTTAAGTATGGAATCTTGTGAATTTTCTAATTATAATTATATTTAGAACAAAAGTCTGAAAAATGGTTCGTTTTTGATGAAAATAAATTTATGATATAATAGATAAGCTTAAAAATGTTTCGAGTTTTTTTTTTTGCGGTTATCAGAGATTAATATAAAACATATTCTTTGCTTATCATGCTGTCGAAAATACACATCCTCCAAATTCCTTCAAGAATTATTTATTGCTATTTCAAACCCTTTATTTGATTATGATATTTTGTTTGATTTTAAGACAAACCTGGTTGAGATAAATAAATTATGTAATTACTATAATGAACATCATCTACTTTTTTTGAAAAGAAGCATTTTTTTCATTGTAAAAACAAATCAATTTTTGTGGTTCAAAATATATCTGAAATACACACAATTCTGTTGTTATGGTTTTAACCATTTTATTCAGAGGCAATGGTCATGTGGTCCTCTATTGTTGCACTAATCATTTCTCTTTTTTTTTTTGAAGAAATTGTGACCAAGATAATGAATTTCTTTTATTGTGTGTGTTTAGGACAGGGCACGCCTAAATAAACATTGTTGTTTTGTGATTACGTTTGTGAAAATCTTGTTGAATACAAATATTTATCAGCAACATACCGAATAATTCTTTGCAGTGCTGACCGATCACGTCCAGAATGCTTGAAACCATACCTGCCTACAATTAGTAACATTGGATTGAAACTTCGTAGGAGAAAAAATGCTGCATTCATTGATATCAATTCTAATCCAGTAACTTACTCAAGGTTCAACACTGTCCTTCAAACAAATTGTGCTGCTGTTTTATTGTAAGTAGTTTGTTTTTGAAATCAATGTGTAAACTAATTTTGTTGGGTTGCAATCATGTTCGTTTACTACATTTTATAAATGTCATAAATTATTTGTCCTATTTAAATCTACAGGAATTAATTTTCAATGCCTAAATATTTTCCAAAAATGTTGAACTCTGATGACTTGCTTAGGATTTTACATATGACAATTTATTTTAACTCTGCCATAAAATACAATACTTGACCCAAGCAAGCACAGAGAATGTCTATTTAGTAATGTTACCAATACTCAAATGAGACTTGAAACATGAGACATAAAATGATAAAAGTACTTCTACATGTGCAATCTCAATATATTAAAAATATGAGTAAATAAAACATGATGAAATACTCTTATATTGAATTTGAGGGGGAAATGTATAATTTCTGAATCTTATAAAGTATTCATTAGGCACCCATAAAATGGTTTATTAAAGATTCAACTGAATGACTTGTTTCCTAATTGAAAAGCGCTCTACAAAGTGCCCCAAAAATATTTTTAAAAAATACCAGTTTGCACTATTGACTAATTTTCTTTTGATTGTCTGATTTAGTTCAATTGTAAAAGTTTAATTAATTTGGTTGTGGTTTTGTTAACTATTGTTTTCTTTAAGCATTAAAAAAATTGAAGTTCCACTGAAACATGCTCGCGGTAATTTATTGTCCTACAGGTACAGAGTAGATTTTTATTTCAAGTTTTTGTCTTTTGTCTCACTGTGTTAACTATGTTCATCATAAAAATAGAATGTAGTTGCTGGTTTTCCTATATAATTTCATCACTCTCATAAGTTCGTTTATTTACGGTTGTTAGTTGTACTGTTTTAGAATTAATCTATTCGAATATTCAGGAAGATTCATGAAAAAATAAGTAACTCTATTTGGGCTAATCTAAACAGACTAGTTGAAGAAAAGACATATTTCACTTAATGAAGTATGGCTTTAAATGCTCCTTTCTCAATAATTTATAAAAAAGCCGATTTGGATTGTTTAGCAACATATGATTCTTGATTGCCGTTTCTATAATCAAAAATTTTGTTCTGCTTATATAGTCGATTGGAAATAGCTTTTCAACACTACAGGACTAGTCTGAGTAGAGATATTCCAGTATTCTATCTGTAGTTGTTGACAATGGGTGGAACAGGCGATGGTCATTCACTTTATAAGTGGTGAACAAATGACCCAGTATGTTCCTGAATATGCGAAGATGTTTAAATTTTTATAGTTAGAGCGAATATTATAGCTCTAAATACCTAATTTTCAAAGAAGATTGTTCTAACAGATAATTTTATGGTAGTAGGAAATGTGTTTTCCTGAACCAAAACAAATAATATATAGCTGAACAAGATATCTAATATGATGCTTATTTTGTGTAAACAATAGGCTTCACTTGAAGTCTGGTGTATTGAAAGATCCCTTAGCATTGCAATATTATTACTATATATCTTGGTTCTCACCTGAAAATCCTTTAGTTGATTCGATGGTTCTTTTCAGTTCAGATTTCCCTTTTTACAGATAAAATGGTACCATATTTTCTTTTTCCATCCATACTATGTTTCAGGCACGCATTTATAGTCTATTTTTCCATTCAGTTTTCATCGTACCGAACTGTATAAAATTCCAATGAACAACTTCTCCACAAATTCAATTTTGAAGTTTGTATTGGAGGACTATACATACACAGAACATGTTGAAGTACCCAAGGAACACCATGAAGCGTATGTTTATCTTTTATTTCTGAAATCAAATTTCTTCATATATCTCTATTAATTGCTAGTTCTGTGATTTACCAAATCCCCTTTTTCCAATTCTCAAATATAGTTGGAGTAACTAGTTCCTAATCATAAAATGGTAATAAAATATTCTGAAGTTATCTGGGCTAAATCAACATTGTGAATAAATAATGCCTGGCGTTTGGAATAGGTGATTCTGTGATTGTAAATCAGAAAACTTCACAGAACATTGAGAGTAACATTTTTAAACCATAATGTTGAATTTTAACTGCTTCAAACTGAGTGAGACAGAGCTTTTATGAGCTGACAGGGACACATCCTTGCCTTTTTGATTTGATCTTGTTATGACAGAATGTTATCAAATCGAAAATATAGGAATTCTTTGTGCCCAAATTTTGTAGTTTAAAGTTGTAAAACAGTATAACTCAAATATATGCCAAGCTGCAGGCACAGCCAAAATGCCAAAAACTGCATTGTTGAATTTAATCAACCTTATTTATCCTTTATCAATTTCTCCACAGACATTCTCAGATTGATGAAGCTGTCAAATTATTGAGGAGCATGTTAGAAGAATACACACAGTATCATACGATACATGCAGGGTTACTGATTATCCTAATGGCTGCTACCATGTGTATCGTGTTTTTTCTAATCAAAAAATTTACAAAAAAGAAAATTTTATAATTCCTTGCTTCCTCTTCTAAATTAGAAAATTTACCTTTGCACTGCATGAAAGAATGTTCCTTTTATTTTTTGATAAATAGACCAATATTAGAAGTCTTTGGAATGCAATGGTATGGGTCTGTTGCAGAAATTCTCTTGGGAAGTGCAATTTTTAAATGGATGTTTCTGTTTTCGCTTGTATTTTTGTGCCAAATTCATAACAATCATGTAAAATGTTTAGTTGCAATAAACAATATCCACTTTAGCCCTGGTAGTCTGTAGTAACTTATTTTCTGTGGGTGGTATAAATTACAATTAATTTCAGTAAGATCTTGTTTTGGGGGTAAAATTACATAACACTTACAATGATACTGGGGCATTGACTCATGCGTACTTAGAAAGTGAAGCGATTAACTGTGAGCAGTTATCAAGAAATTAGTATTTTATCCTGGGTAGTGGAACTGTTTATCAAGGAAAGGTTATTCAGAGTCCTACAACAATTCGAAATGAAAATTATCTTTCCGTTGAAATCTGTGCTAATATTACTCAGGATGACGAACTCATCTATAAATAGTGTGCATACTCCAGGAAATCGAGCACAAAGTCTATATTATGGCAGGAATTATGGAAGGCAAACAGTTTCTTCTTTAACGGATCTCCATGTCATACCTTCTGATATAACGCCGGTATACATAACGCCACAAATGAGATTTAAGTGTTTGCACTGTTGTGAACGTTTCTCTTGAGTACCGACTTCGGGGCTCCCGAAGTATGCGAACCAAGATGGCGGACATCGGAATGTAATATGTGTACTAGGTTAGGGTTAGGCCATAATTTTAGGTATAAATACTACGGGAGGATCTTGGCTAGTCTTCGAACTGATAATAGGACTAAAATTGGAAAATAATTATCGCCTAACCCTAACCTGTTACCCATGTTACGTTCCGATGTCCGCCATCTTGGTTCGCATACTTCGGGAGCACCCCGACTTCGTCGTTTATTAAAATATGACAATCACCATTCAACGATAAGCTCCGAATTACGCATTAATTCACTCGCTCACAATAATAAACATTGTCTCGGATTATAAGTTAATTTCAACTCCATAATCAGCATAATACACTATAAAATAATTGATAAAAACCGCTGATTATAGATAGAATCGGGAAAGCAAAAAAAGGGTTCGAAGCGTACAGATTTTAGATGGAGAGGTATTGTTAAAAGAAGTAGTTCAAAGATTTATATGGTATTACTTATCAGGTATTATTTATTTTTTAAAGCTATACATGGGGAAACGCACATTATCGCGTATCATACAGTTCTTAGAATCGAATATGTGCTCAGCCTCATTGACATCTGATAAAACAATGAAATGGACTTTATGGAATATATCCGTTTAGAAACTTTACTTTATAAGACAATTGTATGGATGATTCAAATTTTACAAAACAACCCACTAAAAGGTGTTGAACTGAAAATGGATGAATAAATAACACCACATCGCAAATCATAATACAGTATAGTAGTATACTCAATTCAGGTCTCTGTATGATGGCGAAAGGTGTGTTCGTTAAAGATTCGCAAGCGCGTTGATCCATTCAAGTCTTTCTTTAGAGAGATCGCATGTTACCAGATACTCTAATATTGTAGAATATATGGTCCAACTACTAATATCGAAAAACGAATGGCTATAAGTAATATCCTAATAGAAAAGAGCTTACGATCCTAAGGAAACCAAACCAATCAGAAGCATGATGATTTTGGGGGTTGAGACAGTAGGATTTTTATAATTTCTGTTGGTAAGATATACGCTTCGTCCAATAATTCTAAAATATTAATTTGAAGTGATTTATGGATGAATGAACAGTGCCTAATAAGCTCATCCGTTTTTGCTGCCATGCATACCATTACCGCTCGAGAGGGAATTTTTCGGATAAAGAAGGTATGAAATAGGCAAGTCAACGCCTATACGAGATACGTAGCTGTGGGTGAAACACTTTTAATTAAAATCCATGACCTGACAAGATGATGCGACCATTGATCATTTTACTATATATATATATATATATACCAGTATATGCTGAACTTTCTTCAGTTCTCAATCTACCGTAGCATCTAGGGTTATCAACATTGAATATTTAAATACTTATATATATTTTTTATTATATATATTACGTTTGGAATCAACAGCTTTTACCTTGGGTCCGGTGGTTTGTTTGTCGAAGAATCAATACCAAACATTTTTATTCAGCAGTCCTAAACTGTTGCTGTTTTACTAATTGGATACATGTCTCACAACTGTGCATCATGCGAGGTCTCGTACATGTACAACAGGGGTGAGCAAGTTACGGCCCGCGGACCGGATCCGGCCCACTTGTCCCTGATGAAATTATGACTATAGTTTTTATGAATAAAATATCGATGATATAAATTGAAATTATCGATAACGGATCGTCCGATAAAGTAAATACCGTAATTCCTCGCGTATTATAAGCACCTGAATATCTTTCTCAAAATCACCCAACCGAATTATTTATAGCATTCAAAAACTTTAGCACTTGATATATATATATATATATATATATATCAGCATTTGGGCCTGTAAGTATTTTCGTGCGTTCGTGAATGCCCCAACACATGTTTTTTTCGTTTTTCTAGTACGGCAATTATAATCAGAGTGATATCGTATGAGACGAGACGCTAAATACAAACTAAGGATTGAATCCGCAAATCCAATATCCGACTGAAAATGAGAAATTGAATATTGTGAGTACGAGGCGGTGTCACAATATAGGCTTACGTACATATAATATAAAATATAACGGAAAGCGCCATAAATTTTGTTTTAGAAGTAGCTCGATAGATTAAAAACTCTATTTTAGACGTGGTTAATTGCAAAAATTGTCGATCGGAAACTATAGAATAGTCCAGCGGTTTCCAGACATTTTGTTTTTGCGGCGCCAGATTACCGCATTAGTTTAGAGTTGTAAAGCTTTTACTTTATTGTAATAAATTGTACTCATATGATTTATGGCCGACTTTGGGATTTGACAAACGGCGATATCTTAAAAATATTCTAAGGCAGCTCACATTGAACAAATTACCAAGATTGCAAAGATTCAAATCAATTCTTAATATAAACAGGCAGTATACCGCGTATTATACGTACGCGGATTGTAGTATTTCAGAATAGTGATACTTTCATTTGATTGTAACTCGGCGCAACGGCGATTTACGTTGAAAATAATTGAATTAATATGGCGAGACAATTTTAATGCTCGTATCGGCCATGGACTGAATATTTTGTGCCGCAGAAAAATCATCATCGCTGAAAAAGTCGGCAATTGTAACGAATGACGTAATTGCGACCCCCGTAAATGTATAATAAGTATAAGTTTATTTCGACTCCATAATCAGCAAAACAATAAAATGAATGCTAAAAATAAATAAATAAAAACTGATTATGAAATCAGGAGAGCGAACAAAACCTTAGATAAGGTTTAAAACGTACAGAATGTATATAAGATGGAAGGTTTTGCCAAGAACATGTGGTACGTGTTCACTCACCTAAAATAATTGAAATATTTCACACACGCTCACACGCACCCACACACACAACCATATAGAAGTTATTAAGTAAAGGGAACATGAAAAATTACATACTGGTAGTTAATAAAAAATAAATAAATAAAAATTACTTGCCACACCATATTAATAAATTTATCATGATTGCCACTGCCAAATTGATCAATTTTATAAATGGGAGTGAACAGTAAAGATAAACTTTTATAAAAAAATATATTGTCAAGCTGATTATAGATAGAGTCAAATGCCAAAATGCCCAACCAAAGTTGCCAGAATTGGGTGCATGAAGAGGTGGGCTAGACCACTTCATTGCCCAAACTAGAGCCTATTATTGCCAAATTGTAGTCCAGATTGCAATAAGTATTTAAATCTATCAGTAACTTTATAAGTATGAGTAATTATAATTAATTAAGGTAGAAAGACAGGGTATAGGAATATGTTGGTTGCTAAGGTTATAAGGTTTTTTTTTTCATTCTTAGATATTGACTTCTGCAAGGATAAAGGAATTAGGAATAAAGGAATTATTAGTATTGTTATTTCACAGGATCATTTCTTCATTTAATTATTGTGGCGTAATAGATTCAAGTTTATCGTGGATGAGACATCAGCCTGCGAATTTTGTTGTTGTAGACACCATTTATATTCAATAAACTAGCCATTGTATTGATCATCACAGAACGACCTGAAAAACACAAAAAAAATCTGCGAGTAGGATATTCAAGGGTTACATATTTGGAAACAGCACTACCCTACACTTTTGTTTAGAATTAATTATTATTTCGAGTAGATATTGATTATTAGTTATCTATCTATAAAACGCTAGTTCAAAGACCAGAGTTGAAATATGGTTGGGACACAGGGTGAATTCCTCGCAAACCATGCAGAAACTCTCAAACCACACTGACCATTCGTATGTTGGCCTTCACATCAACTTCACAGCAGAACCTCAACCTAGGATAAAATTTTGTATACACACAAAACAAATCATAGAATACCACAACAAATTAAAATGAAGGGGAGAATCCAATATATCTCCACTGGTCGCCTAATTACAATAATAGGTACAGGAGCTAAACTATACGGTCTACAACCCTCATAAGGTATCACACCACCCATATAGAAACAAAGACCATGCATGTGTAATGTCAAAAATCCAACGTTAAGCAAAAAGGGAACATGCGCATGCAGATGTCAGAGTGTAAACAGCCATTTGAAAAATAAATAAATAAAACAATTTGCTGTGCATGCTACAGAACCCGACACACCAACAATAGATGTAGAACAGGTGGAGAGAGATTAACTGCCGGCTCAACAACAATCAGCAGCTGCAGGAGCAATAGCAATATTGTAGCTGTTTAATATTTTCATGAAAATAAGTATGTGCAAGTGAAGAGTGTCCCAACTTTCTAGCATGGTCATTCATGAAGGTTCAATATTTTTTGTGTCCGAGCTATCAAAACGTTGTAGTTAATTTCATACGAAAGAGTATATATATCAGTGTGGTTATGGGAAAATAACTTTTAATATTTGGATACCAAGTACGACTTAACTTGTTTCTGAAATGATTTTTTGGATTTTAATGACTTCAAATTCAAGGGGAGAGAGTTCCATAGCTTAGGTCCATTATAGCATAGGGCATGCTGGCTCACAGATTTACTCATAAACGGTATAAATAAATTGGAATTACTTCTTCGATTGGAGGTGGTTTTGGTTAGTATGTCGTCAAAGCAGTTTGACAATGAGTTGTCATGAAAATCATAAACTAATGATAATACTTCAAATTTCATTATGTCTTCAACCTTGAGTATATTTAGCGATTTATAGAAATGATTTACGCTTTCACGTTTACTTTTCCTAAAGACAATTCTTAAAAAATTATTACAAATGCTTTGCAATTTCGAGACAAGTGTTTTATTACCATGGAGCCAGACTGAGCTACAATATCGGATATGACTTAGTAGTAGAGATTGAAACATTGCTAGTAGAGCTGATTGATTAACGCACTGGGATACTTTAGCAGCAAATGCCAAGTTCCTTTTTGTTTTACCAATAACATGCAACATTTGTGATTTCCATGATAGATTTTCATCAAAGATAACTCCTAGAAATTTTATTTCTTTCACTCTTTCAATTTCATTGTCATTGAGCAGTAGTGGTTTTGAACAACTCACACTTTTATGCTTGCTTGGGTGGAATAATACAAATTTAGTTTTGTTAGCATTAAGAGATAATTTGTTAACCAACATCCAGCTATGAATGTTGGTTAGTTCTTGGTTTGCAACTGTGAGTAGATCTTCAAGGTTTTTCCCATGAAGAATCAAGTCAGTGTCATCAGCAAACATGATCGACTCAGAGGATTTCAGACACCTGGACATGTCATTAATGTAAGCTAGAAAAAATAATGGGCCAAGTAAAGATCCTTGTGGAACTCCGTGCTTCATGACACAAATATTTGTAGAGAATGAGTTGTCATATTGCACAATTTGTTTCCTGTCTTGCAGGTAGCTCCTGATCCAATTGAATGGGACGCCTCTAATTCCATAGTGATAGAGCTTACTTAAAAGGATGGAATGGTCAATGGTGTATATATGTACTGTATATGTAATGGTGTATAATGTACTGAATATATATATGATTTGCGCACGTCATCAGGCATTTTTGACGAAGTAGGACTGTTGATTCTTCCATTTCTAACATCATATTTGGTAGGAAAGGGGTCAAATCAAAGAATGATGATGATTTGAAATTGTACCCGACGAAAATGTCTTCAAATATCAAAAAATCTCGATGAAATTCATTCATCTTATTATGACCGGTTACCATGATCAGTCTATTTCTTAATTGATTCGCAATAAATTTGTTTGTAACTTGATGTTTTGTTGTAGTTTTGGGGGGCGATGATAACGTAAAAAGTACAGTATGAAGGCGACGGTCCAAAAATGTTTGGAAACCACTGGTTTAGTACATGAATTGCAGTATACCTAAATTGTTCTGTCTGTACGCATGTCACTTGCTGATCTGTCAATGTTATTCACTATATCACTTCCTGCAAATACCTAATGCTTTACATTACTGAAACGCGATCAGTGAAACGGGTTGGCGATTGACTGACTACCTTGACAAGCCTACCAGTCGACGGGAATAGGGCATCATTCTCTAGGTACATTGTGCTGTCTTTAACATAAACGTTAGTCTAGCTGTTGAGCCTCTTTTTCTATCAACTTTTTCGGTAAAACCGTTTTTGATCATCCGCCCAGTGATCAAATCTATTATCCGCATCTGGCCCCCTCAGGAAAGTAATTGTCCACCTTTGATGTACAATGTCATAAATGCTTAGAGAGTAATTAGTCGATCGGATTCGTTGAGTCCACCAGCAATATTCCAATGGATATGAAAATGAGAAGCATTCACGGAACTTTGCTACCTCACGACTTGGCTAAAAATGATGCGTACATACACAAAATTTAATTTTTTTGTAGTAATATTTTCTCCACCAATTATTACATACTTACTCAATTTATTAGCAGCTTGTAACTATATAAAACTAGTTCAATGTAACATTAAGTGAATCTCACAAATGAACCTAAAAATAGCACTCACATATGATATAGGTAAATTTCTAAAAACATTTAAAATTTGGATAAAATAAAACTTTTTTGTACAAAGTTTCTCTAGTCTCATCATATTTGCAAAAACATCCAGTCCACGATGTTGTACTATTACAACCTATCGATGTATTGGATTTGCAGTCGATACCCACCAGTAGTTCGCCACATTTCATGTTCAGAATCACCTTTATACCTGATCAAATCAAGTCAGAAAACAGGGTTTTACTTGACTTTGATTTTGTCGGGGTTCCAGATGTAGCAATCGGGGAAGGAAGGTCTGATGATTTGGGAGATGAGGTAGGTCTATTTGGTGAAGGTGAATCGGTTAAGTCAATTTGTTGATGTGATTGATTGTCATCAGAGGTATCTGGTCCAATAACACAAATTTGAACCGCACGGTTCCTGGAACATGAGAAAAATTGATTACTATAAATTTGTATTGGTTACATAGATAGATAAGTACCATGTAAAGCTTTTTTATTTTAGCATCAAAACATTTGATAAGTACTGGTTTCCACTATTCATTACTGTAAATGTGACTTTATATTTTCAAAATTTATAATTATGGGATCTATCTATACATTTGAATAAATCTTTTTCACCTTGCTGAGGTTGGGGAGAGAACTGAAGGACTAGATGCTGGTGTGGGAAGTATAGGGATTGGTAATGGATTTGGTGCATAAACTTCAGGAACTGGATCTGATGATGAACGGCGTGATTGCCTAAAAAAAAAAAAATACAGTGAGTTAGCTGAAAGTTTATCAAGCACAAATATTGATGTATTAATAATATAATATAAACAAATTTCACAACCGATTATAAATAAAGTAGTTTGGGACAATCTTAAGATCCATTGAATTAAAAATGATATAGCATACGAACTTTTTTGACGATTTAGACTTTTGAATGCCACTGTCAACAAATCTCTCATCTAATTCATCTGCGGACATCGCCACTCTTTTATCATGTGATCTTGCTGAAACAGCAGGCCGATCAGAGCTGTAGCTTCTCTTTCTCTCTGTTACTTTGGGGAATTGTGTTGACGAACCAGCAAAAGCATGTTGTGAATGTTCCTTTTCACTACTGTCTTCATCAACAGATGATTCAGTCATTTCATCATCTTGAAATTCAAGTAGTTTGGTAAGAAAAAGTGTTAGTCGGAGGTAAAGCAAATGTCATTTGTAGCAGTATTTTCAATTTAGTTACAAGATCTTCAATATTGGACGGTAAAACTGGATTTCTAAACTAAAGAAGAAATGATGGTTAACATATTTAATGATGATGATAATTTACCTAACAAAAACTCGGATTCTGATGAAACATGTGTATTACAATATCATCCATGCTGAAATACATGATTCAAATGATCGCAATGAAGTTTTTTGTGTGTTTAAGAATTATTGTGGGAATGGATCTTGTACATTAACATAAAGCAGAAAATGATTGTGCATTAAAATACCCCAATCATTGTACAGTATTGTTTTTTGGGTCAGAAATATTTATTCAATGACAATAATGTTTTAAGACATGAATAAGATCGAATAAAGATAGCAGATGGGATCACGCTAAATTAACGGCAAGATTAGAACATACAGGGCACAATACAGAGTCATTAATGATTTATTTGCATCACCTTTCAACAATCGTTTACGAGGAGGTTCAGGAAGAGGTTGTGTATCTCCAAAGGTATGTCTCTCTGGTGATACAAGTGGTTCTCCGGTGTCTGAAATGTAATCTGAAACAGATTCCATCAAACCATCATCAATATTACGTGCAGATCGTCTGGCTGTCGTAAGTGTGGGTGATGGACTTAAACCTTTCATAGTTCTTGGTTGCTCAGGAGATTCATCATAAAGTTTGTGATGTGACTTCCATTTAGGTCTTGGCTCTTCAAACTCTGATTGTTGAGTTGCATGTAACATATTTGAGATATTACCAGGACTTGAACGAGACCTAGAACAACATTGGGCGAAGATATTTACAGGCCTTGACATAATTTGATTGGTACAAGTAGTCAAGAAACTAATCTATCGGAACAGTGGGATTGCGTGTCAATTTCGATACTTTATCCTTTTTCAATTGGACAATACTTCTATTGTCAGCAGATGACAACTTTGCTGAAAAATGACTCAACCTTTTGTCTCACCTGTGCCGATTAGATTGCTTTTCCTTTGATCCTTCATTTGGAATATTTAGAGTTGAATAACCAGGATCTGTTGAGGTTCGAGTTGAAAATGTAGATGGTAGCAATGTTAATCCTCCAGTAGAACCAAATGTGCCCAAAAGAGGTTCTGTTGCTGATGCATGCATCATTTGCCCACGTTCCGGCAATGACGTCACACTTCTGTAAAAACAAAACGGAATACGTGGATATGTTTTTCTTGGGTTGTGCATACAATTAAATGAGTTCAGTCAAATATCAATGCCCATATTTGTTCACATAAGCACCAATTTGTACAAATGGATATATTGAACCGTATGATCACCAGAAAATTGAACAAAAACTTGACCTGGTAGTGGTGCTTTCAGTTTTGTCACAATATTAAATGCTAAAACATCGTTTGTGACATTGCGACAATGGCATCATTTTACCAGATTTACATACATTGATTCTATTTTTTGGGTTAGTTTTTTGCGCTGATCCAAATTTCAGTTTATTTTTGCATTGATATGTTTGGGTAATAGGCTAACAAGAGTTGCTGATATTTGTGAATGTGGACAGTTTGGTTTTTTACTTTTGTTAGTGGTCATTTTCCCTATTTGTTTAGATATTTTTACCCATGTACAAGTACTGTGCATTTTAGTCTTTGTCTCCAATAATAAGATCTATCCATCTGGAGATTATTAAACTTATAAATAAGCTTAATAGAAATTGAAGATTTTTTTTTAAAATCAATTGATAAACCTTGGAATACCTCGATTCTCCAGACTTTCTCAATTTTTTCATGAAAGATGAAATTTTCTTCTTGTCCGTTTTCTTTTGAGAAGATTCAAATTCTTTTGAAAGGGCTTGAATCAGTTGATTTTTATCTCTGATTTCTCTTTGCAGCTCCACAATCTAAATGAAATTGACACAATATATGATGAAGACCTTGACAAATAATCAAGTCACAAAGGTCACTGACATACAAAGAGGTGTATATTGACATGACTCGACATGAATGCCAGAACATAAAAGGATAGGATTTACATATTTAGAGGAATAATAGACGATAACATGGCTTAATCATGTGGCGAACCACATATCATAACTAATACCTGTTGCATCTTTTCAGCATTGCTATTTTCTAAATGTATTTGCTCGAGTTCTTTCTGTTGACGATTGCTTTTTGACAAAATAGTTACATTCTGAAAACAATATTGGATGAACATAGTGAGAGGTCAAGTATTATTTACAATAGTATGATGAATTACAAATGCATAATAATAATTTACGATATAAATATATTTATTACCTTTAGTTCTCCTTCTATTGCTTCTGATTGTCTTTCAGCTTCATTTTTCTCTTGTAATAATAATGAATTTTGATCACGTAAAAGATCAATCTCTCTCAATAAAGAAGAAATCCGATTTTCCAACCATTTATTGCGTTCACATACAATCTTGTATTGCCTCTCCATCTCTCTGAATTGCAGTAGTAATAACATGAGAAAATAAAACAGATACTTGACACCAATGTTTACAGAAAATCTTCTATTCTACTATGATATCATTATCAAATAATGAATATGTTATAAATTGATACATGTCAAATTTGAAAATGTTATAAAAAGCCCACATAGTAAGTAGTCAATGGCCTTGTTTTGATTCTGCATAAAATTTCCAGATGAACAGATTTGATTGGTCTCTATTTTTACATTTTTCAGAAATCAAATGAAGGCCTTTTTGAACTTGATTTTTTAAAATGATGATTTTTTAAATGAAACTACTCTAAATCAACCTTAAAATCAAGAATTTGAAATATTGAATAAAATTAAATTTGAATTGATGTGAATATTTGATTTATTTTAAACATATCTGTAACATAATCATACTTGTCGAATTCTCCACTGAGAGAAAGACTGGATACTGGTGTTTGACTTGGTTTACTTTTTACAAAAGCATTTAGTTGTTTTTCTAAAGCTGATTTTTCTTTTCGTAATCTATCCATATCTTTTCTTAAATCTGTATTTGAATCAGTCCTGAATAAAAATAAAAGTTGAAAATACAAATACTTTATTGATTCATTCTACCGCATTTCAAAATATCTCCTGATTGCATTGAATCAACAAATCAAATGTCATTTATTTTTATTATTTCAATTCATAAAACAATGCAAAAGTATTTGTTCAACAAATGCACTCATTATAGGTGGTTAGACCTACTCCACCATCAAGTTTATGCATCTGAAACAAGTAACTGGCTAACTAATCCCATACCTGACATGGACTAGTTACCGAACGAGAGGCTGTGTCTCGCCATATGATTAAGCCATCTAATTGACTTCCCTTTTCCCCGGGATAAAAATGAATATCCTATCACCTTTCTAATATTATTATTTTCTTTGATATGATTTAGCAAAAATTGATGATGACTCACATGGATTCCATAATAATAGTTTTCCCTTTCAATTCATCTCTTTCCTTCCTAGCTTTTTGTTCTTGCCTTTGTGCAGAAACTAAATTTCTTCTGAGTTCTGATAATTGGTGATCACGAGAAGCAATATCTTCAAGAGCTCTTTGTAAATCATGTCGAGCAGAAGCAAGTTCAATCAAAGCTATTCGCTCATTGTCATCTGACTGATTGCCATCAATATCACCCTGTTTATAAACAAAGTTTAAGTAGTATTGCCTGTTGGCCCAGAGTATTACAATAGTTTCAGAATGACTCTGCTCTGTGAGGATTCTAATATAATTTATTTATCATATGTGTGTTTTTAGGACATTAATTAACAATAATAGACATTTGCAATTCATTGGCTATTCGCAGAAGCACAATGTACCACTGATAAGGTTTTTCCAACATGTTCATGTTTAAACATGACACTGTATGAACATCAAGAAATTTAAAAATATATGATGAAATCAAGTTCATTTGAAATAATTTACCCAAATATATTATCGATATAGTATCATAGCTTGCAGTTGAATTTATTGAAAGACATAAGAAAGCTTTAATTTATTAGAAAGTTTGTTGCATTTTGAAAATGCATTAGTATGAAGAAATGCTGCAAAAAGCACGTCACGTTACAAATATTTCAGAAATTTACTTTTTTTTAATTTTTATCATGTGGTCATCTTTTATCGTGGGTTTCAAGCTGTACCTGATTTAGTTTTGGGTACAGGTAGTGCCTTATGCTTATTTCAGGTCTCGCTGCACAAATCTGAAATTCACAAAAATGTTGTTTACTGAAAAATACATGTGGCATAAGCTAATTTGGTTCTACTGCACCAATATTTAAATCTGGGAAAATATTTCCTAAAATGCTACCAGACATTTCAATACTAGACTTACCCTGACAGCCTTCTCTTTGAGGTTTTTCAATTGCTGTCGCAAATTCTTGATAAGATTTTCATGCTTAGCTCTGACTTCTGATAATTCTTCAATTCTTGATTTGAGTATGGTACATTCTGCTTCAACACCTTCCAGCCTTGCTTTCTTTGTTTCTAATTCTCGTTGCACATTTTCCAAGTTATCAGAAAAACGAGAGGATCTATAAAAAAGATTCATTCTGAGATGGGTTACAGTCACAGACTTGTTATTATATTAAGCTGAATGAGAATCATGTCTTACAAACACAAACATATGCTGTGTTGGCATCACAGGTTACACATTTCTAATGAGTTCAAATCTCATGCTCACCACCTAACACAGGGTGTAATAGATTAGGTAGGCAATGCAGAAACGGAACATTTCTGGATTTTTTGAAAACGGTAGCTTCTTAAATATCAGTGGGAATCGAAACTTACAAAATGACAAAAAAGAAAAGCTCGGTGGTGTGGTGTGGAATACGTTCGCCACCTCACCTCTGATTACCTTGTGTGGGGTCGCAGGTTCAAATCCCATACGTAGTAAATTATGTGTGAGAGGATTGCTGGACTCCTTGCCACCGTAGGGTGGTTCATGTAACCGCTGGTCAGTTACAGCTTTTTCTGCAATCAAGTCCATTCATTTGAAAATAAATAGTAGGCTTGACTAATCCCCGGGATAAACATGTACGGTATGTAAAAAAACAGCATAATTATACAGCTAGCTACGACATTCCTATCTTACATACTGTTAATCACAGTACAATACCAGAAACTGCAATTCCATGTAAGCTAATATGCAGGGTGACAGAATATATGTTTTCAGCACACAATGAGCAAAGCAAGCTGGTCAAACTCACGACGTTTTGGTAGACTTTTCCATGATTTCCAGCTGTGATGACATAATCACAACTCTGTCTTCTGCTGTTTTTTTGGCATTTTGAGCAACAACAAGTTGCCCCTTTGTGACAAGATAAGATTTTTCTTTATCTTCTAGTTCAGTCTTCAGTCTTGAGACCTCAACTAAAATCAAATAGTACTGAATCGAAAAATCCCATGGATACGATTAACATTTTCAAACATTTTCATTGGCATTATAGAAATATAGCATTTGTCAAATTTAGACATTCCTATAGCCAGCAATTGGACTTTTTCACATTCAACAAGAAGCATAAAAATCTATTGTTTCAAATGGAATAAAACAAGAGATAGAAATATCATATTTTCCTTCTGATGTTTAGCAAACAAAAATGAAGACATAGTGATGAATTCAACCGAAAAAGTAACTTGTCATCAATGATGTAAAAAGATGTGTTTTCTGAATTATGTAAACAATTTCTTCATCTTAATAGCATTGTGTTTCAAACATAAGCATCAAAAAGCAGCAGATAACAAGTAATATAAAATTTACCATTATCTATGAAAAATATGTTATTTGAGTAAACAGTGAACCATGTTAACTCGACCATAACACAAACCTCTTAAGTTTCTCAGATCTAAAACATCTGCTGATTGTGTAGGACTTCTTGCTGATGATGTGAGAGAAGATCTGAGTACTTTTGCTTCATCTTCCAGACTTCGAATTCTTGACTCTAACCTCTCCTTCTCTCGTTCCATTTTTTTAATCTCTCTTTCATGAGTATCTGTTCGGGCTTCTAATAAATTCTGTAGGGTATCAGCTTCCTTTTTAAAAAAGATGAAGAGAATTAAAATAAATTGAAATGAAAATATATGCACATATCATCACAGTGATGTGCCTATTTCCTGTTTCTCCTCAGTAGGTTTGTGACCAGTGATTTTATATATACAGACCAGATTATGCTCTATTTAAAAAGAAAAGCGATTTGACTAAATTAGTCACAACCAATTTTTAATAGATTAGACCCCCTTCATCGGACATTTCAAGCAGAGCCAAAAAAAGCTTGTTGTAAGTAAGTGAATCAAATTTTTACCAAAACCTAGCATGCAGATAAACTACAACTTTCATTGATATGATTAACATAAACGTTGTCAATTGCAAAACTTGCATTGGTGGTATATTAGGCAGAGTCAATAATATAATTTGATCATAAAATCTTGAAAGCTTAATTTTTGGATTGTAAAATAGAAACATCATTCGAGTCTGATTTTGTTCAGACAAAACGTTACAGAAATACATTTGTGTTAGTGTGCAGCAAGACCTTTGAATTGCATAGAATCATTCAAGAAGTTTGATAAAAGGTTGTATTAATACGTAACATTAAACTTCTTTGAAAATCGTCACAGGCGAAAATTGCTATTTATGATACAGAACAATGGGTACGCCCCTGGTCACAGGATTATTTGGACAAAATGTGAAAACTTTGAGATCTGAGATAAGAATGCATATATATATAATATATTAACCTTCTTCACTTGTCCTAATTGATCAGCAAGCAATTTGTTCTTTTCTTGGGCCCTCTTGAGGTCGAATTCTGAAGCTTCTTCTGCCTGAATCTTTGTTACAAATATATATTTAAAATTCACAGTTTTGAGCAAAAAAAAACTTCATTTAGAAATTACTTAAGCTGATTAGTGTAAATATACTACATTGGGTTTCCTTCTTAACAAATATGATTCCAATGCTCCATTGGAAATATGGAAAATAAAATGCATATATTATGCACTTAGCTTACCACCTAATATTTTTTATTAAAATAAGAAGTGTTTTTCACCCTGATGTTGTCTTCCTCCTTTGCCAATTTCTCTTTGAATGAGTTTACTGAAGTCAATTTATCGACAGCAATCTTCAACTGAGATTGGAGTTTTTTCACTTCAGCTCCGAGAAAGTCATCATTTCCCGATTTTGTCGGCTAATAAGATATGAAGGAAAACATTTCAAACTTTTATTAGGTAATCAGGCGGGATATTTTATTAAATGCATACTATACACCGAGCACCCACAGGTGGGTAACAATGGCACCAGCAGTACAGAGAATACAAAAAGCAGAGAGATAGCTAGGGTACGCTAGTTGTTTTATCCACAGAACCGCACTCGAGCAGACATTGCCAGACAACATTACTGATCTTAGAATCATTCATGATCAGAGAGTTTTAAATATGCACTCGTTCGCTCTATTAATATTGTAAGTCAAATGTCAAACTCAGTTTGTGTCATTTCACTCTAGTACTCACAGATTTTGTCAAAACATCTCTTTCCATTTCTAACACAGCAATCATCTGCTGATTCTCCTTTATTTCTTGGACTAGTCTTTTGTTTTCTGCCTTGATTTCAGCAATCTCATGCTGGAGTTCTTGCATAATAGAAACCTTAAAATGATATATATTACTTTATGTGAGTAAAATGCAAGATTATAATACGATGACTTCAAATATTTGAGGTGTATTCTGCACATTCACAAAAACTATATTAATAATTATGAAATCATAACGGTTTTTATCTTCAGTATCCCACTACAAGTGGATATCTATAAATGTATATTCATATAATATATGTGCGAATGGATGTATATATACTAGGTTATATATATTATATAGAATAGAATAATCAAATCTATTGCAGTAAAATTAAAACAATTCTTACAACTAATGGTATATTATGTTTGTAAAGCAGTAGCTACAATTTTATTTTATTTTATTAAATACTAGCAATAGATGCATGACACCAAAGTGGTTGCAATATTAGCTTTCACTTTAATCACCTAGCCTAGCATTGTGCAAGTCTTTTAATAAGTTATTTTTGAACCTGCCATAAAACACCACCTGATTCTCAAGGCTCTTGTTCTCACTTTCCAATCGTTCTGCGACATCTTCTATATTTCTCAATTTAGCTGATATTTCTCGTTGATCTTGATCTCGCTGCTCCATCAAAGAAGTTAGTTTAGTGCATGTCTCCCTCCAGTGATCAAGTTGTGATTGGTCATGCTCTACAGTTGCTGCTAGCTCAAGGTTCAGTCTTTCAGAACGCTGTATAAGGAAATTACAGCATTAGGAATCTTCCTACATTTGAAATATGAATACTAGGGTTGTAACATGACAAGGACATAGTGTTGATCAGCTGTGGGCAATTGTGGCTTGCGAGTACATTGATGGAAACCAGTCATTGACATATGGCAACATGAATCTCATAAAATTTCATTTAATTTTTATTGAATTACCGGTATATATAAATTTTCAATTATTTGCAAGCTTTCGTGGTCTGCACAAAAATCCACCACAGTGAGAGCAGAGTAAGTTTGATCTTGTTAGTGAATAGAAGAAAACTGTGTGTTAAGATTTAAAATCTTACTGCTTCAGATTCTTTATATTTTGTTTCCAATCTATCGCGCTCTGCCTTCAATTCTCGTAATTGCTGTGAAGAATGCTGAGAATTTTGTTCCGTTTGAATTTTCAAATTTTCATGAGATTCTTGGAGCGTTATCAATCGCTGAAAAATACAAATATGCTTGACTATCATCATATTAGCATTTCAATCTTTTCAGTGCATTCATCTTGGGTAGGTTTGTGGTTGTCAGTGGCTGCTCACATAGAGCCTCCACATGACAGACCTGAGTATTTATACTTGCAAAGCTTTAACAATGCAAAATTTATATTTTTAGCATTTCGGCTTCTAAGTTGTGGCTTTATCGCTTTTATCTATGAAGGGGAAAAATGACTAGATAATTGGAACAGATAGAAAAAGAAGAAATATTCAACAAGTCCACTCACCGAAGCAAGTTCATCTCGCTCACGTTCTCCTTGAATATTCTGTGTCTCCAGCAATCCCAACCTTTGACTATCAATTTTGTGTTTGACTTGACATTGTGAAAGTTCTTCTTCTCTTGATGACAGCTGATGTCGAACTTCTGCTAAACTGTTAGTCAGGTCTCGTTGACCCTACACAATAAAAAAGACAATACAATTTAGAGACGGATACAAATATACATGCTCCAAACAAGGGCCTGTACAAGTAGCCAATGATATCCAACGATATGTAAGAGGCTACTATTATTAAAGGAACCGGATTTATTCCTGTTTTGCATTGCTTACTAAATTTTTTATATCCTAAGTGGGGTGGTGGCCATTGAATTGAATCTTTAGAACCATTGTATTCTCAAAATCTTAATCAGAAACTTGGGGTAAAATTTCCATCTAGTAAATGTCATTCGAATTGTTCTTAACCCGACAAATTGTTTATCTATTTCACAGACCATGAGACGCATCGGTAATAAGGCCCACCATCAATAAATAGCTTAGATTGGAGTTTTGTCCATTTATAAGTCACACAGGGTTATAAGACGTAACAGTATTTAAGCAGTATCGAGTTATCGTTTATTAAAGTTCATAAAAAAACTCACTATTTTATGGTAATTGTACTTTATTCATAGAAAATGTGAAACGTTTTTTTTTTAAAACCGGTAGAGGTTGTGAGTGTACGCAAAAAAGCATGAAGCTCTACCTGATCCATAAATTAGGTGCTGAGGTATGGTTAATTTTTGAGGGAAAAAGGGATTTGAAGTGCACCCTATAGTCCGTAAAATATGGTAAATGAAGATTAATGAAAAGCAAGTTATTGTAGGAAAGATCTCGTACTTTTTTCACTAGTTCTAGTTCATCACAATATCTGTTTTTTTCCTCAGTTGTTCTTGAATATTCTAACCGACATTTTGCCAATTCTGCATGAAGTGTTGTGAGGTTATCTTCCAGGGTGATTTTATTCTGCAAAAAATAAAGTTTACCAATTAATTTTTTTATATCAATACATTGAACAAGACATGCAAATGCAAATAAATAAAAGTCTGTTATCTTTTCTGTGGGTACAATTGGCCTAATGCTCATTGATTTTGGCAGAGATCCTTGCAGATCAACATAATTTCTACTGTCATAAGTTTTTTTCTTATGATTAATCCAATTTTTTTAACGACAAATTTCAAACCCCCACGCTTCGAACAAGCGTCTGCATAAGCAGCCACTGCTATTTTAAGAGCTACATTACTTTGAAATAACCAGAATCTTTCCAGGTCGACATTGTCAACAACCTCATTTATTACACCCTAGGTGAGGCAGTGAGTAGTGACCATAGCATTTGAATCCGATATCACCTTCATTTTTATCATTAACTCATGTACTGTTAATGTATTTGTGTATTGTTGGGCTATATAAAACATTGATCCATCTCAACAATGCCAGAATTCAACAAACTTTGAGTGCAACCCACTTCTTTTAGCTGTTGATTTCCATCTTTCACTGATTGTAATGTTCTTTCCAATTCTGTAATGTATCGATTTGAGCGGTCCATATCACTCTGAACATCTCTATATGTTGTTTGTAATTCCGCCAATTTATATCCCTGTTTAGCACATTTTTCTTTATACGTTTCTGAATCCTGGAACATATATTTGTTGAAATATTCATGATTTATTTTGCTAACCTATCCATCTTAAAAAGTACTGATTCTAGCATTCCTCGACAAGTAAAAATAATTCAAGTAACAAAGTTTTTTAAAATTTGTGTATCTCAATTTTTCTTGTGCTCAACCCATTCCCACCTAATGACACTGGATATATTGAATTGGACAAAAGCACAGAAAATACATGCTCAACTAAAACCAAGCATTCCAAAACAAAAAACTAATTAATTATTCCTATAACCGACATGGAATAGTAATCAGAGGAGAAGTCGTATTCCGCCGTATGATTAAGCCATCTTCTCAGGTTTTCCCTCCCATGATAAATGTTAAAATCCCATTCCAACTAGTAAAAATCAAAAGGCATACTCTCATTCTTGCAATTTGACTTGCTTTATTCATAAATCAACATTTACATTGCAAAAGATTGATTTCTTACATGTTTGCATGTTTGTAGTGATATTTCTGTTTCATCAAGTTTGTTCCTGAGCTGAATAACGCTGTCTTCTGCTGTGTTAAGACGATTACTGAGTTCTGTATTCCTATTTATGATTGCCTAAAAACATGAATCAACAAAAAGGTTAAAAAGTAGAAGAACAACCCCACATTTATTTTAGCGATTTGAATTTTAGAAGCAAACAGTGAGTACGGTAATTAACTAACCTGTTGTGATTCACGCAGATTAGAAACATCGTCCTGGGCGTGATTTTTTTCTTTTTCTAAAAGTTCAATCCGCTGTTTTGCAACTGATAAATGTTCTTTCAAAGTTGATAGTTCATCACACAAAGCTGATTTGTTCTAGAAACAAAGTAGGTGAGAGTAAACTATTTGAAATTTTGTTAACAGTTTGGATGTTAGAAGTCGGGTCTCGTGAAGCAAACGCTGTAACTGTTTAAATACCTTCAAACACAATTGTAGTGTGAAAATGAATGCTGTAAGTGCTTAAATAACGCCAAACGAAAATGTGATGTGAAAATACAAACCAAATTTTAATTTTTTTTCTGAAAATAAAAGTCCGTCTTGCGCGAACACAATATGCTAAACGCATGGGACAAACGAATGGGGTGAATTGCCGACCTTTTCGCATTTTCGACGGCGATGTTTTAAGACAATAGGGTGTAATTTCGATCTTTTTACATAAAATTTCACATCACATTTTCGTTGGGTGTTATTTGAGTAGTTATGTCATTTATTTCACATCACAGTTCTGCTAGGCGTTATTTAAGCAGTTACTGCGTTTACTTCACTAGACCCTAGAAGTCTATTGATTGCCTGCAATGCAGCACATTGTAGACAGTGCACACATAATGTAAAAAAAGTTGTGCTAATATGGTGTAGTTCTATACTGTGCATATGACTGTATGACATTAAAATTGCTATTATTATGCTACGTTCTTGTATTGTTTGTTCTTGTATAAATCGGTAGAAAAGAGGAAGAATTGTAAGTTATAACCTACTACCTAGGAGTGCTAAACTGCCGTTATTTTTATGAGGAATATACAACCTACTTACATCGCACAACTGTGTTTCAAATTAGGTCAGCATAGTAATCAGGTCTTATAAACGCCTTTTACTGCCTTACATATTTACAAATAAACTTATACATCAAAACAATATTGAGGGGAATTCCCTGGTTTTGCACACAAAAAAACGTTCGTGGAATGCCTCGCCGAGTTATCTCAAGAAAACGTCAGTCTGACGTTTGGGGTCTAGTAAGTGGTGGCGAGTTCTGGTAACAGTACCGATATAGAGACTACTCTAGACTATATTTGGCCAAATGCATTTATTATCATAAATTTTATGCAAGATTAGCACCCAAAATAAACCGTTAATTGCCACTATCACTAATGACGGAGCCCATATATTTTCTTGTTTTTTTTTATTATGTTTTTATCGTTTATTTTAAGCCCAAAAAATTTATGTTTGTTCGGATAACGTTCCTGAGTTTTTGTTTTTGAACACGAGGTTCTCATATAAATCGTTTTGCTAAATCGATATTGTTGTTTTGCCGGGAAAATCTAATTCTCGGCTACAAATGGCCTAATTGATTCCAGTACCCAAAGACGGAAAAGTAGCCAAAAAGCTATTCATTTTATTGAACTCAAAGTAGCCCAATACCTCTTTACTTGTTGTTGTTATCGGTAATTTAAAAACAAAAATTATTCTTCGATCGATTTCAAATGTCTATACGCCAGAAAGCTATCGCTTTTATTTTTTCAATTACCTCAACGATTTTCGCCCACTATTTCGTTTGTTCATTTTAATTCACGGGATGCTGTTTTTAATCTGCCAAGCGTGGCGGCCAACAACATGTGTTCTTCGCATTGTTATGCGCACCAGGCAACTAATGTTGGTCAGCCTGCAAGAAGTAAATTTGGTCTTCCCATGGACCATATAAAACTCTAATTGAGTAAATTTGGCGGCATGTGAACAATAAAGTTATCGTTTAAAATAGGTGTTTTCATCTAAAATTAATCTCTGACATTTATTCTCCGTGTCCACGTATTTCAGCATTATTCTCATATATATGTATATATATATTTGTTTTCAAATAAACTCTTCAAGTTCTAAGCACACAGTAGGCCTACACTTAGAAGGCGTTGCTGTGTCCGGTCTAAGGAATATCATACACGTTTCAACCTTTTCTCAAAAGTTGAGATAAGCCCGCATGATTTGATTATCTGTTCGCGTTGATATTTTTCCGCCCGCATGTTATCATGGTCAGGATTTGATGCGCTTGCTGATCTTAGATAAAGTGTTAGGAAACCGTTTTCGGGCGAATGTATGCACTCAGAACATATTATTGTGATCTGTTGCGTATAAAGCAGTGGTTCTCAAACTTTTCGAGCCGCGCCCCCCTTTGAAAAATTTTACAAACTTCGCGCCCCCCCTTTTTTTTGCTTTGAAAAAATGCTTTCGTGGTGGGCAGGTCGCTATATATTAAGATGCTCAGATTGTTTAGGCATAAAACGCTTCGGAGTACAACTTCGCCGTTCACTGTCGCAGACTAAGGAATTTCTGTAACAGTGATATCTTAAAGTTAATCGAGCATTGCAATAAAGCGGAGTGAGAGTTGCAGGGACAGCTCATAATGGTGAAATTGGCAAGAATATAAATCAAAACAAAATGTAATCGGGCACTTTCCCACACATTTTTATGGTTGCAGATTACCGTGGTATTTTGGAGTAGTGGTGCTTTTATTTTATCGACGCAATCGCAGATTTAATTTATCACAATTAAATGTGAATAATGCAACCATTTTAAATAATATCGGTCATGAATTGATATTTTATTCAACAAGAAAACCGTTACATATCCGTTGATAAAGTCGGCTCTTATAACGACTGGCGTAATCTCGAGGACTGACCAGGGATCCGTACCGCGGGGGTATCGAGTCGATGAATATGTATTTTTCATCTACTAATATACTTTATATGTATTTTAATTGTACTAAATTAAATATACTCTCTGGGATATTATACCAAATCTTTCTACTGAAGACAACAATTTCGCATAAGTGCAATATATATCAAAAGTAATTCTAATCGGGCAGTTGATCACACTTTAATATGTACGCGGATTGACGTGGTATTTTAGATCGATAAATCGAGTTTATTTTGACACATGAATCGCGGCAACCGCGAGTTACCGTGAACACAAATGAATTAAAATAGAGAGCCATTTCGAATTCTTGTAGTTATTACGAGATAAAAAATTTATTATACCACGCAAAAGCCGGTATTTTTAACGAACGCGGAGACCATTTCAGGAGCCGTTACATGTAAATTTCCGATTCCATCCTGTGACCTTACCAGTTTAAGAACCACTGGTATAAAGTGTGGAATAGATTTTCCCATTTGCTTATATTTCACGTTTTTGAGCTATTTTCATTTGGGTACACTATTTTAGAGTGGTAAGTGAGTGAAACGGGAACTTATACTCCACTTGCGTTACGTCTGTGTGTCGGAGACTAAGAGATGTTCAGAAGCTACCGTCTATCTCTGTCCAGTTTGACAAAGTTCAAATGTAGTAAAATTAATCGTCTTGGTATATCGCCCAGAAATTGAACATTTGTAGTTCACAACTTTTTAGACGATTAGTTTGTCCATTTGCGCATAGCTACATTTAATTTCTTACAGCACCAACTGAAACACAAGTATTTTCCTCAAAAAACGAAATACTTCTTAGCATTCATATAAAAATATATGATTGCGGGCTCCAAACCCATCAATCATGAGTTACGAGTCCTGATTGTTTCAGTTGTGTCAGTTTCAAGTTGTGTCAGTCCTCACAAAAAGTCTATCTGGTTGATTTAGGTCATGAAGCGGAAATGCCTTGTGATTCTGATCATGTACCATAGAATGTCCGAACTTATTTATGGAATAAAACTAACAAAATTAACCAGTTAGTGAATTGCACGGTTTATGAAATGGAATAAAGACCAAGAGTATCATAACTACCGTGTTTCCCCCAAAATAAAACCTAGCCTGAATCCTAAAAATGATTTAAATATAAGCCCTCCCCCTAAAATACGACCTAGTCAATAACGCAAAAATATATTTGACCCAATCGATAGCAATAAATCTTTCCTACACGTTTTTTAAATGATTGATAATCTATGTTTTACAGTTATTTTTAATAAAAATGTGTTATTTAAAAGTGAATGGATATCAGTTTTCTTATTTTGTATTAAACTCTCGTAATTCTCTACTTTGTAATTTTTTTTTTTTTTTATAAATGAAAATATAGGACATCCCTCGAAAATAAGCCCTAGTGTTATTTTTCGGAAGAAAATTGAAATAAGACCCAGTCTTAATATCGGATAAAGACGGTAGGTGTATACCACAGCCAATAAACATGGTGTGCAGATGTTGGTAAGATATGTGCTTCGACTTACCTCCAATAATGTATGATTATTCTCTTGCATATTACGTATTTCTTCTCTTGCATGATTTAGTTCACGTTGACGTTCTTCTTTGTCGGTATCCATCAGATCTAATTGACATTCCAGTCTTTTCATTTCATGATGAAAATTGTCAGCCCTGTAGAAATTTGATAAATGTTGTCATTTGGGTTTACCATACCTCGTTTATGTTTGTTTGCTTAAATTAGGATCCCGCATATTTTTGTCGGTGTCATAAAGTTTGTAGCGTTTTAGAAGCTGCTCAAACATTAAAGAAGCATGTAAGTAACTATCACGAGTCACGGAAGGCCCAAGCATGATATTGATCAACCATATAAAACTATGTATTTTAGAAGATGTTAATGGTATCAAAGTGCCATATTGGTATGCCTTGTTCAATGACCCCACTTGGCGAACGCTTTTGCCAAACAAAGCAAATTATCGCCTAGATACGAGAGGTACGCAATGACAAATGCATACAATAACCCAATCAACCCTTTGGAAGCATGAAGATATCCAGAAATCATTGCTGAATGTATTCCTGACTTTAAGAATTGTTGAACACTGGTGTGAATGTCGTATATTTTGTGTTGACCGTTTATTCATCGCGTTAATGGTTCAGTTCAGTTAAAGTTCCAACTTTGTGCTATTGCGAGGTCCTAACCATGTAATCTAAGTGGAAGGCGTTTCAAAATGTATGAATTATAAAACGGCGATATTGACCATTACCAATTTGAAACAAGAAAACAGTGCTTCGGAATCGGTAATGGAATATCGTTAAAATTGCGCGGATCAAATTTACGCGGTTCACTCATATAGCCTACTAAATTGTTTTTATCAATTTGTATATAACTATACTTCGTAAAGACAATAATGATTATTTAACATATGAGGTAATGAAACCTACTCTCTCCGGAGGGTTTCTTTCTCTTCTGCGTCGTGTAGTTGGCGATTGAGATGGGAATTTCTTTCTTTTTCTAAATATTTTACTTTTGTTTCCAATTCTTCCTGAACTTGTTGAAGTAATTTTGATGCTGCTTTCGTTTCTCTCAATTCTACTTCGCCTTTTTTAACCGTGTCATTTTGAATCTATATAAAAATGAAGGTATAGCTAAATATAAGGTATGTGATTTTATTGTGTTCCCGAAAAGCAAATTGATCTGACTGACAGAACGATCTAGTCTAATATGGATTTGAGCCAAGTTTGTATTACTTTCAGTAGCTACATTGGCGTACATTTGGAGAACGAAATTTATATTCTGTTTAACTCTATACTACAGATTTACAATCTTTCGTAGATAGATGTAAAGTAAAGAGATCACCTTATATTATTGATGTCACAGTAAGGTTGAATTAGGTGGTATTTTATAAAACACCACAGACGAATCTCTTTTTTTCACACTGTCTTCAAATCTATGCATTTACTTACAATGCGAGAAAAAGTAATGTGACTAAGATTAGGTCACATCAACTTCTCTTTTTTCAAATGTTTTCCTTAATTTGTGAATTATCACCGACTAGGTAATATAAAGTTTAAAGTTGGGTGAAGCGCAGACTATATTTGATACGTAATTCCTAGAACTCTTAATATACTCTGTAGATTTCAGATGATAGAAAAATAGACTTATCACCTGAATTTTAGTGAATGCAAATGTATACTATAAGCCAGGGGTGGCCAACCTGCTTTCGACCGCGATCCACTAAAATCTTCAAAATAGTTCGCGATCGACTTATCGGTAGTAAGGTCATACACAAAAACGAATACTGAATGTACAAGTACTGCATATGCAGATAACTGCACACACGCATACAAAAAATTTCACCACTGCCAATATTAAACCTTTGTGGGCGAGTACTGAAATCGACATGGCATTTGTATTTTTTATGTTCCATTTAAGTTGTTGATTTGGTTATTTAATTGTACCCGGAGTGAATGTTTGATCATTTTTTCCGGATTTAATCAAATCATACACTTCAGATATAAAGCGTGCCTAATTATTAGTTGTAAGCGTTGAAAATTCTTCAAGAAACTTTGCCAAGTATTCATGTATTATCTATACAGCGAAAAATAAATATTTTCCAACCATGAATGCTACATGACTGCTCAAACTTCAGTATCTAATTTACAATTTCTTCCAAATTAAAAAAACTGGGCAGGCCACTGCTATCATTGCAATTTCAATTTATCACACTACTCCTGGAATGAGACAATAACTCTAGCATACTGCAGAAGTTATTGTAGGATTGTTTTGTCAGTCGAGACACAAGATATTGGGCACTTCATTTTTAAACTTGCATTTGTTATGTAATAATATGCTTAACTGGGCTTGCCTAGACTCAAATAATGTATGTGTATATTGTATTTTGCGCATGTAAAGTATTGAATTCTTCATGTTTGAAACTGGTTCCAGGCAATTTTTGGGGGTATTTTATTAAATTCACTCAACATCAAACGCGATGGACTGCTCGAGGCGTGTCGAACGACCGGTCGATCGCGATCGATGTGTTAGCCACCCCTGCTACAAGCAATCAAGCTTTCGTTACTTCCTAACAAACTTTGTGAGCCATAGGTCGGCCATCGTCAACTTTCATCGCACAATAGATAGATCGAATTACCGACGTATATAACAAGCCATTTATGTTAGTAAAGAAGATCTCCAAATTTTGTTTAGTCTGATAATTAAATATTTATAAATATTAAAAAACTCTTCCAAAATACATATATCGAAATTTGGCCAGTACCTCCATTGTTCTTTGAGTTTCTGCAAGCTTCCTAAGCAATACATTTCTACGCGATTCACTGTCACCGAGTGCATCTTGTAAATTGTCTCTTTCAATTTCCAATATTCGAGGTGGAGTGGTAGGTGCTGGAGTTGGCGAATAAGAATCTCTTAGGAATCTGGACGGGAAAATATGATTCAAGATATCAGTTGTATTTGAAATAATGCTCCTATACAAACTGCCTTGCGATTAGTATTTGAATTTGTCTTGAATATAAGTGATTTTATAGAAGAAATTTATCAATATTTCATATATATATTTACAACGAAATACTTTTAGTGCATCTAACTTCCACTGCAGGACTATCGAATCACAACATGACATCGTTGTTGATTTTTGAACAAATCAAAATCGTATTGCAAAATACACTTACTTTCGAACTGGCGAAGGTGTCCTGGACTTTGAAGGCGAATGCGCACGATTCATGCGATACGTTGAAATCCTGTCACAATTATTGTTTCGTTTGTTTTCATCTTGGTGTCGATAACTTTCATCCAATACCTGAAGGGCTCTTTTCACCGCAGCAGACGGTGTCGAACGGCCGCTACTGGGTTGCAAACTATAGAATATAAAAATGTCCTAGGTTATAAAAAGTAGAGATGTACCGGTATATCGGTATCGGCTAATGATAGACCGGCTAATATGCGTTAATGGTAATATTTTTTGCCTTGGAGGGATCATTTATTGCCTCGTTAAACTCGTCATAGTTGAAATATTGTTTACTGTAAATTTACTGTACGCAGATAAACATTTTATTCCATCTGCCCGTAAACTGAGGCCTCACCTGCTGTTATGTAATTTCTATTTTATAATATTAAATATGGAGGATCCAATAACAAATCGATATATATTATTACCTTATTTGAATAGTTTACTCAAATCATAACCACGGGAAATGAATCAGAGAATTAATAAGATAACTATTATTTGAAGTTTAAGACATCACAGGGATTCCACGAAATTACGCTGCGTGAAATCAGAAACTAGACTTATAACTAAATACAATACAAAATTACAAAAAGAATTTGGAATGTGGCGATTATAATAAAAATTGTAAGAAAAATTTACGCTTTGCAGCTTAAAAGTAGAAAATTAAATATTTTACTTTGTATATTTAAATGATCCATCCCCTCCATGGAGGTAATTTCTTCTAGATCGTGAGGGCGAACTTCTTCTCGACGAAGGTCTTAAATGATAATCTCGAAGTGGATAATCCATGTTTTCTTTTTAGCCATAGAGTTAACTCCACTGCCTATATTTTACGAATAAAAGTATGTTACTTGAACGTTTTGAAAATTGTTAATAACCTGGCACTTTTACTTTTGTAAGCTCCTTTACGCTGTTACTAAGCATAGATATTTAGTTAAAATCACTTGTGGCATGTCGGCATTCCAAATCAAATTGAATAGACTAACTTATAAAAAAAAAAGCGTGGAAGCTAAGTCGGTGAAAAGAAATATTAAACGCTTCTACTTTTTACAGTATTTACAGAGCTAATATAATTAAATCGTAAAACGTAAACCGTCGGCCATTATGAAAGCCATGTAATACAGTATATGATTTCTTAGGGCTGGTTGGTGCTGTGTTTTGTGAGAATAATGGACCTGACTACAGATTTGGTGTTTTTGCCTATACCGATATTGTCGGGACACTAGCCAAAAGTAGGTACATTTTGTTTTTAACTTTACGCTCTAACCACAACATCACTCGCATTCTTGACTATCATGCATTCGTGCTATTACGTTTTCTTGTCGGAAGTACTCTGAGTTATTAGACCAGTCCATAATGCTACAACTAGTCTACAATCATGCCCATTGCTATTTTTATTCAATTTTATTTTATGTGCGTAAAATCAAAAGTATTAACAAAAGTTGCTCGAATATACAAATAAAATTCTGCGAATTCTTAAAACTCAAAGAAATAAACACTATACATCTACGCACGGGCAACACACATAAGCTAATGAACGTTGCTCTTATTGTTTTATTTTGAAATCAACGGCCCTATCGTTGTCTCAATTGTTACAACTATTAACTAGTTACGAAATTAGGTAACATTGTTTTGGTATGTAGGTAGCAACAACCATTTGTGTTATAATGATACTTCACATCCCAACAATAGAAGAAGGTATCGATTTACCAGACAAGTCTGGTCTCGGTATACCAATTGGTTAAAGTAATTTTGTTTTATTTTTGAATGTGATACACTTGATATGTCGCCATAATTTACAGAAATGTGAGTAGTTACTGCCAATTATTGTGTGATTAAAATACGCAACAAACATGTCATCTATGCATGGCACACTGTCAACAAAAGATAAGACTCTTTCTAAAACTATCTCAGCTTTAACACAGATTTTTTCATGCATTGAATTGTTATTCTATCGGGTATTTCTAGTATCTATTCTAGAGCTACATTTTTAAAGTTTTTATCACATGATATGTCACTTTTTGTGTTCACGATAATCTGAAGTAATTCAATCTTGAATATTTCATTCCGAAACAGTTGAAATTATAAACGCATATCCCTAAGCTTCTGGATTTTATTTTGGACAAGTAGAATAAAAAGAACTGTTAGTTAACATCGCCGGTGACTTAATTTTTAAAACATCATAATCCTAAAATTAAAGTTGTTTACCCTTGATCAGACAATAAATTCTTTGTCCAAGATACTGACGCCGTGAACAGAACAAACAACTATTTATAAAATTGCGCCGCTCTTAAATCGTCCGTCGTGTTTAGGAATTTAATAGCTTAGTATTTTATGATATCCTAATGACTAAGCCAAGGATGAACCGAGCAAATGCATTCAGATTATCAGTCTCTTATAAATGCTTTCAATTCGTCTTTCCATAGATTTTTTGGAGTAATAAATGTTTTTGCTTGAACTGGTGAAATAAACCTGGTTTGAAATTTTCGTTATAATTTTTTTTTATTATCAGAATCTTTTGTCACTTCTATTTCTTATTTACTTTTGAATGCTTTATAACCAACCCACCTTTCCCACACGGTATCAGGTTTCAATTTAGAATTCCAATCAAAATAGTCATAATCTTCAACATCAAAGGTAAAATTATCAGCATCATTTTCTTTTCTGTTTCATTAATTTTTCGCAAATGCACAGGTGAAAAGTTCGCTAATATTTATGACTAAATAACATAAAATGTTGTTTCGTCAGTCAGTATATTATAATCAATTTCCTTTTTATGACACATTTACGTCTGTAATAATCGTCGACTTATATACATTGTTATATTAAATTAATTTATGATATTTTAAAGGATGTTTAACAGATCACAAGGCGGAAAATTCTTTAGAATTTCCATTCTCTATCGGTTTTTCAGTGCTTTTGTTAGAAAACTGCAAAGAGTCAGTCTGCTTGTTCTTCTTTTTGCTTTTTATGTACAAGACGTAAACTATAATCCCAACTTGGATAATAGCCAATGACAGAGCAATGCTGAATAAAACTTCGATTGCCACGTCTGCTTCAGTAGGCGACAACTCCATGCCTAATCCTGACCCAAGAATCGGAACAGCTGAGCATGTTGGAGTTTTCTGTGTGGAACACGTAACAGTAGGAGGTGTTGGACATCTTGGACAACTGACTGTAGCATCATGTGATATTGTAGAATCTGGGAATAAAAGTGGAAATTGAGGAAATTATACAAAGGCTGCACATATATCCTAACGTTGGTAAACTATGCCTATAGCGAATATACATACCAGGTATAATAGGAGTTGCCTGCATGACCTGTTGCCAAACTTTAAATGCTTGATCTCCGTATCCTCCAACTATTCGCTCTGCATTATCTTTGAATATCATTGTTCTTCGACTTTCCTCATCGTACCGCAACCACCGTTCCGATTGCGGTGTTGTAGGTAAGTTTGGAGATCTGGAAGAGTTTAAAAAAAATTAAAATAGAAAACATTAGTATATTAACTGTGAATAGAATAAAATAAATTTCCTCGTCAAACTTGGAGTTTCGAGATTCGAATCGAATTCACAATATTTTTAACCCAAGACTGCTGTTGGCTACCAAATTATTTGATTTTGAATTTGGTTTTAATCAAGCTCTTGTCAATATTATGTCGTTCACTTAATTTTCTAGCGGATTAGCCTGCAGGTTGCAAAAGAATTAATTGTTATAGTATTGTTTAAACTAGTACAATACATCTTCCGGATTAAACCACTCCCATGATCTGTTCTTACTGCTTTGGAGTAAATTGAGTTTTAATGACATGATTAGGATGAAAATATTCTATCTTCAATATCAACATTACCTACCCCCTATTCACAAAATTTGTCCAACGATGTCGCATAGCCGATCCTAATGGTGCTCGTACGCTATCAATGTACTCTTCAAAAACGACAGGTAATTCTTCTCCCAGGTCTGCGCCTGCAGTTTGCCATAGTCTTGCACGTGTATGGTATGTTCTATCTTCATAAACATATAAAAATACAGGTTCTGCGTTGGACAGAAGTAGCCTAGAGAATATTTCGCCATAAACTGGGACAATAAAACCGGCGTCTGTATGATAATTTACAACATTTCTACGTATTTCGTTTCTAATGTCTGTTTGTCCCCATGGTATGTAAAAATCAGTAAGAATTGTATTATCATCCTGTGATCTTTTAACGCCAATATTCTCGGCAAAAATATCATTTTCAACAACTTTTGTAATGAGACTTGGTCGAATAGGACGTCTTCCATAGATAAGTTGGATTTCAGGATATGCTTCAAGAGTGAATCGATAACCTGCACCACCGTTGAAACCTATCAACGTTGGCATCGTCGCTACTTTCTGTCTGATATCTTTTACAACGTAACCTTCTATTTTCATATTCAAAATACTGTCTTCAGAAGGCGCGATACCTTCGTTATCTGCATATATTCCAAATGGAAATTGCATCGGTACGTTTCCTGCTGCTGTTATAAGCACCAGTGGATCAACATTGCGCAGACATCCGATAGTACTTTGCAAGACGGCATTTTGACAACCTGCACGTACAGCAACTTCCATAAGCTCGTCCTTAGGGTTTATAGAATAGGCCCAAGGCGCAGTAAGACTAGCACTTTGTGCTATAACCGATTGCACTGTTCCTTCCATGATGTCACGAGACATTCCTGCAAGAATATATGCCAGTACTCCTCCAAAACCATCTCCAGCCACAGTAACCTTGTCTTTGCTTCCACCAAAATATCCAATATTTTTGTAAACCCATTTTAGAGCGTTTGTGAGATCATGCAGCCCGGCATTGCCTGCAAAATGAAAAGTATGTAAGTTATCTATAACTTGTTTTATGGGAGGTTTACAAATTGTTGTTATTTCCTAGTGATAAATTTGAATAACAGACATAAACAAAAAAACACCTGACAAGATGTTGTCTCCCGTGCTCAAAAAGCCCAATACGCCAATTCTATATTGGACACGAACAAATATGAAATCTCCATCCAAAGCCATAAGTCGACCGTCGATATCGCATGAATGATCATCTTCCAGTTGACTATGAGGCCCAAGTACGTCGTGCCCACCGTGGCAAATCCATAACATAACTGGTTTGGAATCTGAAATACATTATGTGTGAACAGTCAATACATTTCATAAAAACATGTGACCGTTTTATAACACTCGAAATTTAGTGGTAAGAATCAAGTTAAATCTAATAGCAATTTGCTGGCGTAATTTTAGTGACTGACTCATTACCACGAGGAAATGTCTGTAGAATGCACTGATTAAACAATTAATCTAATCAAGTAAACCAATCAACTTCCAAACCACTGGTGGCATTCTTGTAATGCACCAAAGCAGAACGAAGCTAGCGAGAAAGTAAACAAGTCAGATAAATGGTACGTATTAAGATCCTAACTAGATAGATTTTTTAGCATTTGGTTGTAAACTTTCCTGTAAAAAGAGTAGTTACGGTAATATATCCAGATTCTTCACAGTAATTTATGAAGATTTCCACTTAAACATAAAAAAGTATGGTGGCACAAGTAAATGCAAGTTAGCATGCGATTTTAACCAGTTTAACTGTTATAAAATCAATACGATTCATAAAATGCTGGGTCTTTGCAGGAGCAGCCAAGCGGTCAGAGACAAAAAAACAAAGTTATTACTCTCCCACAATAAAAGACCCTGTCATACTCTGGGAGTATAGGGCGCACAAGAACGCCACCCACATTTTTTTCTGCTCGCATACATAGCCTCCTATATTTGAGTTAGAATAATTGTAAATGTAATACATAGACATGATAAAAATATAAATCTACAGCCATTTAAAGATACTTAGTTTCCGAGGTCGACAGCCCTTTGCATTTTTAGGCTTTGCCCAGGTACATAATTCTATAACGCTAGAGAACTAGTATACTGGCAGATTGATTACTAACCGGTGGATTTGACTAAAAAATGAGCGTCTGCGTCTGGTAGATTGCACTATTGAAATATGATGATTGTAAATCAACCAAAATTCGCAAAAAAGGCTATCGCGAAATGCTTTTGAAAATATCTTTCTTGTGTTACGATCAAGTGATGGGAAATGATATGTCACGGTTCAGAAATATGGTGAATCTTTGAAAATTTGATGGAGCCATACTCCGGGAATTGTTTAATGATTACTTGTTATCTGATGAGAGAACATTTTTACTCAAGCTGTAAATAATGGGCATCTGACCTGCATCGTTGTTTGATGGTCGCCATATATCCAAATACAAGCAATCCTCTCCAGCGAATCCTCCTCCAGCTCCGTTTACTGTTTGCAAGCATCTCTGTTTTCTAATGTTTGCATAAACAGTGGAGTCAGGAGAAGATATTTCACCAACGAAATTGGTTTTGCTGAATCGTAAATCTCCAATAGGCGGTTCCGCGTATGCCAATCCACGAAATACATCGTAATTTCGGTTATCGGAAGTCGAATCTGCATACCCATGAATCATCACACCCGTGTCAGTGGTCACGGTCGGTGTTATGGGGGCCTGTATTGTATTAAAAATATGTGTGAAAGTGAAAATAGAGGAACCTCACACTGTTATTTATGTGGTGGAGTAAAATCTTAGGCTTTAGTATCTGAAAATAATAATTTAGTATGATAATGATAATCATACCGCATATTATTCCAAAAAAAATCTCTACTTTTTAGAATCTTAATCCAGTAAGTGAATTTTTCACTTTTTATCGATTTCTTACCTGATGGCCTTCGCATTGAAAAGAAACATCGATTCTAGGAATCAAGAAATTCCACAGTGATGTGTATTTAGGTCTGAAATATTTCTTTTGGATCACGATTTCTGCAGTAGCATCGAGTTCCGTATATTCGCCATCAAGTATGTTGTAATTATTAAAGACATCGCCGTCGATATCAGTTTGCGGTTTTCTATAAAACGATAAACAGATTCATAGTTTTGTTTTTATTATAATTTATATATATATATGTTCAAAAATGAAATCATCAAAAATGTAAGAGATGTCATTGAAACCATATTCCTATTGCGCAACAACGTTTGCTACAGAAACAAAAATTAAACTGTCCTTTATCGTTTTTAACATACTGCATAACCTACGTACTAATATTTGCTTTCGATATGGAGAAAAATGCATATATATATATATTTCGTTTTTGAGGTATGGACAATTCTCTGAGTGCATGGTCTTAAGATTAGACTATTTGTCCCTGGTTTACTTACCCGTTGCGTGCGAATGAAGTCCAATATTGGATCATTCTGTCCGCCAATAACTTTTCACTTGAATACTCTGTCGAGTTGAAATTTGCCCATATTATCCGTTCTATAGTTCCCCTGTGAGCGCCGTTCAAGTTGGGATACGTATCGTCTGTTGATAAAAATTTGCAATTTGAATTTTGTATTTTCCCTAACTAGCTTTTGTGGCGAATGTGCAACTTATAAAATAATGGTTATGCAAGTGATTGGTGGCAATAGATCAATTGGATAAACTAGGAACAATTCTAGGGATGGTAGACCAAGATGCATGGTGTATTCATAGCGACCAAGCCAACTCACAGATTTAGAATAAGCGTTTAATTTAACAATTGCTAAGGACTGATTCTATTGAAGTACATTCTAAATGCATACCTATTTTGGAGACTAAGTGACACAAAAATGTTCGATTTCGAGGTCGTAATAAAGTTGCCTGTGCTGTAACAGTTGTATTTGCCAGTAGGACACTTGGGGCAATCACGTCTTTATCACCAGCAACATTAAGAGCAGCATTTTTAAATCGATTTTCCAAGGTTCCCGGTTCATCATATACGTCGACATATTCGTACTCAATTACAGATTTGACGCGTGATGGATTTGTATATTTTGCGTCTGACATTATCTGAGTATCGATAAAATCGCTAAACGATGTTCTGTCAGTCACGTTGTTCATGACGTAGTCATAGTGAGATGTGCCTTCGACCGATGTGAATGATATCAAGTAATCGTACTTTTCGGGACTATACCCTTCCCTCTCAAACAATGTCCGTGGTTGGTCAGTTAAAAAATATCCATCCACAACGACACTTGCTGGATAGTTCTCAGCTTCGACCATAAATACCGACAAAGGAAGGCTTTTAAGGCAGGGTACCATCCCCGGATCTATTGGACAGGGGAATTTAGTTGCCAATTCTGCTGCAGCAGTGTTGTCGTCCCCGAACGGCAGATCAGTGCTCATCTGACCGACTCCACTTTGATGAATGACTCTGCTGAACATTGATCCATCATTGAGAACATTCACGGACTGATATCCAACCATTTTTGAGCTGTCATCGTCTCCAAATAATGTGATTGACGTTTTATCTCCACCGAAAAATTCAATATTTTCTTGCAGCCATTCAAGTGCCATGTTTTGATCTAGCAATCCAAAGTTACCTGCTGCCTCGCCGTCCCCAGAATATAAAAATCCAAGGGCGCCAATTCTAAATTTTTAATTAAAACGAAAAAAGAATAATTTCACAAAACTGTTCACGGTCTAGACATATGAGAAATAATCTAACTTCGTTACATCAGTTTTACCCAATTTCTTTGTGGTGAAAGCATTTATTTACACTAATTTTTGAATCACTCGCTAACAGACTCACAATGCGACATTAATGGTTTCGGAAAAATATTATTTTAAACTAACCTATAGTTAAAAGTCACCACAATAACATTCCCAATTGCAGAAATTCTTTTTCCGTCGTAATTCGCTCCTCCGTTCCCTGATACCATGTCAGAATGGATCCATACCATGACTGGTAAAATTTCATTATTGTTTGGCCTATATATATTTAAATATAAGCAGTCTTCCTCTTGTCCCTCCAGATCTTGACTTCTGGGACAATCGGGACCGAACGTATCAGCACTAAAAACGTTGTCACCCCATCCACTAGCTTTTTCAGGGACTGCAAAACGAAGGTCACCTAAATACAAAAACAGGGTTTCAAAAAGAATTTCTCAATACATCATTACCACTACAACATTTTAGATTGTTACATTGTTTCGCTATCTTTCTTACCTATAGGCGCCGTCGCATATGGAATTCCTAAGTAGGTTTCAACATCGACAGCCTCGTATTTTTTCAACACACCGCGGACACATCCATATGTTGTATTTCTAACATAATCTTCAGAGAGGTCGCATTTGGTTCCGTTTTCGATCGCAAAATTTGTTGTACGATGTTCAACAGCAGCCGCGTCAGATGTCAAGTCTTTATTAGTGGAACGAGGTTTTGTGGAAAATTTATTTGACTTGATCCTATATGTTTAATTAAAGATTATTTTAATATTATTTTTAACAGCAAGTTGATCGTTTAACAACGATATGTTATAAGCATACGTACCTTTTTGTCATCACTTCTTTACTGGTACACGAGTCCCTATCCTGTTGTAAAAGCGTGGGAACCAAGTCATTCCACAATTCCATTTCGTAAGGCTTGTAGTCGGCTTTCGAGTTATTCGGATTCATGTGGAAATTGAGCTCCATGTATTCTTTGCCGTTGTTTGTGTACGGATCCCAGCGTATTCCATTTATGGCATCGGAAACTGGTGAGTTTGGGTCGCTGTAATTTCAAATTTAAAGTTATAAGATAAGAAAGATAAACATTTCAAACAAAACTGTGGGCTATATACCTATGTAGGCCAATGTCTTCTTGGCGTCAGGAAATTACAAGCAATCAATAACAATTGATGCGACGAATGAAGCCCTTAAATTAGCCCCGGTTCAAATCATAAATTCAATTTGTCATTACCAAACATGAACTCTGATGAGCCAGCATCAAAATACGACCACATTAGGCAAGCATTAGATAATTCAGGTAAACTATTAGCTATTACGATTAAATAAAAAGAATCGCGTATTTTGAGTATATCTGAACAAGTTTCAAATGTATAGTATTTTTCTAGGCATCTATTGGCAGTTTTTTCAGACTCGAATCGGGTGATTTTGATTTTGTTCTGAATCACTTTATAAACGAACTCTGGTTTCACATAGCATTAGTGACATTACCCACCCGCTTTTTGCAAAATTCGTCCAATAAGTTATCATTTGAAGACTAAGCTCATCAGCTGTACTATTCCATATTCGGTCGTTTATTGTCCTCCTCAATGGTTCACCAAACACATACGGTAGCTCTTGTGCGTGGAAATTTGTTTGCCATTCAGGTATCAAGGTAAATTTGGCTTTGATGTGAAAATCATACATATATGTTGAAGGCCTGCCAGAAAAAAATTCATATTTTCATACTCAGACCTCCCTTTTATTGAGGACGTAGATATTCATTTGAACACCGTATCAAATCAACAATGACTTTTAATTACAACAAAGTATGTAAATAGTATATCAGGCATTATCCACAATATTGTTTCGCATAGCAACCGTATCCGAATTTAGATCAAATAATTGGCTTAGGGAGTAATATCGAAGACATGCGCTAATTCCGAGTGCAAATATCGCAAAACGAACGAAGATTTGACTCATCCGCAAATTTCCTTGAAAGTATTTGTTATGTTCCCCAGGCAGTCCTAATTCCGAAGAAATAGCTGAATTTGCCTGGTTTTCTGTGTGCGTTTACGCTGGTGAAACCGTGCCTCGATTTCACGACGGTAAGAGAGTCGTGACGAAGAACTTCTTTACCACATTCATTTGAACATTGTGTGGGTTACTGACTAGACTAGAGCTAACTTGCAGAATGAGCTTATGATTTTTTTTTAATTGGCAATACTTGGTGACAAACGAATAAAAGTAATTTCTTGATCATTATGAGATAATGAGTAAAATTTATCTTTAGGTTAAACTTTACTAAATCTATATGTTTTTTTTTTAAATAAGAAAAAAAAATTTCTATCTCTCTATTTTCAAACATCTCGCGGTTCACTTACCCACCAACGTGCTGAGCTCTAAGCTGAGCCTGTCGGATAGATGGAGCTGCAAATACAAAGTCAGATGAAGCTCTGACCATCGTCTTTTTAACCGACTCAGTTGTCCAGTCCATCTCCCATTCAACACTGTTGTGAAACACAATATCGGATACATATCGTTGACGATCCGGATACTCGGCGACAAGATTATTCAACTCTTCATATACCACTGTCAGATCTTCCAATTTTATAGGTCTTCCAGTTATCAGTTCTGGTATGATGGTCACAACCATGATAAATGTTTCGTCATAATTTGTCCCAAGCATAACCTCATAATTTGATGTCCTAATATGAAATTAAACACATTAAACACTGTGTGATTGGAATAACCAATGCTTGTTTTGAGCTACCACAATTTGCTATGATATTGTGAAATATATTGCTCATTCCCCATGTATTTAGACTTTGGAAAACATATCTTTGAAACACTACATTTTTACCTGTTAAGCAAAAAAAAGACGTAAGGTATATTTTACTATTTTCAAATTGGACAAACGTGGTAGAAATAGTGAGATCACAAAAGACACAAAATTTTTTTTTAATAAATCCAAGTTTTAATCTATAAAACATATTTTATGCCTAATGAACTTTGATAATAATGACAAGCTTCGTTTTGAATAACTTCACCTGTTGACTAGTGTTTCTGCTGTGTCAGTTAAGAATACGCCATCAACTGTTGGGCGCCATGGAACATACAAGTGAAGTTCTACTGCAGACTGTAGGCCTATGAAATCAAATTCTCCTCTTTTCATCAAACATTCTTTCGAAGCAGTAAAGTTATCAGATCTGCATCCTAGCTCAGTCATGACTCTTTTTCCCAACACACCTGGATTGTAGTCAATTGCGAAAAAACTGACGGAACTTCCACTGAAATGGAATTGTTTAGTTTAAAATCGTGCTTTTGCAATTGTATGCAATCATATACTTTGATACCTTTGTTGAATAACTCTATGGAAAAGACCCTCCGTCATGGGTGAAATACTAAGTACAGCTGAACCAGCAGATCCCGCGGACTCTCCGAAAATCGTTACGATGTTTGGATCTCCTCCGAATTCGCTTATATATTTTTGAACCCATTCCATTGCCAACACCACATCTCTAATTCCATAATTTCCATCCAAAACACCGTTACCGATTTCGCCATCGTTAAGAAATCCAAGAGCAGCTAGGCGATAATTGACAGAAACAACAACCACCTAGAAGGATATACAGTCTTTTACAATACCACGTGCCAATTACCAATTATTACCTATACTCCAATGCCACGGCTTTTTGATACAGATCATCTATTTTAAAATGGATTCAAAATGCACATTAAATAGGGTTCTTTACAACTGTATCATTCCTTCTTCAGCACAATATATATTCCACGTTAACAGTTGACTTTGACATTGGGTTTATGCTATTGGGACATCTGAAATTTAGTTTATCACATTGAGGGGATTGAGCAAAACATACACATTTGAACTAATACAATATCTATTTCGATATTCTGCACTGTCAAAATTTTTAGTTTTACGTAGTAGACAGGCTAACAAGTGTTTCATGTGTAATCTTTTTAGTAATTACTAGTGTTTGCCGTTTGGTAATGTTAGGATGACCACCGTGGTCGACCTATTACCGCCAAATACCTACCTTGCCAATGTCTGCCATAACTGTACCATCATAAAGAGAATTATCAAACATCAGTGGAATTCTGAAACCACCAGCACTACCGAGAGCATACGACCCGCCATGCATGAATATCATCACCGGAATGGGAGCCATCTTCAATGTTTCTTTTATATGTAAATAGAATACAAAATAATATGCAAAATAAGTTGTGACATTACACGATCAACTAAATATGATAAATCACCATTCAAGTTCTGAGGCACAAATATATGGAGATTTAAACAGTCTTCATGGCCAAAATCCATAATTATATGCTGAGGGCAGTCTTTGTATCTGACGGGATACCGTGCATCCAACATATCAGTCCATGGCTCTACCATCCTGACAACATCAAAGCAATGTAAATTTAAAAAAATCATCAAGTCATAAATACTAATGCACTGAGTATGCGCATCGTTTGAAATTAAACAAATTTACAAAACACGTACTCTGAGTACTCGAATCTTTTGGTCGGACTTGCAAATGGAATATGATAGAATGCATCTGCTTCATATGACCCGCGATGTAAATGACGGCCACGCATTGGACCAAGCGATGTAAGTATTTCCGGAAAATTTTCGATATCCAATTCATCCGGAAACGCAAATAAGTCATTATTTGTAACTGTATTCCATAGTAGGCCATCTGCAGAAAATTGTAATGTATGTACACCGTTTTTCCATGAACCGAGCTTGACAACAGGAAAAACTGTTTCCTCCAGAACCCTGTGTTGTAAAAATTTTAAATAAAATTTGTTGAAACAGGAAACAGAAGATAAAAATTCGAAAGAGTGGCAGAAATGCGAGAAAGTGGCAGATAGGACAACGATGACTAAGCTAAAAACCGATTAATAACCGACAGGTATTCTTTAATAGATTACTCGGATTTAGTTTAATGTTTACTATTGAATTAACCTCACGAAGTGGCAAAACATAAGTGATTAATACTGCAAATAAATTAACGCGGAAAGATTAATTACTTACCTGTCTCTCGCAAATCTGATACACAAATCAAACAATGCGTTTTCAAACATATGAGAGACATCGTCGCTTTGTGTACCGAGTGAAAACAGAGTAACCCTACTACCCGTGTTAGATAATGATTCAACATAATCGACTATTGACGTCACATGCTCGCCATCGACGGACTTGAAGTTATATCCAATCAATAAGTCACGCGATTTCGGATGGACTGAAATAAAGACAAATGAAGAAACGAGTCTATTTTTATCAACATGGTGGCCTTATATTAGAATATGAAGTTCATGCATGAGTCACTCCTTACACATCGGGTTATCACCCCAACCATTTTCCGCGGACAATGTGCCTCCTTTAATCGGAATCATTATTGATGAAGCAACAAAATTTGATAACAGCCAAATTGAGGTTGAAAATGTACGCTTATCGAGTTGACAAACACCGGTTGACAAAACCAATATATCGATTCGACATGACTACTCACTGTATTGTCCCATCAATCAATTATCATTTATTTGTCAGCACAATTTTAACTAATTATAAAAAAATAATATTACAAATAAAACAAAACTAAACTACATTGTGTGACAGTTATCTCGGGGGACCTCGAAAGGTCTTCAAACAACGACACCTACTGCTGAGTATAGAATATACAATAAACTTTTTTAAATATTTAAGACGCATGTGCAAGCGTGTACCATAGAGCCAAGGCTATATAGTGTTGGGTATTTGTGAGGTATCTAGAAAAAATATGAAGCAAGAATAGCTAAACATACTTTCATAATCCTTGGTTTCTCCAGTTTCTGCATTAGTCAATAACCCTTGGTGAGAAATCCAATTTGCATCTCCATTTTCTACAACTGTTCTCTGAAAGAGGTGTTGATATTTTCTCACATTATTTGCAATAGATGCCCACAGAGAGGCCTCCCTTCCGAATCCTGCAACCGTAACCAAGGATTTATCTCCGCCGAACCTTTGGACATTGTGCTGAACCCAAATGAGAGCTTCTTCAAAATTTTGTAGGAATTCGGTTTTAGCATCACAGGATTGTGGGGTCGTGCAAGATGATTCCTCTTTGGAGAAAAATGGCGAAAGTATTTTTATAAAAACTACTTCCTGGCAATTGTTTTCTAAGCAAATCTTTGAGAGGTCAATATTTCCAAGAACAAGAAGAACTGGTTTTTGAATGTCTGCTGTATTTTCCGTTACGTAAACTTCCAAGTATGAACAATCGACTCTTCTGTCAGCATCAGACGTTAGCATACCACAGTTCGGATTCTTTGCGTTGTATGGAATATTAGTAAACTTGATAATGGGAACTTCATTGAAGGCACTGTGAAGTTTTTCTCCGATCAGGTTTCCACTAGATGTATCCGTATAATACTCAGCATTTTTACCAAATATAGGGCATATCCAGCAGGCAGCAAATGTTAAGATACTTATACCGGTAAGTTTCATCTTACTTTCTTATACTGAGAAATAGTTTTTGTATTCTCAGTTTCAACGCGTCAAAATATATTATCCTATCATAATATTGTATCATCTTATATAAATATATAACTTCATTTTGGACCTAATTTAGATTGGCTGTGAGGGCGGTCAAGTCGTAAATGGGGTTCAAGCTGAGAAAAACCGAGTCAGAAAAATTTAGCAATTAACGAACCAAAATACCTTGCTATTGCGCTGCAAAATTTCTGCAACCGATTTTTAAAGAAACAGTTTCCAAAGTGCTCGACAGAAAACAGCAATTTCACATTGTTTTAATTAATTTTTATTATAATTTTATGAAGCTTGAGTTTTCATCAGTCCAACTTAGCCAACATGGCATACCACTGCAACCTGATTGATGACACCAATTGGCGCAAACTATAGTTGTTGAGTAAAAATTCTTATCATGTCACGCTATCTTGTCACATCGAGGTTACTTGCAACGCAATCCAATTTGATAAATAGACAAACACCTTATAAAACAAATATTTGTTATATGTTGTTACGTTTTATGAAGATACATATGGTCAATTATTACCTTCTTATGTGGATATCCGATAACATGAGTTTGTTTTAGGAGTAGTTCCAGTAAAACAAATCAGAAGCTACGTGGTGTCGTTGTATTTGGTCAAACTTGTGTTTCGTTTGTTTTGCGATTGCTGAGTTGTCGACTGACCTTGAATTCAATTGATTTAGTAGTATAAAAGTATATTTATCTTTCAGCTTTTATGCGTCGCAGCTGTGAAGTTATTGAGGTAAATGAGGGAAAATTCTCTAAAGACGTGGGATCTGGACAAGGGTGTACATTGTACAACCTTTGTTTCATAAAAGACCGCATTACGGTTTTGTAGAAGAACTACGGCCACCAGCGAGATCGAAGTCTTTTATATTTGAGTTATTGGACACGTCAACGGACATAATGATCGTTTTGCATTATTTTTGGACACCTAGTGAAAAACTTAAAAAGTCGCTTTTCTCTTTGATTACTGGACCAATTTCTTCAAAATTTTCAGTGGTTAAAGATGAATTTTTGTTCTAGAAGGCTATTACTTTTATTTATTTCAAATATTTCTGATAGCACTGTGGGATCCGTTTGTTTGACACGTAATGGATTTGTTTTTATGCTGGCACAATTTTTTTTGTTCTTTTGCTCACGTGCTCATCGAACGTCGGTGGTGTGTAACGAAATTCTTGCTCTGCTATGGCGAGCAGCGCCGTAGATAACGGTAGTGTCAAAGGTAAGATTTGCTTTGCTCTGATGAACGTGTATATTTGAGCATTGCTCTTTTGTATTTAGTTAAAGAAATGGTTTTTATTGATATATCTCATTAACTTGCGTTTGAAACTTGTATGAAATGTTAACATTCAAAGGAATTTACGAATTACGAAACGAATAAAAGCTTCTAGGTCGGTCAAATATTTTTACCGAATTGATAAAGACAGCAATGCCCAAATATTTAGACACATAGGCGAAATTGAAGTAGTATACTGCAGTATCGGTAGTCTAGCTTAAATTCAAAAACTCCCGATTTTGCTGACCACCCACCGGATAACTGAAATGCGGTCGCGGAACCACCACATGGTGCGGAATTTATAATTTTGAATTAGTATATGATGACATCATTACACAAAACTTAAACTAAAACCAATTTTTTAGAGTAGTGGTTTCCAACCTTTTATGGCTTGTGAAACCTATCTGGAGTCTTTTAACAACCGTGGCCCCGTTTTCGCCATTCCAACAAAAGAAGTCTTATCTAGAGTTTATTGTGTATTTACCCTTTTTGATGGTATATAAAAACAAACCAAATGCTAAAAAGATGTTTAATGTACAGCCATATTTATACAAAGGTATTAACAGATAATGAAACTACGGAGAAAATGGTATTTTCTTTAGGACGGAAAAGTATGCAAACGAAATACCATTAAAATCAATTTGTCATATAGTATTGTGGCCCACTGCGACTGCTCTGTGGCCTCCTTGGTGGGCCACGGGCCCCCGGTTGGGAACTACTGTCATAGAGCCTGAAGACATTTTGGAAATAAATAAAAGTAATAGCCTTTCAGTGGAAACAACAATATCAATAGAAAAAGCTAATTTTTCAAAACAACAACAAGTATACCAAGAAGCAGAATGCTACAACAACATAATAACAAAACGATTCATCAGTGTGCTTCGTGTGCAATAGTTCCAACAAATGCCGTATATTCAAATAGTTTTAATCTTCGATCAGAAGCGAGGCCATGAGGGTAATTTATAAAATTATAATTCCACCCCCTCCCGTTGAAAATTACTACTGTATAAGCGATAAGGCCAAAAAAAATCTGCAAAGTCATCATTGTATATACCGGCATGGCGACCATCCTGCCATTGGTGACTCAGTATCATAGCGAAGCAAAGTTTACTAAGAAGTACTACTTCCAAGAGAAAGAAAACTCACCGCGAGTAGGCCTAAATGTGGGAGAATCATAAAATACTGGGAAAATGTGGACTTGTGGACCGTTTTGTTAAATTGTTGGTGGTATTCGTCTTGTTGTTGTAAAAAAACATCCTTCCAGCTGCTTGCTTTAAAAAATTTTGCATCAAAAATTTGAGTGGTTGTTGTTGAAGCTATTCTATTACATATATATATAATATTTATCTCAAAAATTTCTGTGGGCTCTATGAGATTTGTTTCTCACTTTGAATTTTTGTGTGTTATACACATATGTTTGAATACTGACTACTGTAACGGGACTGTGCCATCTCCTTCTCGTATGACCATAGTTGCAGTTGTTCGTGTTTTCCTTGCGGTATATTATGTGCTTTTCTGCTGATTCATAGTTATTTACTTGCGTCAAGCGACTATAAAACCCACTGTGTGCTTTGCAGCACTCGGAATCTTCCAATGGTGTTACTTAGTTTACAAGCATACTTTGATAGTGAAACTGTATCTCTGTAATAGTGTAGTTTTCTACATTAGAAATCCAATTCTGGGTATTTTCACAATATACTCTGAATTGCTGATCGACTATATAACATGAACTAATAATTTTTCTTTAGTTTCCTCTCTTTATTCACATTAATCATTGCTACCATGTTATTGCTCAATTTCATGCTCTAATGATCACAACTACAAATGTCAATCAATCACCTGTAACCGGGCAGTTGATCGCTTACGATACCCTGAGCATGTTCCATATGTGTATGTGTTCCAAGAAGTTGGACAGATATGTGGAAAGTCACAATCCCCTGATATAATACCCCACAACAGTTTGTCGTTCATATAATTGATGCGTTAAAAAGCGTACAAAAAAGCGGCTGGTGATCGAAACGGTATCAGCATACAGGGGTAAGGCTTTAATTACATGTTGATTGCGCACAATAAGACATAAAACTACCAGTGTGCGTAGTTCATGATAAATGTGCAAACGGCCCCAGCATATTATTTCATGATACATTATAATTTACAAAGCTGATCGTTGATAACAAGAGAAAAGAGCTGGCTGTACCAATCTATGATAGCCCATAGTACCCCACGGCATGGATAACATGAGAAATGTGCTGATCGACAATCTCTTTTCAGTGAACTATTCTTTGGCTATTGGAAATAAACATTTTTCTATAAGATCTGATATTTCCATCTAAAATTCCTCTGTTTTATTTTTATTTATGAAAATACGTTCTATGACACCGTGACGACTGTCTTTCACGTCTCTGTGACATCGTAACGGCTAGTACCGCCTTCGTATATTGAGCATCGCTCTCTTGTTTTTTTATGATATAATTTGCTCAAAGCTGTGTAGAACGGGAAAGCTTGATTTAATGAGGTGCCGTTATCCAAAAACTATTACAAATGGCAGCAGCATTTTTCACGATTTCATGAGGTATTTAATTCATACCTAAAATTAAAACTGTTCACAAATAAAAACTGACAAATGGCACATGAAACTGAGTTAATGTCTATAGGCCTGAGTGACAGCTCAAATTTCAATTGATGCGTAATTGGTAATTTATTGCTGATCTGTCATTGTGACCCTGATAAAGGAAACCGAAGTTACCCGTCAACTCTGTTTCCTTAGATATCTCGGAATTTCGTTTCGAGGTTTATTATATTGCATGAGAAATTTAGTCAGCCATTAAAATTTGTCAGTTTGCGACATTATTCATGATGCATGCGCATGTTATATCAAAGTGGTATGATATATTATATTTAAATGGCATTGCTATTTCTAGCTACAAGCAATCTGTCTTAGGTAATTCTCATTGATATTTTAGTGTTTTGCCGCATGATTACAAAAATATATTATTTGTACTTTTGTTCTTTGTAGCATTGAATTAAAACTGTTTACGTTATTTTCCAACTTGAATCTTCAGGTCAGCTGTTTTCCTCGGTGACCGTACATTTGAACCCATGTGTATATCCGTGGGTTCAATCTATATGCGGGTGCTAAAACCCATGGATTAGGGCTAGTATTGGTTCAAATATCCGTAAAACAAAAAAATTTCCATAGGTGCAGTAGTATGCAGGTGCAATGGACGTCAAGAACGGTCAAAAAGCATTTGGATAATGATTCCGCATAACTGAAGAAGTTCTAGTAAATATAAAAGCCCCTTGGCATATTTATTTTTCAGTGGCGGTACACTGGCAGTAAGCAGATGCGAGTATTATGTCTGAAAACATTTTTGGAATGGGGGCGTTCAGAAAAACACAACCCAATATAAAATATTCCAAAAATATAAGCGCAGTAATGCAATATTTCGACGATGAGAAAGAGGATTCAGTGCTAACGCCAATTGGAAAGAGAGCCACATTTTGTATTCTTTTGAATTTCGGCACTGCTGCTGTAGTACGTTCAGAGAAGCACCCGCCAATGCACGTGCGTATAAGTGAGTTCTATAAGCCACGCAAGTGAAGCACGCACCTACGGGGCACATATCGACGTGCACAATAAAGAGATAGTACTTGCATTGCCGCGCTACTAGCCACATTCCACTGTATATTCATTCTCATACAAAATTTGACTGGCTCGTCCCGGATATTTTCCAACACTGAAATTTGGACTGTACCAGCATCAATTTTCGCTTTTTTTGTGACCATCTCTCTCTATATTTTCATGGATTCTAACTGTGTTTTCATGGATTCTAGCGGCTAGATCTATAAAAACTTGTCCTCAAATGGCTATAAAATCCCATCAACCATATTTTGTAGCCAGCTAATTGTGCTTGCTTATTTATCAAGTCTCACACATTTTTAGGCAAAAACGTTGATCTTTCTCCTGTTTCGTGTTTGATTGAACAACTTAAACGACCACTCCGTTTGCGATACCACTGTGTATTTTACATTACAATTTACAAATTGCAACTGGAAATATTTTTTCAATCTTTCCCTGCTAAGACTAATCATTATTAGACTATTGGAGATCCTCATCCATCAACAATTTTGCCGGTATTATTTCCATCAATATTGAATGTCCGGGTTGCGGTAAAAATTACTTTTCTCATTTTGAAAAAAATTTGTCTGTCCATTGAATAATACCAGGACTTGAAATTTTGTGATCATTCATAATAAAAAACACACTGAATACGTTTTTATTTTTGTCACGTGAAAAATCGTGAATCTAGTTATCAAAACAGCCAATTCCAACAAAATGCAACGTTATTATTCATTAAAGATCCAACTTCGAGATAACATTTAAGTGTCTATGTTTCCATGTTTAATTTTAACAAGCCTTGCCTCCAGCAATTAATAAGAGATAGCCTGCGATGTCGGAAATGTCGCTGTTCAGTCATCAAAACAGATGCTATTTAGTTACATGGAAAATTGCGTTCGTTGGCCAACAGTATTCAGTTGTTTAAAATTAATATAAAAAATAGTAAGAATAGGTATAAAGCCTGATGCTGCGGAAATTGAATCTACCAGGCAAAATGTAAAGAATTTACAGCTATGAAGATTATGATTATGATCAATTTTACGAGTTAGAAAATATCTTACTTTGAAATAAATTTCGTTTCATAGATAAATAATAAACTATATCATATAGCCCATAATACTGACATTTTATAGGTGAAAATTATAGGAATTTTTTTCGAGCTTATATTTCAAATCAATTAATTAAGCGGAAATGTGTTCATGCATGGGCACTTTAGGGTTGGAATTTGGTTACTGAAATAAAATAAATGTTAAAGCTCGAACGCGAATTCTTTATATCGTTTCGATAAGTAACTTATTAGCCAAATTGCCGATGATTTTGTTGTGTTAAAATACTTCCTTCTGCACAGTGTTTTCAGAGCTTCAATGTTTTAGAAAATTACCAGAAAGTAATTTTATTTGGGCAATGAACCACAAAGCTATATATATACTTTTAATCAATGCCTACAATGTAAAATTCGAAACGGAACAGTCTACTTCGCCCGCAGGGTTATTGCAAATACTCGCTATTATCGTTTCTCGTACAAAGCTTGGGCAAGCATCGGCCCGAGATATACATAATGTAAAGCATATTTGTCAAAAATTGATAATATATTTACTCTGCTAGAATGATTTTCTACATTTAGTCACTATCCCATGCAAAGCTTTTCAGCTTACCGAGTTCAAGTCATCTAGTTTCTGATTAACAAAAGCGTCTTTCAGGCTGTTTATATCTTATATTAACAAATTACAAGAAAAAGAAATTAGAAAGTGGTGTTTCGATAGGATTATATTTAAAAACAAATATTCTAATTACAAAACATGGTGTTTCAGATAATTTTTAGGTATTAGCATCATGTCAATGCAATAAACCACATTCTAAACCAATAATTTAGTTTGGATAGGTAGTATTAATTAAAGCACAATATAAGCAAAATTGTGTCAGTTTCGTTCGTAATATTATATAAATAGGATGGAGCATACTCTGGTAAAAATGTTTCGTTCGTTTTACGCACAAGTTCGAGGTTTTGAAGCTATGAGATTAAACTCGGGTTAAAATAAAAAGGAGCGTGTCAAGTTACTATCGATATGTATACCAGGAATTGAAGTTATAGGAATGTAGAAACGGAAAACACTAACGACATATATGAATTTAATTTTCTTTTTAAAAAAAATAGAATTCTAGGCCAATGGTGAGAAATCAATATAATTAATAAGTGTAAAGAACAATATAATAGTGATATAATATGTCACAAGCAAATGGTTTTGAGTTATACGAAATATCAGATTCCATTTTTATCACAGACTGAACTATTGATTTTGAGAAAAATTTTAATCAATATTCTAAATTAACAATTATTATATATTTTTACGAATTTGAGGTGTTTTAGTTTAGGAATTTGCTGTATATTAGCAGACAAAAATAAATTAACATGTTGAAAATTATTGTAATTTGCTTCACGTTTTACGTGGGAATACATGGACAAGATGGTGGTAATTTGAATGTAAGTTACTATTACCTCGTTTATATTATTTTATATATTTATTCTACAAATTTATAGTATTTTCAAATTGCATTTTACATGTTTTGTAACATGATATTGTCAACGGTACCAAAAAAAAAACTCAAGGTTATTGAACAATTGGGTTATTAAATAAAAATTATACAAAGCTTGAGTATATTTAATTCTACTTATCGCGATTTCAATTCAATAAAATTGTTTTTTCTTTTATTCAGTCCGTGCTGGCAGGTCTATTCAATAACCCACAAAGCGATCAACAAGATACATCTACGCCTCAGTCAGGATTGCAACTTGGATCCGTTGTTGGTTCTACTCAACAAAATGAAGAGCCAAAACGTAAGTCGTAAGCCGTGAGGCTTTACATAGAAAGTTATTGCATAAAAATCACTTAATGACTCACATAGGTGATTCTTCTGTGGTTAGCATTTTGGCTTATGACTTACTCACGATCGTTGCGTAAACGGACTACAGAGAAATCAATTCAGACGATTGTGAGAGCAATGATACATTTTAGGAACCATAATAATATCTTAATGTTTGGAAGAAAGTATAATGTCCAGGTTGACAGAAGTTCAAAGAAAACACATAAAATGAATATTTGATACTAAATTAATATTATTGCGACTGTGACACATTATTCGAAAAGTAACTTAAAACTATTTATGATTAATTGCACTATTTTGTTGATTGCATGTGAGGAAATTAAATATATGTTGAACCATTTTAGTACCTGAAGGAGAAGGCACTTTTGAGTGGTCAGGCTGGGGACAGTGGTCCAATTGTAGAGTAACTTGTGGAGAGGGAGAACGCCTCCGACAACGTGTATGTTATTTTTACCCGGAAAAAGAAAAATCCGGTTCTAGTTCATCATCTGGTGGATTATTTGGAGGTTTGGGGTACGTGTAAATCTGTGACGTGTTTCAGTGACTTTTATTTTGCATAGTCCAATAGATATAAGCTTAATTTTAATGAGTATAGGTTTTGTAATTCGTTTAAAATTGGCAAACTGAAACTGCACACTCAATTAACCTATACATTTTTTTCACTCAGTAACATGTTTGGAGGTGAAAACGGAATAGGTAGCGTACCATCTGATATCCTTCAGCTTCTCGGCGATAGTGGCGGTGGTGGCGGCCTTTCCAACATCTTGCTAATGTCTAGTCTTATGGGAGGAGGCGGCGCAGGGGGTGGGCTTTTTGGGGGAGGACTTTTTGGTGGAGGAAACACAGAAAACGAGGAAAAGGAGGAAAAAACGAGTTCAAAAGAACGTGGATGCCCCGGTCCGAGGATCGATAGCATAGTAAACTCAATTTACTAGTACATTTTTTTGGCCAAAAAAATACCATTTTTTCTAAACCAATATATATGATGCTCGCCGTACCTTGCTCAAACAGTCAAGTTGAAGTCGTTATACTTCATTCAAATTGTGCATCGTAAATGCTGAACCATCGATAATAATAAATTACTTAGATTATCAGGACAACATACATCAATTTGTTATATACATTTTATTTTTATTTTTTTGTTATCCTATCCATTTGTTTTCCTATGCGCTATTATACTCGAACAAGTTAAAGCGTATTGAACGAAATATCAAAATGTTTGACATTGTCTAACGTCCTTTTCGCTCAGAAATGTTTCGGAAATCCTTGCCCTGCTGTTGTCGGCAAACCAATAGAAATAAAACCCATCGATACATCTTCATGTCTGGGTGAGTGGGGTTCGTATGGACAATGTACTTCTACTTGTGGAAGAGCAATTCAAATCAGAGCTCGAAAATGCAGCTGCAAAGATCAAAGTAATAATCTCTCCTGTAACGAACCGATGACAGATTCAAGGCCATGTCTCGATAATCCAAGTTGCGGTAAACCTTTTTTGTTTTTGAACATTTCTTTGAACATGATTTAATGTGGTAGAAGAAAGTTACTAGTCATGATTTACTAGCTTTGTTTATAATTGGGCTAAAATTGGTTAATAATATGAACTATTTTTACATTTGAGAGTACAAAAATAGTGCCTATATGATAAACAAGAGCAGCTATTTCATAACTGTAATTTTGGGATCATTTTGAAAGAATTAAGCTAAGATTCAGTAATATTGTCAAAAATGGGAATATTATGCATTAAAGTCGGGATTTCCATAAAATAAAATTTTGACTGATATTTACAATTTAAATAAGTTTTTTTCTCTAAAGTAACTTGCACATGTTGCCTAAAAGCTAGCATTATCGATTTCATAGCAGTATGATAAACTTTGTGCAAGCTCTTATTATTTTGTTGAAACTTCAAAGCACGGACGTTTATGTTTGTACGTTGCTTTTTCAATATTTGACAACCTTCAGACCAGCAAATTTTTGGTAATTTTATGACAATGGATTATTGTTTTCATCTTTGTTATTCCTGACATAATTGAAGCAACAAAAACACTGAATATACGAGATTTATATGTTGGATGATAATATTATGTATGATTTTGTAGAGATCGGAATCGTACCAACTGCTTAACAATTACAAACATTTATGAAGCCTTATATCCAGGCTTGAACATGGAAATGGGATTCCCATGGGAATCGTCCCATGGGATGGGACAGCACACATTGTGTATTTCCCATGGGAGACGTGGGACACGAAAACCGTATGATTTTCGGGGAAATGATGATAAAACATTTCGTTATGGACTTAGGGGTCATATATTTGAGCATAGCTCTCTTGTTAGTTATAAAGAGCAACATATATTCAGCATTAACAATATACTTTGTGAAGGGGCTGATGGACACATGTATATTAGTCAGGAATTTTTTTAACAAAGTCCGGAAATTTTGTTGTTTTGCATGTCTCTTCGTACATGTCGTCCTATTTAGTAGACGCTAAACCTAAATTTAGCAATATTTATCAGATTTTATTCCAATGGGGATTCCATGGTATGGGATGGGACAGGCATAGTTGCTATGGAAATGGGCCAAAAATACGTCCCATGGACCAGCCTGCTTATATCTTTAAAATCAGAAAAACGCGCTTAGTTACGATACTCTCAACTCTGCTGTATCAAAGACTCACACAACAGAAAGCATCGACTGTTGTTGAAATGAATATACAAATTTTGACTATCGATTGATTTGATCTTTTAATAAATATTCTCGTTTAAAAACGACATGATGGAAATTTGATATCTTTTAGCAGAATGGACTTGGCATTATGCATTGTGGTGTTATTGTGTAACAAGTAATGATTGCTGTTGCGCCCATGTTTTGATCCATTCAAAGATTCAACAAAACTGGAAGAGTTTATGTTTATTTATCTGCAGTGGTCGTTACGACGCCTCCTCCAACAACTGAAACAATCACAAAAGAAACCACAACTTCTCCTGCGCCTGCTGGTAAATGGTCACCTTGGGGAGATTGGACCGGATGTCGTGACATCGCCTGTGGAATTGAAATTTCCGAATCAAGATATAGAGGATGTATTGGATCCTGTACAGGAGAGTTTACAGAATCTAGGCCGTGCCCTGTTACACCTTGTTCAGGTAGGTTGCTAGTAAAGCAGTTGTAACTTGACACTGCTATGTCTTCTGTGCGTTCCTATGCTGAATTTCCAAGCTAGAACGTTGAAATTTTAAGTAATTTGTTTTTGTGCAAAGCAATGAGCACTCATAGAAGAGTCCAGTATATTAATTTTAAGCTCAAAATATTTATTTATCAGAAAAGTTTTGTCACATCATTGGTGAGAATGGATGAGTATTTTCAAATATAAGAGATTTTTTGTAACTTGTCTGCTTTTAGTTTCAGTTCCCAAGTGGAGCGAATGGGGTCCTTTTAGTAAATGTTCAGAAACATGTGGACCGGGAACAAAGATTCGATTCAGGGCATGTGACGAAACCGACAAATGTGAGGGGGAACCTTTTGAAATGCAATCATGCGAGGAAACAGAATGTCCGAAGAAAATAGGTATGATATATATATATAATTGAGTATATGCTCAGAATTCTTGGAATTTTGTAGCGCTATTTACGTAGATTCTTTTCTAAAATGTAAATTCATTAGCCTGAATGTTATAGTGGTGTTTGATGTTCTTTAACAGGAATTTAATGATGAAAATGTGTAATTTTAAGTCTGAGTTTGAAAATTTGAACAACAAAAAATCTCCCGTCTCGTGAAATTATAGATATGCACTGATAGGGATTATCCTAGATTCGATATAATATTTAATAATCATATAGGTTTGATAAGGTACCGAGGCTAAATTCGGGCTTTTCCTTTCATTTTGCCTCATCTTGCAAATACCAGAAACAGACTAAGGCCACGTGAGATAATTCAGATGGCCCGAAGCATGCCAGCCATCAATATGCACACGACGCTAGATATATTTCCAACAAAACACCTGTTTAATTCGTACTTTGACCTGTCATTTCTCACAGAAGCAAATTGGGGAGAATGGGGTGATTTCAGTGTTTGTACAACAGCCTGTGGTACTGGACAAAAATATAGATATCGCTCATGCAACGGGCCTGGTGAATGTACTGGGCGTACAGTAGACATAGCACCATGTCTGGACAATCCACCATGTGCTGCTGCTACTCCTTGTAAGTATTATATTAATGCAATAATCTTGTTTCACCATATTTTGTTTGCTCGTTACCCAGCGTCATTTGGTTGTACGTTTTGTTAGAATTGATAAACATGTGTTTATCGGAAATATCCATGTAACACGTATTTCTGATTTCCAAGTATTCACGTGAACTAGAACACCGAAATTGTAATTTTAGTTGATTTAAAAATAAGACTACCGCCAACAATAAAGCTCAAAACAGAAGATATTCGCATCCCAAAAACTGAATTTTGTTTAAAGCACAAAACGCACGTCTGAGGAATGGAATATGTTTGAACAGTTATTTTGACATTCCTAAAACCCATGAATGAAGTATTGATACAATAGCTCGATGATAAAATGAAAGCTTGATATCATAAAGACAGAAGCTGTGAAATTGTTGAATTGCTCAATAGAATCATTCGCATTTAAACAAGAAAGCACAAACTGAGTCGGAGCTATAAAAACTTTTGATCCTCACAGGATTTTATGTTGTTGCAGCCAAATATGACTCTTTGACGACTAAATATTCAATTCATAGCTCATTTCAGCTTTGTTAAGAGTAATTTTACTTGAATAAAAAATAATCTCGAATGTACAAATCAATTGCTTTCAGCTACGAGGTGGAGCGATTGGGGGGAGTATACTTTATGTACAACAACATGCGGAATTGGAACAAAGAGTAGAACACGTTTTTGCATTACTGGAACATGCGAAGGAGACACGATTGAAACTATTGATTGTGAAATTGAACCCTGCAAAGTGATTACAGAACAACCCGGTAAGTGAAATAGTAATTTTCTAATTAATTGACCACGAGAATAGCAGCAATATTGTTGCCTAAATCTTAAAGTAACCGAATTCATCAAGGGTTAAAAACCAAAAATTTATTTGTCATGCTACATCACGATCTTTTAATGCGCCTTCTGCATATTATGTCACACTGGAGCCTAGATTTGATTTTAAAATTGCTAATCATTATTTGTGAAGATAGTTCCATTTCATTTACATAGCCGTTATAAATACAGTTAACTAAGACAAAACCTACATCTACAAAATGCAGTAGAAGTGATATATATTGTAGCGTACAACTAGACAACTTTAGTGTAACGGCTATGTTATATGGACACAGTGATTTCCCTACACCCCCCCTATAGGGGGTGAACACCCCCCCTAAAATTTCAAACACCCCCCCTAAAATTTCAAACACCCCCCTAATTTTGAGGTGAGATTCCACACTGTAATTCCTAACTCTAGTATAATTGTATTCAAATATAACGCCTATGGCATATTCATCAGTGTAGATGAGGGGTTCCAAACCGCAGTCTGCGGGCCAATTACGGCTCGCGTGACGATTTAAAATGGCCCGCCGAACTTGAGTGAAATAGTTTAACCCTTCATGTGGTACATTTCGAGTTTTAGATACCGTCTATTGTTACATCATTATCACAGTTTAAGGACGTTTATTTCGTAACAATTGAATTATATCGGTATCTTATGTATACGTATGGGTATTAGGATTACACACTGCAGTATTTTAGATATCAGCCGTATATTAGGAAAGCTTAATAATGTCACAAAAGGAAAACTAGGCACCGAAAACAGACGTTTTTTAGATGAATGATAGCGTTTTTATTTTTTTATTGAAAAGAATCAAATTTCAGCGATTTGTCTTCTTACCAACAAAATATTTCAGTTCTGAAGGAATACAACATTATGCGCCATTATGATCAGTTGACGCGCGTATATTATATAAAATTTAATTCATTGCATAATTCATACAAAGTTCAAACAAACATGTTAAAAAAAATGTGAAATGTGTAAAAAACAAGCCATAAGTAGCCATTCATTCAATGCCAGATGAGCTAGTAACTTCATTAGTCACTATCAGTTGCAAATTACTTGTTGAAACCTAGTAGTATATAGTTAAGGTTGAAAGCCTTGCTTTATTATCAATTTCCCGGGAGTTCTATCAGCTAAATATTATAATTATTGATTTCATTACATAACAAACTGCGATGCTAGGTGTATCTAAAATCAAGCTTAGAGCCTATTTTGGTGCCTATTTCTCAAAATTTTCTCAGGGCGCTTAGGCGCGCCCTGAACCCCAGCCGTGCCGTCCCGCACTTTTCCTCGCTGCCCTTTTCTGGCCCTACAATTTTATTCTGCTGTGGATTTGGCTCGCCGTCAATCAACTTGGGGGGGCCCTCTTGTACATCGTTTCTTAAATACATACCATTTTTTTAAGAATACAAATAGCCTAGTTTTATCTCAAATAGCAAATTATTTACCACCCCCTAAATTTCGAGACACCCCCCCTAAATGGAAAAGCTGGGGAACATACTGTATGGACATATTGAGCCGGCGAAATATTTGAGCATGTGTGCCTATTTGACAATACTGCAATTATGGCCTTGGCCTATTTTAGAACCTACTGGAGTGTTTTGGGGCGATTACAGTTCGTGGGGAGTCTGCAAGCGTAATTATAATGGAGATGGCTGTACCCAAGAAAGGTATCGGGCTTGCATCGGTGGAGCAACATGTAATGGTATGTTATTGGACTATAGTTTCAACTGCAGCAAGTCAGGATCAATTTAACATTTAGGTCTTGATGCGGGTCCTCTAGTTGTGATTTTATACGGGCTAATATGTGTGTGCACTTCATATAAATTCATTATGTTTTGTTTCTATTTTGATGCAGTGCTGGACTGGTTAAAATTTGGAATCTATAACTTAGATCTTCACGTCGCCAAATGTTGGCTCGCATATGCAATTTCAAGGCTCTATTTGTAAAGAAGATTTTTTGTGTTTTTTTTTATCAGGATCGTTCTTTGACCGCAGAAGTTGTACATCCGGAGAATGTAGTCTCCCTAATTTGCAGCCAACTGTTATCACAACAACTCCTCCGGACCAGAAAGTTTGCGACGCTACTTCAACTCAATTTCGGCAAGATTGTGGTTTCCCGGGAATTACGAGAGACGTATGTATACCATAACAAATGTCTTTGAAAGTGATATAGATATTAATATCATTATGCTGAAGCTAAAGAATATCATGCTAGGAATATAATTGCAAAAGTTTTTAAACTCTTCATTTCATTTTTTTGGTAGTAACTAATATTCGAGGAATGAGCTATTATCGCGCGACTGCTTTGTGTTGTTTATCGCTTACAATCATTGTAAACATTATTCAGTCGGATATTATAAATTTACAGCAATGCTGGGCTAAAGGATGCTGCTACAGCGACCAATATCAAAATCTACCATGGTGCTTCTATGATTCTGTTACTGGGAGTGAGTATTTCAATTTCTAAGGCATGAATTTGGGTTCCATTACATTTTAACCCACGTACATTTGAACCCATGACAATTGCACCTGTATGCTATTGCACCTATGGAATTTTTTTTGTTTCACGGATAGTTAAACCCATACTAACCCGCATATAGATTGAACCCGTGGATATACGCATGGGTTCAAATGTACATGGGTTCAAATGTACGGTCACCATGAATTTGTTATAGCATAAAACTAGAAATACGCCTAGTCTAATTCAATCTTGGAAATTTTCTTATATATGTATATAAAAAGCTTCAACTGGTGTTTTTTTATCGACAGATCAACAAAATACAGGAATACTCTTATTAGGTGGGTACTACTTTTTTATTACTATTCTTACTCGTTCTCCACTTCATCCGAAGCGCTACCGTAAACATTTAGACTTCATGAACATTACAACAATAACAGTGGTTTGATAGACAGATATCAGTGGTGTATGTTAATGGGTTACAGGTGCGAAGTGCGAAAATCGTGTAAATGGTCTGGCATAACACGATATGTTGAAATTATATATCTTTTTATAGTGATAAAAAAAAATTATTACTTTCATATCACACGTTTTATCACAAAAATTCCTTTGTTGTTAGTACTGTTGCTTTTACATAAACAACAAAATATTGATTTTTTATGTGTTCTTTTTTAATTTCGGCAGGCCCGTCACAAGAAATCGGATCTCCAGTCTTGGTAATGCCAAAATCTGAGGAAAGCTAGATTTGAATTCCGAGTGTACAACGGTCGCATTAAATCGCAGATTATTTCATCAGTACAGAGCATCGTCACTCCTACCCTGCCATTTACCGTGTAATAGATATATGCATAACAAGTAAACATGGATAAAATGTATGCTTCATAATGTCATGTTGTATTTTATTAATAAAGTTGTAAAATTCGTTATGTGTGATATATTCTATACCAGTGTTTCCTAACCTGAGTTCGATCAAACCCCCGAGGTCAGGTGATCTCTTACAGGGGTCCGACAAAGATCCTTTAACATAGTTGTATATCACGAAATCTTTAAAAATATGCCTCCCAGCTTCATTTTAGTAGGGTGTTTCCAAATTTAGCTGGTGGTTAATATTTTGCCATTAGCGATAAAACTATTTGTAACCACCCATAGAACTGTGTTATGTACCGGTATACGAGCCACGTCCTAGATATTTTAATATAAATATATTCAAGTTCGGAACCGGAAATGTGGTTTCAAACCTCAAAATGAGGGCTGTGTTTAAAATTTTAAAAGAGGTGTTCACCACTTGTAGGAGAGGGGGAATACCACTTAGTCTTTCTGTTACCCAGACTTTTAACTATGAAAATATTACTACTCTAATTCACCGCAGATAACGAATCTAACTTCCGCGTTTACACAACTCATAAAATACCTTAACTCAGTGGTTCTCAACCTTTTACTGACCACGTACCACTTCACTGTTTTTTACTATGGCCGCGTACCACCGACAAAGCTTCTTTTTTGGTGTGGGGAAAAAGACACAAGAAACGTGCTATGAGAGTATTTTATAATGTGGCACTACATCCTTTGTGTCGTAACACGTAAAACGGACAAAAACATGCCCATATCGATTCATTTAAGGTGGGTAATAGCGGGCGAGGGCGATTTCTAGAGACAAGGACTGATAGCGCACCAGCGCTATGGACGTTTCCCCGACCATTGACTACGGAAAAATACTTTACAACTGTAAACTTCATGCTTATTCTGAGAATGTTTGGATGTGTTGGCGCATATAAAATGGTTTAAGTGTTTGAAACCATCATTTTTATTAAAATTAATCAACCATGTGCAGTTTGCAGGTACTTATATAGCCAGGGCTGCCATAACGTCCTTATTTTTTGAGATTTGTCCTTATTCTGAAGATGTTTGTATTAGATAATAAATTTGTCCTTATTTCTATTGTACTCTTTTTATGGGTAGAGGTTCTAATATCAGGCACTTAGATTGGTCAAATCGAATGATTGATTTGCTAGAAATGATATTTTACAACCTCATTGGTTGCTACGTGCAATTATTCATTATACGTTATAACAGCAAATTTATTGACACAGTGACAAAACAATAGCCTACCGACCAAAATCACTGCGTGTAACCTGAATCAAAATACAACTTAAAAGTGAGATGGAACAGATTGTTTCTAAGAATAAAAAACTGCTGGAGCAAAGTGTTCTTTCTAGTATGATTAGACACTGGTCGCACTACCATGGATACATTTTGTTTATTACATTTCGTTCTTTGTTATTCTATTAATATGTTTCCCTGATGTCCTTATTTTTGGGTTCATATCGATGGCAGCCGTGGATATAGCTAAGTTTTAGCTTTGTCCATCGCAGCATTTGCGAGATTCAATTTCGATTACTGCAACTAAAGTAAAGCTTCGCGGAAGACATAATGACAATTGAGTTAATTAATTTACAATTATTTTCTTGAAATACAACTAAACACTGACAAATATCACTCAAAACTACAAAAACGAGGCAATGTTTGCAATTGCAAGAAATTGCAATTGTTACGTGTTGCGTCATTATTGACCTATTGCTGATTGGTTATAGTTACGGAAATAAACAATTGGAAACTGGTGTTTGGGAAAACCTTCATAAACGTTGTTCAACGAATACATAAACAGTAAGGAAGATAAATCGTTGCCGGCATATTTTAGCCAACTGAAAGGTTAATTGTTGCAATAATTCAAATATGCTCGCGTACCTCTTGAAAAGGTTGAGATTGAGAACCACTGCCTTAACTATAGTGTAGTTACGCACAGATAAAAGATTTGTTGAGCTTACCAATGATGTTCCCACCTTACATCCCAGAATACTTCATCACAAACTCGTTGTAATGTCACAGTTGTCGGTGTACTAATGTATGCTAGAGTTTTCAGATGATTTATGCTTATGGCTTCAAAATATCTGTCATGACAAACCCTGGCGTTTCAGGCTTAATATATGCGTGCGTGAACAACACCTTATTTATAGCCTACTAATAAAATTATTTAAAACAATGCTTCTATCCAAATCCGACTGTTATTGAAAGTCTGAGAAATAAATGACTCCAGTTATCAACATTTTCAAGACATCATTTCAGCTGTTGGATCTTTGAAGTTGCAATTTTTCCCCTTGTCAGTCGCACAACTTAGAGTTGCCGCCGACGTCATCTTCGACACAATAATGTTTTTTTCGTCGCAATGTATTGATTCAAATTAGTCCAAAAAACTATTTGCAATTCCGAGCAGTTCTAATATATATATATACGATTTATAGAAACGTTTATATGCGTATTCCGCTACACCATTATCAATTGCCCAAAATGTGGTAGTGTGTACATTTCTTGAAATATATTTATAAAACAGCGAATTTCAGGAATACACACCAGTAAACTTCTGTATGCTAAAAATCCTGTATGAAATTCAAAATACAGTCTCGATTTTGTCTCTCGAAACTACGAAAAATGGGGATTGAATCCGCAATGCACGAGAGCCGGGTTTGCCCTTCAGTGGAGAGTTTCGACCCATTGTCCAGAACAAAGTATAATTCATTGGTAAAGTTTGAGACATAATGACAGCGTTCTATCACGAAAAGATATTTCAATGGTTCGTGGTAATAGGCTGCTACTGTACGTTACATAATGTGTAGAGAAACAAAGCTAAAATATGATTTATGAAAAACTAAATAACAATATATATCAATAACGTGTTTCTGACTTATTTGTGAACAGCGATAAGGGTGTTGAACACATGGTTCCATCAAGAAATTCGTCATAACTTCAGTCAATCTAATTATTAGTCAATGATCAAAAAAAATTATTGTTATTTGGTGATGTTGCGAAGGCATTGAAATATGTAAGGCGTCACTTTACAAGAAGCGGAAAATATATTGTTTGTATTTTACTATTTATGGTCCTAACAAAATGAAAATTAGGATAGACGAAAGATATTCGTAATACTGTATTATAAAAATAAATTGTCTCAGTCATTGTGCTTAACAATAATATTGCTTCTAATTCAGCCCATTTTCACATTACGGGTTCTCGTATCAACTCGTTCATGTCCCGTTTTACAGTGAGCGAACCTGAGCGCCAAAAACAGTTTTAAATTTCAAAGATGACAACAATTACGAAATTTGAAAAAATTACGTTGCTGAAAAACATTTAGAGATTAGGGCATTTGGAAGAGTTGAAACGGTTCATTTTGTAATATTGAAGTATTCTATAGGTCGGTGAAACATCACAATCTGTCTGTAAAAATAGCTAAGTTATAGTTTCTTCCGGTGTTCAAACTTTATTCATAGTTATGAGCAGAGTTCTGGAAGTTAGTGAAAATGTTTGATCACTCATTAGTGGCTGGTAATGCCTCATCCCTGATCGTCCTCAGATAACGTCTCGATGATCTAAATACGAGACGTTGGTTTATTATTTCATACTGGCCGATAGGTAAAGTTGATCATATATCAAAAGTTCAATTCAATGTGCGTGAGGCAGGGTGCTTTTATTGTCTTGTGCGCTGATAAATTTTCGCTTGAGGTACATAAATATAAAAATTGACTGAGATTTGAAATATAGTGGTCATCACAGGAAGATTTTTGTAAAAGTCTTGTAGACCAAAACGAGCGAGCTGATCATTTTAAGTGTGAATTATTGATGACTGCTATTATCTTGAAATTTATCTTTTTCAGTTTAATTTGTGTTCCGTTTCATCGGAATCGTATATTTGCATCATGTTAAAACTTGTTGGGATATTTCTTACCATTATTATTGGAGTCCACACACAGCAGGATCTGGAGGTATGAACTAAAAATACAAATGAAATAAAGCATATCTTTTCACTCGAATTATTCTAATGTTGATTAGAAACTAGGCGTTTAAGATTCAAACAATTATCAAAGGTTGTGAACGTCTTTTCTACTCTACCATAAAGTTTTTATGTATTTTAATACCCGCTGATAATAACAAATATATTATTAACCTGATCTTAATAACAAAGTAATATTAATCTTGCAACGATTGAATGAACACTTTGAATGCTTTATTTGCCCGCAATCTCAGTCAATATTAATATTGTTTATGCTTTAATGTTCCTTCTCATCATATGTGATACTATTTCAGTCAATACTTACGGTACTTTACAACGGAGTCAATGAAAAAGATTCGACGGGACAACAGACTTCTCCTGTACAATTGTCAACAAACAACCCCGCACCAATATCTAACTCAAGAGGTAATACTTATAACTGTCCAAATTCTAGATCAGGGGTCGGCAAACTGCGGCACGCGGGCCAAATGCGGCCCGCGAAATAATTTTTTGCGGTCCTCGAACGACCCGACTTTAAATGCATTAAACAAGAATTGATCCTAAATTTCTTATTGTCTCCACACGGATTTATGTGGTGACAAGTGCTGCTGTACGGCGCTTGTTTTGTAATAAGTAACATCAGTTATATATCATTTACTTGATGAACGTCGTTGGTTGTAATTATAGGTTACGTTCATTTTCAAATTTAAAAATGTTTAGGAAACGGTTAGCGACGAAGGTCGAACATTCCGAAGTGCTTGGACGGGAAAATATTTTTCTTTTTTGCGCTTTTCAAATCGGGTTCAAATCGCAGTTATCATGGGATATGTTAAACTTCATTACGAAACGTACCATTGCACATACGAAATTTGACCCGGGGCTGTCCCATTGCTCATATGTACTTTAGTGTAAAACGTATAATGTGCACGTTCGGAAGAACATGTTACTGTGAGCAGTTTTATCTAAAATGCATTACACTAAGAATAAATTTCGAAATCGCTCGCCAGATCATCGTTCGGACGACTTCTGCGGGCAACGAAGTTGCTCTTTGATTTTAACGCTTTGGCCGCGACACAGAAATAACATCATCCTCCACATTGATAATAAGTAAATTTATATATGAAAAAATGCTTTGAATGATAATTTATTAAAAAAGGCCTTTTACACGTCTCATTGTGGCAGGCCTTTAACACAGCAATAGAAAGTCGAAAGTGCGCCATAATTTGAAGTTTAATTTGGCGATTGTTCGTAGGCGAAAATAACGCGGACCGCACGCTACCGGAAATGTATATATTTGGCCCATAAATACATGAAGTTTGCCGACCACTGTTCTAGATATTAACTGTTTTTCTCGTTATTCAAACCTTAGATTGACTCACCGATTACGATGTTGAGAAATTATAATAAACAACTAGTCTCTTTCATCAAGCACCTATAAAAGTTAAAATTAAATATTTATAAAAATGCAATGAAGGCAGAAATTTTTGAAGACAATAATTATCATAGATTTTCCAGTTACCCAAGACCCAAGGTATGAGTGGGGAATGTGGGGGCAATTCTCTTCTTGTTCCGTTACTTGTGGCGTAGGAGAACGAAGAAGGCAGCGTGCCTGCTATTTCTACCCAGAAAGACGGACAACAAGAGAGCAGAAGTGAGGATTTTGAATTCAAAATAATATCAAATTAGTGTCATATTTCTTACAGATTCTATACGTTGAATTCGACTTTTGAATATGTTATACCAAAGGATACATTTTATACTGCAATTTCCAAATTAGCTAGTCACCCGGGTATTCCGATCATTATGCAAGCGTATATGTGATAATATCTAACAGAAGGTAACAAATACCGTGATATCAAACTACCGTGACAATATACTTTCATGTGTAAATGAATCCAATGTCAGTGGAATATATTGACTGCAAATAATTTTATCAGTCATTATGTGACGTTATCAGCTATCTCAGGAACATCCCACGCTTCCTATTACCGTACATACTTCACCTAAAAGCTATTAAGTTATCCTTATTTCCTATGAGCACAATACAATATCAAATTATAAGAACGTGTTCATATTTCAAAGACTACTTTTTGGCGATCGTATTGATAGTACAACTAAATACCCTTCATCTTTGTTTTGCCGCGGGTACAAATCATAAACGAATTGAAAATCTGAAAACCAAATTAGGGAATGAAAAGGGGGATACAGCTTCTAGAAATTACATAGTCAATTTTGAAAAAAAAAATTCACAGCCCAGTAATGACACCTTCTGACACGAGTAAGCGCTGGTGTCATTATCATGTCATTGATACTAGTTTCAGATCACAGATGATACGTCGCAAACCGTACTCTTCGTACGAAATAATAATACGCTATATAAATAGAACTCTATAAGTGAAATTCGACCAAGTCTACTCATGTAACGGGACGTATGTCATATATAAAAACTGTCTTGTTCTATCGCTCAAGCCTGATTTTATCTTGCCACCAACAAAATCAAAATGGGTCATCTACAAAAGTCTTATAGTCATTATCCTTAGGCCCGTCATATTCTAAGCACTGTGGAACAATGCCAGACGCAACCCTAAGTGCATGATATTTTGTAATTGAATATCCCAGAAGTTTTCAAACAAAACGCATTACGTATATTAGTAAACAGTCATTTATTTTACAGCAACTTTCCTGGTGCTCTTTTGCCTCTACTGCTTGGTAGTAATTCACGCAGCAGCAGCAGTCTTCTTGCCCTTAGTTTGCTCGGAAATCGCGGTGGAAATGGAGGTTCAATTTTACCTAACATTCGAAACGGTGCTATTGAGCGTCAGGGTGATGCAATTCTCAGTAACAGACCCATGATGTCGAGCATTTCTACAAATCCAGCTACAATATCAACTAGAACTCCTTGTCCTGGTTCCATTCTGAATGTCGGGGTAGGTTAAACTAATCCAAATTTGATAATTAGAATTTATTTCACATTAAATACCTTGTGTAACAGTGCACAACATGTAACACAGTAGTAATGAGATGTTTAGTTTTTTTGTTTATGGTTTAATCTCCCAGGTGTGTTATCAACCGGACTGTCCGGATCTACCTACTCTACAACAACCATGTTTAAGCAATTGGGTAGAATTTGGAAAGTGCTCAGCGAGTTGTGGAAGTGGGATTCAGTTTCGAACGAGAGTATGCAACTGTTTGGATTTGGCTAGAAATCCATCTTGCATTGAACCACTTACTGAATCCAGAATTTGCAACAACAATGTGGAATGTGGTAACTTATTTTTATAATTTCTTTTCAACTTTGAATATCTTTTGCCTTCGATTGTCTTGACATATTGATTTATAGCAAAACCGGCCGTAGTTTAAATACTTATTTTTTGACAAAAGCAACTGAAAGATAATTGGCTTATTAACCCCATGCCCGAAATGAACTGGTAACCGGACGGGCGGCCGTGGTTCGCCATATGATTAGGTCGTTTTATCTGCGTTCCTCTTCCCCGGGCTTAATATGTGAATCCTATCCTCCAGAGAGGTAAAGTTTGATTTTAATATGTTTCCAACTTTAATAAATTAGGGCAGGGTATACGATATGGAATTAGTCATTCTTGATAAAAGAATAGAGATTGCATTTATATGATTGTGCCCCGCAGTAACGCATAGGAAGCTTCATTATCCATTGTTTACCATATGACTGCTTTCATTAAAGATTTACATTTATTAATGAAAATAATACGTTGATTTCATAGTTGAGGAAGGAAGATGGGGTGACTGGGGTCCATTTAGTGCGTGCTCAACTACTTGCGGTCCAGGAACAAAAACTCGATTTCGAATATGCAGCAGAGTTGGGAAATGCGTTGGCAATACTGTTTTAACCGAAACATGTGAAATAGCACCGTGTGCCACATCAGCTTCAGGTGAGTTAATGAAATAAAACGCCATTTTATTTTTCTGTATCAAAAACAGCTATGCTATCACCGATCTGAGTTTTAAAATATTTATACGCTAAAACGCAAAAAATTTGCAAAAAGTCGTAACGTAATCATAATCATTCCAAAGCCCTTGCTGGTCGAATCTCGTTCTGAAAATTCCTTGACGTCTAGCAATTAAGCCTACATGTACATAATTTGTGTTTATACATATTCACTAAAATGTAACATCTTTGTATCCATTTGAGGTGAAAGTTTTAAACCATCAGATGCCGTAATCACTAACATTTCAGACTTAAAATTAAGAAAATGAATGTCAAACCACATATTTTCTTGATACTTATTTATAATTCGTAATTTTTAACAAATGTTGCGCTTTAATTGCCTTCGACTATGAACTGAATCAGACCCTAATACATTGATCCATTCAGGTTGGATTTTACTATGAAACCTTTTTACTAGAATGGGAATGAATCCGATCCCAGCCGGTCAAAAAATTATGTTTTAAATTATTCTACAAATAAAATATTCTAAATATCCTCTCAGGTGCTAGTTGGGGAACATGGGGGCCATTTGGTGCATGCACCACGACATGCGGTTCTGGTTCTAGAACTCGATATAAAATTTGTGTTGGACCTGGAACATGTGAGGGATCAATGATGGAATCGACACCATGCCGAAACAATGCTTGTCTAACAATTCCGTCAGGTACATATGCTACAAGATAAGCTGTGTTTTCATTTGAGTTTGTTTCTCATTGATCATCGTAATTATTGCTTAATTGATTCATCGGAGAGTCCTTGAAGACAGGTAAACAATTAGAGATGATTGACGCACTATGGTACATAGTTTGTGCTGATACTGGTGCTGACAATGTTGCGCTTTTATTGCCTTCGACTATGAACTGAGTCAGACCCTAATACATTGATCAACTCAGGTTGGATTTTACTTTGAAACCTTTTTACTAGAATGGAAATGAATTCGATCCCTCATCGGAGCAAATTCATATTATCATAGAAAATAGTGTCAATGCCAGCCGGTCAAAAAATTATGTTTTAAATTATTCTACAAATAAAAGATTCTAAATATTCTCTCAGGTGGTAGTTGGGGAACATGGGGGCCATTTGGTGCATGCACCACGACATGCGGTTCTGGTTCTAGAACTCGATATAAAATTTGTGTTGGACCTGGAACATGTGAGGGATCAATGATGGAATCGACACCATGCCGAAACAATGCTTGTCCAACAATTCCGTCAGGTACATACGCTACAAGATAAGCTGTGTTTTCATTTGAGTTTGTTTCTCATTGATCATCGTAATTATTGCTTAATTGATTCATCGGAGAGTCCTTGAAGACAGGTAAACAATTAGATATGATTGACGCACTATGGTACATAGTATGTGCTGATACTGGTGCTGAAGTACTGATCCATTTTTTATGTGAGAATCAGGTAGTAATTATGTGTACGACCCGGTTCCTGTCCTGATTTCAAAATAAGTTGGATTTTACTGAAAAGAATAGCGATTAGAAATAGGAGAAGAAACTTATGCGACATAAAGCTATTTTGTATCACTTGGGTGTGTAGTAGTAAATCATAAATGTTGAAGTTTGTAAAGAATTTTCACAAACACATCGCATCTGAAAATAGTTGTTTTCATCCCATGGCTATGCAAACTTACGATATATTTCTTATCAAACTAGCGTTAAACAGCATTAAATTTGTCTGAAATATATATATACTCTAGTAGTTACTCAAAACCGTGCTCCTGAAATTGAATTGGTATAATGTTAAAAGCGACCAATGCAGTCACACCCAAAAAAGTCCCGCCTTGCAACTAGTTTTCACATGCTTAAAATAATTTACCAAAACTTGCAGTAGGTGAATGGGGTGACTGGGGACCTTACAGTACGTGCACGAGTACATGTGAAACTGGAATAAAAACCCGTGTACGTGTTTGCATGGGAACTGGTGAATGCAGAGGACCAAATATGGAAACCATCTCTTGTCGGAATAAACCTTGCTTACCAGATTCTGTAGGTATGTATTCAACAAGTACAATTCCGGCAATAATTTGTTTAATGAGTTGTTATTACATTTATTTGCTTTTCCTATTTTAAGCCTTATTTCCTAGCACAAATTTTACAATTGGAAAGATTTTTGTATAGTAAAACAACAGAGTGTATAAATTCATTGAAAAGGTAGAAAACATTCAAAAATATTCGTATTAGTCTAGGTTGTAATATTTGTTTGTTCTGTGTTTCAGGTGTCTGGAGTTCATTCGGACCTTGGGGAGAATGCAAATTAGACACAACTTTGAACCAGTGCTACCAACAAAGATTTCGTTCTTGTATTCGTGAAAGGTGCCCAGGTGTGTTATGAGTATATAGTTATTTTTTAAGGTAAACGTGTAGAGTTTAAGTAAAACTTTTTCAAACAAAGAAATAAGTGAGTGCAAGGCGAGCTAAAATGGAATGTCGTCCACTTAATCTTTACCAAATTTCTTTCATTGCATTTGTCTATATTCGCAAGATATTAAACATTATCTCATACTACATGTTTATTCATTTATTTTAGGCCCTCGCTCTGAACTACGTGCCTGTACCAATGGCCAATGCGAAATGATGACGACCACAGCAACTACAATCACAACCAGAGCCAACCAAGCAGCGTGCGATGCCAGTTTTCCAGAAAAGAGAAGGGATTGTGGATATGCTGGAATATCAAGAGAGGTATGTATACTGGGTTTCTGGCAGGTGCTTTTATCTCGTGCTTTATTCAAGCAAAAAGATTCAAAATGTCTCATTTAGTTTGTTCAAATGTATATGCAGGCGAACTTGTAAAGCTCAATTAACATCTCTCGTCCGTTTAGCACCTCAGTCTCAATTTGGCGTCCACGAAATTTTTGTTTGTTACATTTATTTATGTCCATCCTGGGCCCATTTGTTTAGAAAAACATTCTCTAGTTGTGTGCTCATTTGACGTTTTTATTCTCTATTTCAGGAATGTTGGCAAAAAGGTTGCTGCTTTAGTGATGTAATCTATGACGTGAACTGGTGCTTCTACGACGATTTTAGCGGAAGTAATTACATTTTTGATTTATTACCTTTTCTACATTCTTACTGAACATCAAATCATTGACTGAATATTTTATTTTCAGATATGGAATATGAAGAGACCAAAAACGAAACCTAAAATGATTGTGCAGCACGTAAGTGTTCGGTTATTTTTTAAGTTCTTATACTTGGGTCATAAGTTATAAGCAACAAATGCTATGAAAATTATTTTTACCAGCCTTTTTTATTTTCCCTAATTCCATATTGGCAGCCACTCGCGCATTGACCTGTTTTATCTACGAAGACTTATTCTAATAATTCTGCGACACTGGTTCTATTTTTCATCGGTGCCATGTGTGGAACATAATGATTTCAGCAACCGAAAATTTTGCTCTCTGCATTCCGCTAGATTTGCGCATTTTTATAAAATGGGTTTAAATCTCACACAATGCTATAAAAAAAACTGAAAGGTAAATTGCGTGAATAAGAAAGTTTTTAAGCAAGGAATACCGAGGAGGTACTGGGTGTGCATATAAAAATCAGAATTACCGCGATTAAATGCCGTATTTTGGCATCGTATTTTATTCGGCCCATTCGCCTCGATGAGTGTAAGTCAGTGAAATTCTTGCTATAAGTAGGCTACAAAGCAAGAAATTTGGTGAAGAATTTTCATCTCTTATAAAATTTTCTTTTAAAGGTTTCAAACAATGTACGACTATAAAAATAAATCAACATACCCTCCTTCGAAGTTCTACTAAACGAAGTCGCTTTCTCATCTGCTGCATATATATATTTATATATATAATCAAAACATGTGTAAAATACTTTTTTTAAATATTTATTTGAACTAGTAGTGAAATATGGTCAACAACACTTGAGGTTCGTAATGTATATTAGTTGAATTGTGTATAATTGTAATCATTCACATTTGTCCTCAACTCTTGGAACTGATACGGTTTAGCCAACATGTAAGTATCGACAAGTAATCATTTTTGATTTTTGGTCGGGTTGTATAACTTTGTATATTATATTAAGAGATAAAACTATTAATATGTATTCAATGAGTACTTTCTTTTGAATCATTGTTGTTTTGGAAAAAATATGTAAAACAGATATGTAAATTACATTTAACCTTGCTACAGCATAGTTAACATTGTGTTTTTCTTTCACATTTAACAAAGGCAAAAAAATTCGATTCATTTTACAACGAAAAATAACTATCGTGTTTCAATATAATAATATGAATTGTACACGAAATTATCTTGATGAATAATAGACTTTCAAGTATATCAATCCACAATCTCTGATTTTTCATGTCCAAGTGGTTAGATATGCCCATCTCCTTTGAGTGGAAGCGAAGTTCATAGGTAGTGTCTGAATCTGAAAAAGACGAATGAATATGTGGTTCCTGGAATATACCATCTTATTTTTGGAATGCAGTTTTTGATATAATTTTATTGAAGACTATGAACTCTCAACCCTGAACTGATATTTTGATCTAGCAGCCTAGGATCCTAGCTTTTTACCCTCGACATGACCTTCCAGTCGCTGGATGAGCAACTCTGTTGATGTAATAAATAACTGACCAACGATTGCGTGAATCGCCCAGTGCCAGTGCATAATAGATCATATTTTCCCCAGTACACAATCCCAGCTTGATTACCTAATCAGGATCCGGAATTTCTCGAAGTCTAATGCTAATTCAGCACCCTGTCAAACCAATTGTAAGCTCTTACAAATTCTGTCCTTGTAATTTTTATGGCGAGCAATTTTAGGACAAATCATGCTTTTCAAACGGCTTATGAATGTTCTACCGCTTTCTAACTCTATTATTTAAAGATAACGATGTCTTTGTGCATGGCCAGGAAAAAACACCTGAATCACGCTTCCATTGCCTACTTGCACGGATTACTTCTAAACACCGAGGATTTCGTGTTTTTGTTTATTTCTGCATATTGTTAGCGTGGTTGTGTTATAGGCATCACGTTGCAGAAAGTTGTTTTTGAACCAAAGACACATTACTGATACCAGTATCACATACCAATTTACTCGCAACTATATCATCAAATGTTTTGGGATACGCCGAGGTAATACTAGCGATATTGTTGAGAGCTTTGGACATATTTTTCTGTCCCATCCCATAGCAATTTATGCATGTGGAATAAACTACATGTACAAAGAGAGACATGCGAAACGACAAAATTTTATTGTCTAACTGTAACAATTCAATATCACGACCCCCACCGCCAGAACTATTAAATATTTCAAGATATCGAATGAACGATTTCCCAACCCAGAAACGGCGCTCCACGGCATCTAAACCACAAAACCATTCGAGTGTGGCTTGATTGACAGCCTCTAAAACACAAAAACTTCCTCAGGGCCGATCGCAATGAAAATTGATTTGGGTTATGTGGGCACCATTACAGACTACATGCGATGTCTGAACCAGCCCCCCTGTTTGTCGGGAAAACTAGAATTGTGTGTTGCGCTCTAAAATTATTACACATATCACTTGTCGTACGCTATAAGCGCAATGATTTCTCACTTTGATTGTGTATATGCACTACCACGTTACCTCACCATCATGTTAGAACCGTAATAATGTTAATGTTGTTGAAGCACAAAACGTAATCTTATACAAAATTGTCCCAATCGTCCTCTTTGTCCCAATTGACTCACGAGCCCACTTGTCTGTCCTATGGGAAATACATATGTGTGCTTTCCCATCCCAAACCATGGGGCGTTTTCCCATGGACAAGCCTTGTACATAGATTAACCTTAAATAACTAAGATTTTGATTTATTTTGAGCAGGTGAGTGTGTACAATTACTGAAGATATAAACATATACTGAATAGTCGTGAATGGTCTTTTACGACACTTTTTGGGATTGTCCAAAAATTCCCATTTTACAGATCCACTGACGCAAAACACAGAGAAATTTCTCGCAGTATCAAGTTTCAGTCGAGCACGTTATCTTGTTAATTAGACCTTGAGTTCGAGATTATTGCGCCTACATCACTTTGATATTAATTCCATGCTCTTTAAAATATAATTGATGTCATTCTAAATGCATTTTACGATTACGACGAGTATCACCTCATCAGCATAAACTGTAAAACAATTACAATCATTTAAATATTGACGTGTTTGTAATCAAAAGTTATAATGCGAATTATATCTACTTTGCAACGTAATCATTAGTTTAATTCTAGTTGCTTTGTTGCATCAAATGTATGCACTGTTCCTATACTCCAGCCCAATTTTACAAAGTAAATTTCAAATCTACTCTAGGCGGTATCGTCTGCCTGGACCGCTTTTTGCTTGAGCGTTTATTAAATTACATCCGCAATATATTATAATAAATATAATGTTTGTGGCAATATAGGCATGGTTTGATTATCGACCTTGTATTGTCGATAAATTGTGAAATATTTTCTCAATTCGCGAATGAGATTTCAGTTAAGATTCCATTGCAATTAATACCTTGCAACATATATTTAAACTCAATTCTGAATGAATCACCACAATACATACATGTTTAACACAAGAAAACAACATATTTAGCCTAGATGACGTATACCTCGAAACAAGTTTGTTACTCAACCAAACACAAAGAAAAATCAAATTTTTCAGTAATGCATTATGCAACTTATACTCTGGACGTAAAAACAAAGAACACAAAAATCATAAAAAAAATTAGAAGGTAGAAGAAACTATAGTAAGAGTAGAATAAAGCACGTTTTAATAAAATTAACAAACAAGCAGAGCTTCCAGGACAGAGAATGAGCTTTATTAATAGCATGTGATCTTGATTAATCTTTAATTTTTCAGCTTGATTCGTATCATAAGATCCATTATTGGTTTTGTGCGTTGTCATAATATCAAAAAGAAAACTGAATTTTTCGCTTGCATAAAAAGTTAAGTGCATCCAGCTTTTCAAACAGAGTTAAACGATTATATCAAAGTATAGCATATACATCTGGAGTGTCCATCTTTTCGTTTTATGCTGTGAATAAATAGGCTTTGGGATTGAATTTTTTTTTTTTTAAACATTTCATCTGGTTGAATGACACAGTGCAGCGAATTAAGATTGAACTTTTATATCAATTTCAGCAGCATATGGAAAATTATATCAAGAAATCAATCTTTGTATATTCTGTACATTTAATAAATAGTATATATTGGCTAAATCAAATTTGTCAAATTTAAATATATGGTAAATACTATTTTATCAAAAGCGATCTCCATTTCATTATGATTGTATATATCAAAGCTGTAAAATTCTCGTTTCGGTTTTTTAAAATAGGTTGTTCATTTATATCTTACCTTAAAAAAATAAATGCAAGTAGGCTATGTATTATGGCATAAAAACAATTCAAGAATGGAACCTAAATTGGGCATAGTAGGACTGTGAAGTATGTGGGATATTAAAAAGCATTTAACCCCTGCTCAAACTACAAACAAAATTTTTTGCGCATTGTGAGATGTACAGTATACCGAGACGGAAAGTACTCTGGTTTACTTGCATTAAATTAATTTATTTGTAACATCGAAACTGAATGTTTTCAAGACTCATAAACTTATAAAGTAACGTGGATTTTATGAATTTATTAGCACGGCTCTTTGAGAACTCGGAAATTTAAATCCAGTTACACCTTCGCAATGAAATTTGTTTGATGCATTGTTCCCTAATTACTTTATTGTTTGCAATTTATGATGTCCCTTAAAATTATTTTCAAGAGAAATATAATGAGCGCGTTCGAACGTAAGGGTTTCTAAATCCACGTACTGCGTGGAGCTCGTAACTATCAGGAACAAGCGCTTCGAGGCGCAATAAACGAAAAAATAGGGAAGGGTTAATTGTCTGATATCCAGCGGAATTTGTATAAAAGCTGGAGTGAAAAGTACGATAATCAGTATCAACCGATCTCGTCTTCTACTAAGATAGCAACGAGCTTTCAAACTTTGAGCTTGTCAGACTCGTCTTATACGAAAGAAACCGCATTTAAGTTTGTGAGCTTCAGTCGGAATTTGCTAGAATTATCTAGCAACAATTGGTCTTCATATTCTATTATTATATTTTTCAGTTATATAGTATAACAGAGTCAGAGTTGAAACGACTAACGTTACGAACTCTATTCAAAAATACAGTCATGAAGATTTTTATCGTATGCATTGCTCTTGGAGTCGGTCTCGTTTCAGCTGATCCTTACGATCATCCTCACCCACAGAATGGGGAATGGTCAAACTGGGGACCATGGATGGGCTGTTCAGTAACTTGCGGTGGTGGTAGCGACACAAGAATGAGAACATGTCAGTCTGGGTGAGTATTTTTAGCTTTAAAATTCTTTAGTAGTTCTTTGTTCAAAAAAATTCAATATTTTCAATCTATTCTGATTTTTTAGAACTTCCGGCGGCATTGAGGACTTGCTGCCTCTTCTTCTTTTATCCGGTGGATTCGGTGGTGATTCAAGCTCAGCACTCGATATGTTACTTCCATTCCTTTTGCAAGGTGGTAACGGCGGAGGGTTGTGAGTATTGTTTTTCGTTTTTCCTTCTATCTTTACACGAATGCAAAACATTCAATGAACTGTTCATTATTATTTTTTAGTGGTGACAACCCACTTGCAATGTTGGCACTTCTCGGAGGACTTGGCGGAGATTCGACCGACAGCAGCTCAAGCTCAAATTCTCTGTTGCCATTACTGCTAAGGTAAGTTACCTATAACGTAATATAATTTTTAAATTCGTTGTAATTTTCGATTTCAGTGGACAGAACATTGATCCAACACTTCTTTTTAAATAAGTTGTAATTTTCGATTTCAGTGGACAGAACATTGATCCAACACTTCTTCTTCTCTTGTCTGGATCCAACTCAACAATCGACCCACTCACACTACTTATTCTCGGAGGCATGGGCGGGCAAACTGAAACGCAGAAATATTGCTATGGATCACGAATGGAAACAAGAGTAAGTTGCGATATTGTGAGGCGTTTATTATCTCATGTAATGGTTAAATGTAACTTAACGGTTTGATTTATTCTCATTCTAGACTTGTAACCAACAATCTTGCCCAAGTCCAGTCAACTGCCTTTCACAGTGGGGACAATGGGGTGAATGTTCAAACGGTTGTGGAGCTGGAAACAAGATCCGCTCTCGTACTTGCAATTGCCATGACTCTATGTCTACATACCGATGCAACGGCGCTCAACTTTATGAACACGCACAATGCTCTTCCTATGATGCATGCCCAGGTAATTTTATTATTAATCTTTGGATGAGTTAAACAGTGTCCTAAAATGTTCTTGCCCCCTATTCGCTCCTCGTAACATGCTGCTTTCCAACTTTCAACACGCAGCGATGTTATTGATCTAAGAAATCGTATTTACTTTCAGCAACCACAACCAGAATCATCACCACCACAACCAGACCCCCAGTCAACTGTCTTTCCCCGTGGAGCGAATGGGGGGCATGCCAAGCCACCTGCGGTTACGGAATGAAAAGCCGAACTCGCAGTTGTAACTGCCACAATCCTTCAACCGGAATGCTCAACTGTAACAACGCAATGCTTTATGACCACACCTCTTGTTCTTCAGGAATCCAGTGCGGCATTGGTGAGAATCGTAATTGTTAAGCTCGAAAATCCTTCGTTCAACGCCGAATATATTTTATTAAATCGATGTCTTATTTTTAGTTATTCCCGAAACTCCCATCCCAGCCACTGGACAATGGGGCGATTGGACCGCTTACGGCAGTTGCATTCCATCTGGAACCAGATGTTACAAAGAGAGAACACGTACTTGCCCTGATAAAATGTGCGACGGATCTTTCAAACAATCTATCGAATGCACATGCCCATACTGCCAGGTCGATGCTGAACAAAGACAGGAATGTGGCTACGGTGGAATCAGCAGAGATGTAAGTTATACAATATTCAATATTGGAAACTAATTTAAACAAGAGAGCTACGCTCAAATATATGAACACGTAGCGTCACTTAGTGGCAAATTCGGATGACGTCATAGCACACACAAAAAAACGAATCCCATGCAGCTCACCGGGATATTTGAAATAAATAAAAGTAATAGCCTTCTAGCGAAAAATTTAATCTCTTAGCACTGAAAATTTTAAAAGTGATTGGTCCAGTAATCAAATAGAAAAGCGACTTTTTAAAAACGTGTCAAAGAACAAGAACAAGAAGAGTGCCAGCATAAAATGCAAAACGATCGTTATGTTTAAAATACATATCAAGTCCTCCGGCCTGTTACTAAAAATTACTTATATATATTTATTTTTATTTATCCAACAGGCTTGTAAGCAACAAAACAATTGCTGCTATGATGATTCTGTCCCAGGAACTATCTGGTGCTTCAGTAAGTAACTTTAAGCTATTCTTGCAAACTAAATATAAATCTACCGATGCGTCTCATAATTTCCAGCTTTAGTTAAATATTTAGTTTCACCATTTTAAAACAAACAACAATTAAAATTACTTTGATTTTTTACAGAACGCAACAACGCATAATCTCCGAAAGAGGAAAACTATACCAAGACAAAAAGCCGCAGATGAATACATATGCCAAAAACTCAAGCACTAGAATAAAAATTTTAAACATTATATATTATATTTTACCTGTCAGTGCATTGAATTTTGGACGATTTGTCGAGTTTTCTATATTTTTATAAAAACGACTATATAAAATTAAATAAACTGATTATTAAATTGATATCACTCACCATTTAACGGTCTGTTTGATGTTTTTCAACTGTCGCATTTTACATTTTACGTATTTTGATTACATTAGCGATTTGATAACAATTTTACCGTCATTTCGGCTGGTTCGGTATTTTCAATCATGGATATTTTCAATCAATTGTTTTCCTGCATATAATTTTGGAATGTGTCGAATATATTGTCCATGTGGTACCTTCGCTGATTAATTAATTTGTTTGCAATTTTGATATCCAGAATAAAAGTGATTATCATATAAATGTTGTTGATTGTTGCTTTTCTTAGCTCAACTTATAAAACACAGTGGAAAGTGTATTTTGCATAAAATAATAATACGTGCGTCCTGTATCTAGTCTAGTCTCTAGTATCTAGTTTAGTCTCTGTCTCGGCTGGAATACTATGACAAATGATATTCTAAAGTCCAAACGATTATATCAGAGATACTTGGGAAGTTATCACAATGAATCCATGAATGCTCTACACGTAAGAGAATCATAATAAACAAAGACAAAAACGTTGCGAAGAAATATCTCAAACATATAACCATAGATTGCCTCAATGGCTGGAATACTATTACGGGCAAATGATATTCTAAACGATTATATCAAAGATACTTGGGAAGTTATCACAATGAATCATGGATGATCTACACGTGAGAGAATCATAATAAGCAGAGTTAAAAAAAAAACATTGCAAAGAAATATTTCGAACATATTACCATAGAATGCCTTAATGGCTGAAATACTATTGCTGACAAATGATATTCTAAACTAGTGGTTCACAAACTTTTTGTACCATCGCCACCCTACAGTAATTTATACAACTTCATCGCCCCCCCCGCACTACAAAAAAAATGTAAAGTCAGAGACAAATATATTACAGACCAAATAAGAAGGCAAATCATGGTTTATAGTGTTTTTTAATGAGAGTTTGTTCTTCCGCGAGTTTTTTTATTATTATTTGGTGACAGTTTCGTCAGACACAATCTAAAATCACCCCGTTTACTGATGGAAAGGCGATTTCGTTGTTTTGATAGCAATAGTAGCACGACTGAAAACCCCTTTATCACCATATAGGAGGTCGGAAATGAAAGAATCCGCAGGGTTCTACCCCCTCAAAAACCGCCGTGTACTTGCCTTATAGCATTCAACTCCCTAAATTCAAAGTTAATTTTCCCAAACGTATAATATTGATTTTCGTACATCTCATTCATCCCTACAGCCTGGTGATCTGCACCAAAATGAATGATATATAACGATCTTCGGTAAAATTCATCCTCGATTCCTCATCCTACCACGGCCTCCAGCCCGATCACCAGTCCATAGAATTAATCAGCCATTTGTTTCAGATTCCTGGACTCGGGTGTGGCAAAAGCCGTGATTGACTATCGGCTACGGCCCAGGGGTCGGCAAATTTTTTGTCGCTCGCGGGACAAAATTAGGGGTGAATATAGTCATTTGCGGGTCGCATATGTTTGTTTTTTTTTTAAGTTAAAAACGGAAAAGCGCGCGAAAACTGCGACAGCTCATGAACTCAACTCATTCGTCTTATTGAAAAATTATTACAATGGCATTTAATGTGACACTGTCTCTGCATCACTGCATCAAGCTTGATAGCTTTACGGCGTCAAGATTGGAACATTTTCTAAATGGGCATCACTAATCCTAGTTCTTTGTAATGTTCATTCTTGAAAATAATTGTTCGCACAAACATGTACTTCCAAACTTCGAAGTGAGTATTTTCGCATGATTTGGGAAATTTTGATGAATATTTTCTTTAAGAAGATACATTCTTACAAAAATTAAGCAGTGGTGAAGCTCTCGAATAGAATATGAATTTTATTTCCTTATTGCATTGCAATATACATGAATATTTACTGCGATATTGAACCCCTGCACTCAGCATCAACTTTTCTGCGTGTTGCCATTTGTCTAATTATAATTAAATTGTAGGCTCGTTAAACGTTTACTGAATTGTTAGCATATATACAATATAATTTATTCTAAACGTGTCTCACGATAAATTCTGGTACGTAAAAAATGTAATTAACTCATTGAGCGAGCGTAGATTATAATAGAATTAATTCATCGTCAAAACCGACGTTTTGTCTGTATAATGGATGTTTCCTCGTGCATAGATTTCCTTGTTTACTTCATGACATTGGCCAATCAGCAAGATACAAAAATAAACGTAACAATGCCCCCTTTCGCATCAGCGCAGACAATTTTATCACTCCGACAGATTTTCAGGCGTGGTCGTAAACATTACCTCATTTTCGCGTTTTTGAATTATATTCGTTAGTTTTTAGTTGTGTTTCGGAAATTTAAAAATAAATCAAATAATTTAATAATCACTTTGTCCTCATATGAGTTTCAGTTTAATTGCAGTAATCAAAATTAGTGAAGAAATAGCTGTGATAGACTAGGCTAAAATTCTTTACCGCTACTTTTTAAAAAACAGTTTGTTGAATGGTATGAATTAGAATGGTAGTTTGAAAGAAATACCCCACTTTACAGGCGTCAACTCGCGAAACCACTCTTAAAAGAAGCATCGAAAATTTTAAAATGGTAAAGTATAGGAAGAATTTTCCGGGGTCAAAGGTCGGGGAAAGGTCTATTCAGTGAAGCGTCCCGGATTATTTTACTTCGGTCGTATTTTGCCGACCACTGGGATACGCAAACTACCGTACCCTACGGCGGAGACGAGTCCAGCAATCTTTTTGCGAGTGATAATCGCCCACATGATTCAAACCAACGAATGCACGCAGTACAGTAATCAAGTGCACGATGCGCCGAACAAAGACAGGTTTCGCGAAATCGCCCTCTGTATCGTTTTCGCCCACCTGGGGGGAAGGGATATCACCCACTTTGGGAATCACTGTAAATCTGAACGATTATATCAGAGATATTTGGGAAGTTATCACAATGAATCCATACACGTGAGAGCATAATAATGAGCAAAGTTTAAAAAAACATTGCAAAGAAATATCTCAAACATATTACCATAGATTGCCTTTTACCAGGTTATGGGACAGATCGTTATAAATTTTTATTCGTGGACTTTAGGTGGACAAAATATAAATCAAGCATTAGTCCGATTTAATGCTGTTCATAAATAAGCGTTAAAACCATTAGATAGCGTATACGCTCTGTCATAGTTTTATGAATCTTTGAAAAGTCTGACACCTGATAGTTTTTTGATTTGCATCGGTGGTGAAAGATTGATTTTTTTGCCAGAAGGCTATCAATTTTTCTTATTTCAAAAATTTCTGTGGACTTCAAGAGATTCTTTTTATATGTGTCGGAATAAAAAATAGCGACACCTTGTGACGTGTCCATATATTTGAGCACAGCTCTTTTGTTAGTTTCCACATTTCATACATATTTGTTTTTTTTTACCATGGTCACTGCTGCTAGATAACGTTCACTGGTTTATCGCGTCTCCTTTCACACTGAAACGTATTTTTTTATATATTTTTTTTGTAATTATGTTTGTCCTTTGTGTACTTTTGGTATGTGATAAAATAAACTACTGACTGACTGACTGACCTTAATTATTTTCATATGGTGTCTTAAGTATATCAGTTTGTAGGCAGAGGTATTTCACATAAAACATACGAATGTGGATGATGTGTGATGATAAAAAAATGCATGAATGTATTATGACATAAAAACAATTCAAGAATGAGGTGTAAATGAGGCTAAGTACCACTGTGAACTTTGTGGAATATTAAAAAGCATTTAACCCATGCTCAAACTACAAACAAAAATTTTTGTGCATTGCGAGAAGCATGCCAAAAATGACAGTAATTAATTTACTTGTCACATCAAAACTAAATGTTTTCAAGACTTATAAACTTAAAAAGTAACGTAGATTTTATGAATTTATTAGCACGGCGCTTTGAGAACTTGGGAATTTAAATCTCGTTACATCTTCGCAATAAAATTTGTTCAATGCATTGTTCCCTAATTACTTTATTGTTTGCAATTTATAATGCTACCTTAAAATTATTTCCAAGAGAAAAATAATGAGCGGGTTCGAACGTAAGGGTTTCTAAATCCACCTTCTGCGTGGAGCTCGTAAATATCAGGAACAAGCGCTTCGAGGCGCAATAAACGAAAAATTGGAAAGGTTAATTGTCTGATATCTAGCAAAATTTGTATAAAAGCTGGAGTGAAGAGTACGATAATCAGTATCAACCGATATCGTCTTCTACTAAGATAGCAACGAGCATTCAAACTTTATGCTTGCCAGACTCGTACCAGTCGTATACGAAACAAACCGCATTTAAGTTTGTGAGTTCCAGTCGAAAATTACTAGAATTATATATATAGTAATAATAATCGGTCTTCATATTCTATTATCAAATTTTTCAGTTATATATATAGTATAACATAGTCAGAGTTGAATTGACCAACGTTACGAACTCTATCCAAAAATACAGTCATGAAGATGTTTATCGTATGCATGGCTCTTGCAGTCGGTCTTGTTTCAGCTGATTCTTACGATCATCCTCACCCACAGAATGGAGAATGGTCAAACTGGGGACCATGGATGGGCTGTTCAGCAACTTGCGGTGGTGGTAGCGACACAAGAATGAGAACATGTCAATCTGGGTGAGTATTTCGAGCTATAAAACTCTTAAGTAGTTATTTGTTCCAAAAATGCAATATTTTTAACCTCCTTCGATTTTCTAGAACTTCCGGCGGCATTGACTTGACAACTCTTCTTCTTCTATCCGGTGGATTAGGTGGTGATTCAAGCTCAGCACTCGATAGTCTCTTACTTCCATTCCTTTTGCAAGGTGGTAACGGCGCCGGAGGGCTGTGAGTATTGTTTTTTCTTTCCATCCTCACGTTAATAAAAAACTTTCAATGATCTGTTCTTTATTATTTTTTAGTGGCGACGACCCAATTGCAATGTTGGCTCTTCTCGGAGGACTTGGCGGAGATTCGACCGACAGCAGCTCAAGCTTGGATTTTCTATTGCCATTCCTGCTAAGGTAGATTACCTATAACTTAATATAAATACCTATAAACTCGAATTCGACATTATTCTGTTAGAATTTGTTGCTGTGAAAAACATTTGTATTGGCATTTAGAATTCTAAATAAGTTACGAGTAAATCTTATAAGTTGTAATTTTCGATTTCAGTGGACAGAACATTGATCCAACACTTCTTCTTCTCTTGTCTGGATCCAACTCAACAACAATCGACCCACTCATGCTATTTCTTCTCACAAGCATGGGCGGGCAAACTGAAACGCAGAAATATTGCTATGGATCACGAATGGAAACAAGAGTAAGTTTCGATATTGTGAGGCGTGTATTATCTCATGTAATGGTTGAATGTAACTTAACGGTTTGATTTATTCTCATTCTAGACTTGTAACCAACAATCTTGCCCAAGTCCAGTCAACTGCCTTTCACAGTGGGGACAATGGGGTGAATGTTCAAACGGTTGTGGAGCTGGAAACAAGATTCGCTCCCGTACTTGCAATTGCCATGACTCCATGTCTACATACCGATGCAACGGCGCTCAACTTTATGAACACGCACAATGCTCTTCCTATGATGCATGCCCAGGTAATTTTATTAGAATTTTTCATATAGCTTTTTATATAGTTTATATCTTTCAAACAATCTATCCAATGCACTGAGGGTGGCTCATACTCCGCCATTCCCGTTCTCCCCATTCCCGTTGTATAATGCCAAGTCGATGGTCCACAATGAAAAGAATGTGGCTACGCTGGAATCAGCAGAGACGTGAGTTATACAATATTCAATACTGAAAACTACTTAAACAAGTTTCAAAGACTCATCAAATCGACGGTCTGGTACTAGAAATTACTTTTATATATTTTTGTTTATTCAACAGGCTTGTAACCAACAAAACAATTGCTGCTATGATCATTCTGTCCCAGAAACCTTCAGGTGCTTCAGTAAGTAATTTAAGCTATTCTTGCAAACTAAATATAAATCTACCGATGCGTCTCATAATTTCCTACTTTAGTTAAATATTTAGTTTCGCCATTTTAATACAAACAACAATTAACATTACTTTGATTTTTTACAGAACGCAACAACACATAATTTCCGAAAGAGGAAAACTATACCAAGACAAAAAGCGCAGATGAATACATATGCCAAAAACTCAAGCACTAGGTTAAAAATTTTATACATTAAATATGTTATTTATTATCTGTCAGTGCATTGAATTTTGGACGATTTGTCGAGTTTTCTATATTTTTATAAAAATGACTATATAAAGTTAAATAAACTGAATAATAAATTGCACAAAATTTTGAAATGCTTCGAATATATTGTCGATGTAGTACCTTCACTGATTAATTAATTTGTTTGCAATTTTGATATTCAAAATAAAAGTGAATATCATATAAATGTGATTGACTTTTGTCTGTTGCTTTTCTCAGCTCGACTTATAAAATACAGTTGAAAGTGTATTTCGCATAAAATAATAATACGAGCGTCATGTATCTAGTAGCCTATAAAATTAGTTTAGTCTCTGTCGCGGCTGGAATACTATTACTGACAAATCATATTCTAAACGATTATATCAGAAATACTTGGGAAGTTTTCACATGTAATTCGCTTTGACCAAATTTTGTTCTTTTTCAATGGATCACAGTGCAATGCAGGATGCATTATGAATAACGTTGGCAAACAGCTCCAACCGACATATCATAATGGCTGATCAAACTTATCCTACTTTACATAATGTTATTAAACCTCAAAACGCGATTCTGAGAACTTCGCCACACTTTATCTTGGACACATTTATAGATCAGCAAAAAATGAAATTTATCGCTTTCTCTAGCTTATAAACGATGGTTCAGTTTTGTGTGCTATTTGTCAGTTTTAATAGTGTCTCAGAAATTAAAATATAAATAATAAAATAACTCTTTTGCTCGTTAATTTTTTTTCCCAATAAGCCTATTTCGGCTATTGCTTTTAGTGCTTATTTTATAAGATTTTTCCTACGATTGCAACGGCTTCCATTAAAAAGTCGTGACAGTTAATGTGGCCCATCCTAGCCCATCCTACCTATTTCAAGCTCGTTTTTTGATAACTGTACTGAAATTTAATTAAGCTCCACTGTTCGACCCAGCGTGAGCATATTGTCTTAAAAAAGGCAAAATAACCACCTTGTTACTTAATCATGCCTAGATTCTGAAACATAAGTAAAACTGACCAAAGACGCCAGACATTTTATGAACCCCTATTGGTGAAAATGATTTCTGAGAGGCGGTTGTATTTCAATTGCCACGATAACGATAGCATTTTGTTTTTAAGCGATTGTAACGGGAGAAACTAGGAATCTAGAAACGTCCATTATCACATTAAATACTTTTCATAAAATCAAATATGTGCTATTCACTTTTGATTTCCTTTCTCATTAAAAAATATGTCAAAATAAAAAATAACCTATGGGACAACAATTTGATGCGGAACACCGGGAGGAATTTCACTGAACACCAGTGTACCGCAGAAAACACAGGTTGAAAATCACTGCAGTACAGAACAAAATTAAAATAGTCTTCAATATGACTGGGTAGGATTGAGCAGAATATAATACCACCAAGTAAAATAAGCATGATCGAATCAAACGTAGGACGACCAAAATGAATTGATCTGAAACACATGAATACGAAACAGGAGGAGCATTTCGATACCAAATAGGAGCAAACATGTAAGACTACAATAAATATATAATATAATAGGACCTCACATACCAGTGCCATATCGTACAGACAGGGGCGTGCTAAACTTTTCTGCTGCCCGGGGCGAGTTCCTGATAATGCTGCCCTTTAACCCTGACTTCAAAAATATTTCGGGGGATAAACAGATTATATATGTCGTTATAAGTGGGAATAAATAAATAAAGTAAGATTGAAACGTTTATTTTATTAAAAAATCATCAAACCAAGCAACAAACTCACATGTATAAGATCATACCCATTTATTAACATAAAACAAGTAACTTATTTGTATGTCCAATCGCTTATGTCCAACAATATGCAATGCACAAAGTTGGAAAAACATCCCAGTCAAGCTCAATCAATGAAGCAAGAAATTCTTTAGCATTTTTTGGAAAATCTCTGTTTCCACTTCGGAAAAGCGACATAACAGTGGACGTTTTAGCAGCCGCACGTACAGATTTTCTAGGGTTTTTGTAAACATGACCACTCGTTTTCGCATGCTATTTGTTAATTTTTGGTTGGGATTTGGAAATTTCAGTACAAATCAAATAACTCAATGATTAATCTGTCTTCTTATATATATAGTTTAGTTGCAGTAATCAAAAAGTAGTCTAGAAATAGCTGTGAGCCTGTGATAGGCAGCGCCGGATTAACCATTAAACAATATAAGCACGTGCTCAGGGCACCAAGAAAAGAGGGGCACCACAGAAAATTTCTAAAAGCAGAATTTTATATAGTTTATCGGTGTTTATTTAAAATATCACGAGTTCACCATACGACTCAAACTTAAAAATGTTCGCTTATTTTTCGTCTTAAAGTATCATATTATCCTTCTTTACCAAAAATAAACACTTGAACTTATTTATTGGACACGAAATGGGCCTATGAGTCGTTTTGTAAAATTGTTGTTGTTTATACTTCCTAGTATTCCCCTTGTTGCTGCATTTTTGTTTTAAAAAATTTCTCTTCTCTTCAACAATTGGACCAATGAACTATTTGCACTATGTGGCGGTTCCACGATCGCATTTCAACGATCTAGTTAGTGGTCAACGAAGTCGGGAGTTTTTTGATAGAGTAGACCAGGGTGGTCCAAACCCTGTCATGCTGATACATTCCGTGCGGCCCACAGGCCAATTTTAGCGTATATTTGTATCTATTAGCTGAGCGTTTTTGAAATTTTTCAGATATTCCAACTGGGGTTGGAATCCCGAGATTCAACCCCCTTTTTCTAACGCTTTGTGTCTTTATTTTAGCAAAAACACTCCTCTGTTTTCAAGCGTGGGCCATGTGACAGTAGTGACGAAACGCAGAGCCCGCTTAACGCTGCACAATCCAGTTTTGTTCAGCAAGGTCCTGAAATACCAACTCAGACGGACTTGGTGGTTATTTGACGATGGCACTGAGCTTGCTCACGCTGCAAGTTTTTAAATTACTCAAATATAACAATTCGTATACAATGATTGTCCCAAGAAAAGTGGCACAAGGAAAACACGGCGGAAACGTATTTCCTTGCCCATCACACAGTGTCTAGTTTGATTTCAAGTAATATCTGTCACGAAAGAATATAATTTGAAGCGACATCAAACGTTAATTTTACGGAATTATTTTTTAAATACCTGAAGGCTTTATATATCTTCTTTAAAAAAACACCGCCCATGCAACATAATAATGGTCTGATTAGAACGGTAAACTCTAGTTGTTTATTAAATTAAAAGTAAGTAAACCTGCGATATTTCGATCACTTTTGGGTTTTCTCCGACTTGCGGCCGGCGAGACCTCCTCGAAACTTTTTGCGGTCCTTCAACCTAGCAACCTTGAACCACCCTGAGGTAGACTATACTAGGTACAGGTAAAATTGCAAACTACAGTTGTGACTTATATCCTTTGGTATTTCGATTCATGTTGAGACTGGAAGCATGAATCTTTATTGTCACACTCCTTCAGGACTGGAGCTCAACCGTTATATCGGCCCGATGTTATGTGTCTGCCGATATATCATATTGGCAGTAAACGGCCGATATATATATCGGCTATATATAACAGTTAAAAAATCTAAAAATGTTCGTAAAAGTTGTTTTATTTACTGTTGGTTGTGATTATTTTTAATGGATAATACACTTATGTGGTTTATTGTTTTTATAATTGAATTACACATGAGGGGGCACCAAAGTCTTCAGTGCTTAGGGCACCAAAAGGGCATAATCCGCCCCTGGTGATAGGCTATGGCCCGTGGGTCCGCAAATGGTAGGCCGCAACCCACATTTGGGTCGCGAGACAAGGGCTCGTGCAAAATCAAATTTTTTCTGTATCTTTTGTATTCTTCATTTAAATACCTATTTAACTACGCCGAAATATTGTGGCAGCTGCCACGGTGCCGGAATAATAATTTCAAAAGTGTAAGAATATATTCTTGATTTGACTTTCACTCTTATCGCGTAACTTTATCGCCAAGTTAGTACCTGTGCCAAATTCATTCAGATTTTAACAGGAATGTTTATCAACGATATCAGGGAGACGCTTTGAGTAAAAAAAGCAAGAACAAATATGAAGCAAAGCGGCAACATACGTGGTTTCGAATCAGGGCCGGATTTAGACGACGATTTAAAATGAATAATGAGTCAAAATAGATTGTCAAATCCTTCGAGGTTTGACGCACCTAACGCACGGCGTTTGACGCATCACACCTCGAAATGATAGGTCAAAACACAGAGCCTGGGTCGCGAGGAATTAAAATAATAGTTTCAGGGAGGCGTATAGGGTTGAATATTTTGAATTAAATTGATTCTTTGAAACATATATATATATATAAACCCGTTTAAGGCGCTAACTCGCGAAACCCCTCTTAAATGAGCACAAAAAATGTTGTTATTGTAAAATAAAGAAATAATTTTTCTGGGATCAAGGGACGGGGATCCCACAAGACTGAACACACAATGTCAATTTTCAAATAAATAAAAACACATCTATAAAAAAAGTTTAATAACACAAACTCTACAGCTCGGTTCTGCTTCCCCCCACAAAGTGCTGCTTGGAGCGGTTGTCCTCTTCGCCCCCCTCCAGACACGAAACTGCGTACAGAATGCCGAAAAGAAAGCCCAACAAGACCAAAATGGTTCTAAAAGCACAGGGCCATATAGGAAAAAAGATATGAAAGTGTAGACCATTACTTCAAATCGCTAAATATAGGCTACTTAAATTCGAAGTATTGATATTAGCTTATGACTTTCATAAAAAGGCACTACAGAACTGCTTCGAGTACATACTTATCAAAAATACCTCCAACCGAAGAGGTAGCTCCGACTTGTTCCTATCCTTCATGAGTAAATCTGTGAGCCAGCATTCCCTGTTTTTCAATGAACCCAAACTTTGGAACTTACTTTGAAAATATTGAAGTCTAAAAAAATCGTTTCAAAAAAAATTCAAGTCTTATCTAGTCTCCAAATATTAAAAATTACTGTTTCAAAGACACACTGATATGTGTTAATAGTTTCGAAGCAATCAAACCTCAAAGAAAATGAATATCTTTTTGACAATCCATGACAAAAAGTTGGGACACTTCTCACTTGCACTTTTTTTTTGTCAGCTATTAACAGCTATAGAAATCCTGTTATAGTTCCTACAGCTATTAACTACTGTGACTAGGTGTGCTGTGTAGCTCTTTTATACCTGCTTCAAATTGTAATTAG